AGGACCTGGCAGGATGATGATGACGACGATGATTGATGATGATGATGATGATGATGATGATGATGATGATGATGATGATGATGATGATACAATGACACGATGTGATGATATATGATATGCTATGATCTGATATGATGATGATGATGATGATGATGATGATGATGATATGATGATGATGATGATGCTGCTGATGATCTTCTGCTGAGGATCTGCTGACGCTGCTGGGCAATATGAGACTCTTGATGAGACTGCCGACAGGTTTGTTAATCTGGCCCTGTGGCCCTAGAACACCATGCCGCGCCCGAAATTTCCATTTTCTGATCTGTTCGAGTTCGGCTCGAATCGAGGCCCGCCGGCCAGTCGCTTTCGCCGCCTCGCCATGGGTCGGGGCTAATTTCGTCTCGACGGTGCTCCACGCTAGTGTTTTGGAGCGATCGGGCTATGCGTGCGGGAGCCGGTTCCAAGACACTGTCGAGGCGACCGTCCAGCGAGGTGTGCGGGGGGTTTAGGATGGCCGCCGGACGGCTACCACGGGACTCTGCTGACAGAGCTCTTTTTCTGGCCCTATGACCTCAAAACATCATGCCGTGCCCCAAGTGTCGGCTTGGGCACCCTTACCCCTTTCCTTGGCCCCTCCTCTGCGAAGCGCCGGGTTCGTCATTTGCATTCCCTTGGTGGTACCTTGCGCAGTGTTGTTGTCCGGCCAGTTTTGTGCCAGAGCGGCGACGGCAGAATCGATGCCAGGGGACCCGCCGATTTCACTGACTTAGAGGACGCCACGTGGGGCTGGCACCGTAGGAGGGAGGTTTTGTTGTTTGTTTTTTGGTTGTTTTATTTGGTTCGTATGTTATTTTTCTTCATCTGAACTTTGTACAAGTTTTTTGGGAGGTACCATTGTTGGGCCGCATCATAGGACGCCAGAGCTTTCAAGGGGCGTAGCTTCCCAACTCCCAACGGCCTACAGACCTTAGCCTTAACTTTTATCAGCCATTGCTTCCACGTCCACCCGAGTTTGAAAGGGGTGCGGCTTGGCTTGCCATTGTTGGGCCGCATCATAGGACGCCCGAGCTTTCAAGGGGCGTAGCTTCCCAATTCCCAACGGCCGACAGACCTTGGCCTTAACTTTTATCTCAACCCTAGACCAGAACGCAGAAACTTTCATGGTCCAGGAAGGGTTTAGGGCACGCGAAAACACGAAAGGAGCAATGGACTGGCTTCGACGTCTGTTTGTCGGTTCAAACAGAGTACCTTTTAGCCTAAAAACCCGACCCTCAAACCTGAAAATAAACCCTGGACACTTAGCTCCGTGGTAGGTAATGGGGCCATGTAATCCATGTGGCCCCCTGATTTGATGCCAAGCAGAGAGTGCTTCGCACCCCCATTTTGCCGTCAGGCAAAAAACCCAAGTTGACAGAAGCGAGATTCGGGCTACATTTGGATCCGGTTCTTAACCGGGGAGCCCGTGAACCTCAAAGCGTTCACTGACAGCAGTCGTGTAGAGGTATTTACAAACCGTCAAGGAGTAGGGCGAATAAAGCACTTGCAGATCAGACTGCTTGCAGTAGTCAAAGAAGGAAGACTGACGGTACACGCAGTTCCACGAAAGAAAACACTGCGGATATAGGAACAAAGGATTGTCAGCAAAGCTGTGAAGTTTTTACTTCACCGACTACGCAGACCCTCAGGAAGAGCAGGTCAAGAAGAACAAGAAGAATTATGGTTGAAATTGAGAAAGTTTTCAGAATAAAAAAGGTATTATTTTGGGCATTGTCAGTATGGCATGCAGTTCAGAGGCGAAGAAGATCAAGAAGAGAGCAGAGAGCACAGTCTCAGTTTTGGGAAGCATGTTTTGCAGTTTAAGAAGTTTTGCAGCGCATGTCATGTTTGTCCTAGTAATCGTCTTGGTGTTGCTTGCAGGAAGCAAGTCAAAGAAGAGAAGAGCGGTCTTGAAGGCATTCTTAAATCAAAACGAATTCTTTCTGAACTGAATCTTAAGTCTGATCTCTTGCTCTTACTGCTTGACCTTCACGACGCTTCTTTTCTTTTACTGCGTCTGTCAAATCCAAGTCTTCTGGTAGTTGCCATACTGGTCCAACCTGCTTCTTGCCACTGTTGGTCGTTCCGCTCTGCTTGCTGCCATCCCCAGCCTTTGCCAGGTTTGTCGGCTTATTTCCTTTGCCCTTCTTGTTGTACTGGAGCTGTTCTTGTAGGCGTTCTTCGTGAACAAGCTTCTCCACCTTTGGTCTGTTCTTCTTGCCATCGAGTGCCATCGCACTTCCTTCTTGTTGTTCAACCAAACAGAGTGCTTCCTGTAAATGTCCACCGTTCCAGGTCTCACGTCCCTTCACGGGCGCATTCTTGAACTCTGGGGCTTCTTTCTTGTCTTCTCGGGCTGCTCTGTACTGCTGCGTCTATGCCGTTCTCCTTCTGCCACGCCTTCGCTTGCTCCATTCTCTCTTCAACTTCTTTCTCTCGAGCGCCAACGCTTTGTCGACTTTCTCCTGGTCAATCTAATCTCAATGTGTCTCGAGAAGTCCAGTAATTGTTTTAAGAAGTTTCCAGGAAGGCATAGGACCCCTCCTACCGGGCCTGGAGGCAAAGAGCTCAGCCTAGTGAGCCTAACTAGAAGTAGAGAAGAACAAGTGGTTGTACAGAAGTTTCGAGAAAGGATCATGTACAGTTTTTCGATCCAAGAACCAAGGGCAGAAGTACAGCCAGGTAAAAGACCAAAAGCAATGGAGACGAAAGTCCCTGGCTACAGAAAGCTTTTGACTTTTACGAGTTTTGAAGAACACGAAACCCGCAAGAACTTTCTGAGGCGGGGTGTTCGATTGTCACGTGCATGAGCACCCCAAGTAGGAGCATTAGCAGTCCATGTATAGAACAGTTACAGCAGAGCATGCAAGCATGACTGAGTCATGGAAAGATTGCATGGTGACTTAGAGGCTTAAGCACCGCCCCCCAGTGCGGAGCAGGAAAAGTTAGACCGTAAGTGTTTTGTTTGTAGAGTGGGAAGATGGCTGTAGAAGCCATGATTTTCAACATGACAAGTGGCAGTGAAAGCTCTTGCTTGGACTTCGTAACGACAAAGGCATACTGAATTGCATGGAGCAAGGGAGGGCTGTCAGTGCAGGCATTTTGGTTGGCTGTGACCATTCCTCGAGAAGCTCATTTCTCTGAAGAATGTCCCTTATTCCCAGCAGCTGCGTTAGTCTATCAACCCCTTCACAACTGCCCGTAGCTATGACGTAAGGGGCCTGCTGATCAATTACAGTTCCAAGTCATCCTTGTCGCAAGAGAGAGGTGGCAAGCCGGTGTTTTGCCGTCGGGTCGTATTCGTCTTGGCACCTGAGGCTCACCATCCTTCCCTGTCCAATCTTAATGGTCTTGTTCTGATTTCGAATATAGTGCTGATATGGAGTTTCAGAAAGCGGGTTCATCGGTTTAGAAGCCCATGTAGGCGCGTCAACAACCTCTTGCAAAAGGTCGATATGACCTTCAAAAGGACCAAACTCGATGACTTTAATTTGCAACATTTCCTGCGCAAGCTGTGGTTGCGCAGTGAAATGACAGACAGGCGTAATGGTGTCGTCATCTCTCCTGACATGTACTACACCAAGTACGCATAATCCAATCTGCAGACCACTTAGCTACAGCTCAATCGATGGGATATCAGGCATCCTTGCTGGGAGGGCAATTTGAAGGGATATCTCCTCAGAGCTTCCTGGGGCAGTGAGGGACCACTCCACCCTCCTGGTATTTTTCCGCGTATCCGAGAGGCTAAACTTTGCCGCTTTCAGCGTAATGCTGTCCGGAATATGTACGTGACAGCTGCGAAGTTCCAAAATGGCTTTCTGGAAGTTGAAGGCATCTGTGTATAATCTCAAATACTTGCCCGGAAGGCATGAAGGATCCGAAGCTGATTCAGCTTAAAATGGATTTCGAAAGCCTCAGCGCTCTTTTCTTTATTGTCAAGTGGGAAAGGGATGTCGATGTATTAGGAAAACCTTTCATGGGCGAGACTCCAAGCCAAACCTGTAACTCAACTTGGCCTGATCTGGCTGCGAGTTTGCTGAGTGCCTGATCATGCAACTGCGTCAAGTCATGATGGATTGCTTTGAGTTTGAAAGCATCAACATTGGTTGCTATCAACGCAATGTCCTGTCTGTTTGGCATATCGCTCAGAAAGCGTGGCATGGCTATGTGGAGACTTTGAGTTCGTTGTTTTGCAGGACGATGCGTCCTGCAACCTCAGAGAGGTTGGAGTCGAAACGTCGACACCTGCGTCCGGCAATCTTCTTGGTAACGGACTCACATCTGCGCCTGAATCCAAGATCACCACATGTTGCTTTGTGTCCAACTGGACCATTCATTATTGTCGATATCCTGCTCCCAAGCTTGGCCATGCTTTGTTTGCTTTGTTTGCTTTGTTTCCTTTGTTTCCTTTGTTTCCTGTGTTTCCTGTGTTTCCTGTGTTTCCTTTGTTTCCTTTGTTTCCTTTGTTTCCTTTGTTTCCTTTGTTTCCTTTGTTTCCTTTGTTTCCTTTGTTTCCTTTGTTTCCTTTGTTTCCTTTGTTTCCTTTGTTTCCTTTGTTTCCTTTTCCACCTCCTTTTTCGTGCACTGCATCAACTTCCATCGGTGTGGTCCTTGATCTGCATTCGAACTGCTCGCTGTGTTCGAAATTGTCTTTTGCTTCAACACCGTCTGGTAGTTCCATGTCTTGCTGCTTTGTTCGCGCGAAAGAATTGCCTGTTACACTGACATGTAGTTGGTTCCTTCGGGCATCAGTAAGGTGGTCCCTCAGTGCCTTTGGCGAACATCGAAGCAATACTCCCATCAACAAATCTCGATCGTAGGTCTTTCCTGAAGCAATTTTGGCAGTTGAGCTGACCAAGCTGCTGTCGTACCTTGGACACAGGAAAATCACCTTACGTGCTGACCCCGAACCGTCATGCGCTGCGCTTGCAAATGCTGTCCAGGCCTTCAGGCACCGTATCGGTATGGAAACGCATATCGAACAAACCCCTGTTGGAGAGCGCCAAGGCAACCACGCTGAGGGTGCCATCGAACGCATCCGACAGCTAACAGGGACCATGTTGGCTGAGCTTGAGGATCGATTGAAAATCCAAATCAAGACGTTCGACCCGCTGCATCACTGGTGCTGGCGCCACGCCAGCTGGACTCTCCAGCTTTTTGGTGTCACACAAAACCTAACGCCGTGGGAGAGAGTGCATGCATCCCCATATGGAGGCAAACTTGTCCGTTTCGCAGAGTGCGTCCTGGCACGCGTGAAAACTGCCACAAAGGGCAAACCACGGTGGCTTCGGGCCATGTGGCTGGGCAAATCAGATGTTTCTGATTGTCACCTGTTTGCACTTCATCAGGTCGTCTTGTGGTTGCTAGATCTGTCCGACGCACCACGTGTGAGTATGATCCCAGCCTTGTGACAGTACTGCAAGACACACCTGACAAGCATGTGTCATTCCTTGCTGGAGGTGTCGGAGCAAGCCGAAATCAACTTCAACCAAAGCCTGTTACAGGAGAAGGTCCGGGCAGTGGGAGTGAGGTTGCAGCCAGCGACCCACCAACTGAGAATGAAGATGTCGTGGACATTCCACACGATATTGCACTTGCCCCTTCTTCTGTGAGATTGCCTGCTGAAGGCATGCCTGCAACACCTGACCAAACCCTAGGTATTCAGTCAGGCGGTTGCCGGCCTAATCTACAACCTGTGCAGGAACATTCACAACCTTCCAGACTTCCATCACGTGCAGCTGCAGCACCTCCCGAGAGTGCTTTGGCGATAGGAGATCCCATGCCATCGCCTGCACCGACCCCGAACCCTAGTTTGGGTTTAGGCCTTAACCCAGGTCAACCAACCACCCCGCTTGATGAACTAGGTGAGCTAGATGGTTTAGACAGTGCCATGGCTGAACTTGAACAGGTTCATGAAAGGGCTGAAATTGGGGAGGATAGTCAGGAGTCCAAGCGTCAGAGGATCCGTGCAGTGAATGCCCATCACCACAACGACGAGGTTGTTCACCTTGAGGACCTAGAACTTGACTCAGATGCTGATCTCAGCGAGTCAGTTGAGGATCCACCCGCTTGGAATGCATCCGACAACTTTGAGGATGCAGGAAACATCCCTGAGGAGTTGTGGAGGCCGTCTGGGGCCGGTGAGCCTCAGCTCTCGACTGAAGAATTGGAAGCATTCGAGTTAGCCCGACTCGAAGCCATGTGTGTTCTTGAAAGGCTGCCACAGCTGACTTCAGCGCCTCAGCACCAAAATGGTCAAAACGTGGAGAATAAAACCATCTCCACGCGGAGACGGAAAGGCATTTCTCCGTAGGGCCCGTTTTGTAGCCAGAGAGTTCAGGTGGCTCAGTGCCATGGTCGACAACGAGGTGTTTGCACCTGCCTCGTCTAATGCGCTGCTACGAGTCCTGCCGGCTTGTCGCACGGCAGCCAGAGCATTGGACAGCGCTATCCTTAGATGTCGCAGATGCCTACCTCACGGTTCCGCAAGCCGTGGACACCGTAGTATCCATTTGGGTGCGAGGTGAACAAAGGCGCTATAGACTCCTTAGAAACCTTCCAGGTCAGCGTTCAGGTGCCAAGGACTGGTCTGAAGCATTCCAGTCATACTTGATAGAGAAGCTGGCCATTGAGCCGCTTGCAGAAGCTCCAGCCCTGTTCTTCATTCCTGGGAGTTCAGATGAGGGCTATGGCGGGGGAGGCGGGGGTCTGTGCCATGTTGATGACCTTTTCGCAGTTGGAGCCGATCCAACAACGCAAAGGCTTAGCGAATGTGTGAGGGCCAAGTACCGATGCACGATTTCCTTCTTGAAGCAGCCTGGTGATGAGATCAACTTCTTGAAGAGGAAGCACAAGTGGGCATTGAGTGACGTGCTAGCCATCATGCCCAACCCGAAGCATGTAGAAGGTCTTGCTGTGTTGCTTGGTGTTTGTGCGCAACGTCCTAGGGACAGTCCCTTGCCCACAGGCGGAACCCTTCCGCTGTGGATACAGCTTGCGCCCCTTGACGATGTCAGGTCAGGGATCTACAGAATGTGCATCGGGGTACTTCTGTATGTGTCCAGCGATTATCCTGCAGCCCAGTTTGGCGTAAAGACGCTAAGCAGCATGTGTGGGAAGCCAAACGAAGGGGCATGGCGATGCCTCAGGCATCTGGTGAACTATATGTTCTTGCCTTCGGACTGAGGGTAAAGGCGCTGGCCTAGTCGTCCCGTGATGACACTCACACTTTAGAGGTGTTCGCTGATGCTGATTGGTCAGGAACCGATCGACAAGAAAGAGCACCAGTGCAGGATGCATTGCCTTTGACGGCATGGTTGTTCACACGTTTTCAAGAAGCCAAAGCTGCGTAAGCCTAAGCAGTGGTGAAAGTGCATATATTGCATGCGTGAGCGCAACATGCGACGGCATCTTCCTTCGTAGTGCCCTTCAACACATCTTACGCACCAATGTGTCCATGCATTTGTTCACAGATTCAAGTGCAGCTCGCGGCATTGTGGGCAGACAGGGATGTGGACGTCTCCGTCACATTTCTGGTCGCCTGTTATGGCTACAGGACTTCCTGTTCAAATGGAAGAAAGCATCGCTCCACGCGGTGCCGACCTTGACGAATCCAGCTGACTTGTTTACAAAGTCTTTGTCAGGGGCCCGTATCCGCACTTTGAGCCACATCCTTGGGATCCGTGATTCGCATGACGGATTTTCTCTTGTTGGGACGACTGAGTTTTAGGAGCAGCAGCGCCGTGAGCAGGCAAAGAAGTTTCTTCGTGCTGTGAGGAGCACAGGTCGTGGAAATGCCGAGGCGTTGCAATTGCTTGCGTTGTTGGTCCAGGTCATGGGCAACAAGGCTACGGATGTTGAAGTGCGAGCAGAGTTTGTGCCTGACTCGCCAGTGTCAACTGACGAGGATTCGAGCCCGTGCTGGAAAGGGTGTGGACCCTCGGGGCGGCACTAAGGGTCGTCAGCGACTCGACGAGCACCCCCCTTTCCCCCACTCGGCGGCGCCAGGGCGACAGTGCCTTTCCTCCCCATCTTCAGAGTCCATGATACACTCTTATTGCAAAAGAAGGTGGCCTTTCGTGGTAAGTTTCCGAGCACACAATGCAGTGATTTGATTTTGGTCACCAATTGGTGAGAGGACAAGGGAGGCTCGGAGGCAGGCGAGTTTTGTTGCGGCTACAACTGGATGTTATTAAATTTTGGTTTTGTTTTGCAAGCGTGGTCGCCCCTGGTGCTTTGTGCTCCCCCTGCATCTGGCGCACGCTTGTTGGGGTCTGATCCGTTTCGATCCGTTATGGTTACTTTCTCTGGCCAGTCAATGTTCTGAGAGTGGGTCCTCGTGTACTCTCTTGACATGCTGATTTGTTCATGTGAGTTGCGTGTCGCCCCCGGTGCTGGAGCTGTGTGCTCCCCCTGCATCTGGCGCACGCTTGATCCGTTTCGATCCGCTATGGTTACTTACTCTGGCCAATCAATGTTCTGAGAGTGGGTCCTCGTGTGCTTTCTTGACGTGCTGATTTGTTCATGTGGGTTGCGTGTCGCCCCGGTGCTGGAGCTGTGTGCTCCCCCTGCATCTGGCGCACGCTTGTTGAGGTCTGTTCCGTTTCGATCCGCTATGGTTACTTACTCTGGCCCGTCAACGTTATGAGAGTGGGTCCTCGTATGCTCTTTCGACATGCTGTTTTGTTCATGTGGGTTGCGTGTCACCCCCGGTGCTGGAACCTGCCTCTGGCGCGCTTGTTGGGGTTCGTTCCGTTCTTGGTCCGTTTTGGTTTCTCCCTCCGGCCCGTTATTGTTGTGAGAGTTTTTTTCCTCCTCGGAGCAGGGGTGAAGGTTTTCGTCGGGGTCAAGCTTGCTTTGCACTTGGCCTGATGATTCCGTGTGTTGGGCATGCTTGCTACATTGCTTGTTGCGACGATGTGAGGCCCTGGTTGCTACATTGGTCGATCGTCGTTTTGGGCTGGTTGTGTATGGAGTTTTTGAGCTTGCTTTGCACTTGGCCTGATGATTCCGTGTGTTGGGTATGCTTGCTGCGTTGCTTGTTGCGACGATGTGAGGCCCTGGTTGCTACATTGGTCGATCGTCGTTTTGGGCCGGTTGTGTGTGGAGTTTTTGAGCTTGCTTTGCACGGCCTGATGATTCCGTGTGTTGGGTATGATTGCCACGTTGCCTGTTGCGACGATGTGAGGCCCTGGTTGCTATATTGGTCGATCTGCTTTGCACTTGGCCTGATGATTCCGTGTGTTGGTGTGACGATGTGAGGCCCTGGTTGCTACATTGGTCGATCGTCGTTTTGGGCGGGTGTGTGTGGGGTTTTGAGCTTGCTTTGCACTTGGCCTGATGATTCCGTGTGTTGGGTATGATTGCTGCGTTGCTTGTTGCGACGATGTGAGGCCCTGGTTGCTATATTGGTCGATCTGCTTTGCACTTGGCCTGATGATGATTCCGTGTGTTGGGTATGCTTGCTACATTGCTTGTTGTGACGATGTGAGGCCCTGGTTGCTACATTGGTCGATGGTCTTTTTGGGCCGTGTGTGCATGGTGTTTTTGAGTTTGCTTTGCACGTGGCCTGTTGATTTCGTTTGTTGTCGATGCTTGCTGGCAAATTGCTTGTTGTGACGATATTCTTTTCGCTGGGTGTGCGTGCTACATTGGTCGTGGGCTGAACCCCCGCTGCAGCTGACAGTGCCTTTCTCCATGTGTAACGTTTGCACTGCCTCCTTACATCTGTTTGTGCTTTCGATGCGCTGGTAAACATACAATTTGATGAGAAAGTCGCCCTTGTTTGCTCGATTTTCGCTTGCCTTATGTTGCTGGTTGGCGACCCTTGGCTGCACTAGCTAATTCCCCCACTTGAACTCTGCGACGGAGGGGGGCGATGACGCTTGCGGAGCCCCCCTGAGAAGTTGAGAGGGACGTGGGAGGCAGGCCGCACCGTAAGTGCTGGTCGACACTCACTCACTCACTCACTCGAGCCCGTGGATCAGCTTTGTCTTTGTCGTCGTCGCAACAGTGTGCATTGCGTTCCTGCTTGGCCGTGCCAGTGCGTCCCTTTTGGAGTGGTTTAGGTTTGAAGCAACAGAGGCTCAGCAGCCATTGCTAGCCGAAGCACCTGCTCTTGCAGAAAACCTTGATGTGCTTTCTGACGATAGCCATGAAAGTCTTGGTTTGCAGCATTACTCACCGCGAACTCGTGGTGCAGAGATCCTCGGTCGGTCACGAGTCGCCGCCTGTAACACCGAGTGAATCTGAACTTGAATCTGAGCAGCCAGACTCAGCGCCGGCAGGTGACGCCGCAGCTAAAAGATGTTCCAGCTATTCCTGTGACTCCAGCTGGTCAGACAGCTAACGTGCAGCAGCCTGCATTGCTGCAGGATGATGACATCCTTCGGGTGAGGGAAGATGCTGATGTATGGATTGCCCCAAGAAGTGGAATTCGCTTTCATTTTCTTGGTGAGTGCGATGGTCTTAGAAGGGCCTGTCAGGCTCGTAGACTGATGTATGGCCAGCTGCAGTTTGAGTTTCCTGGTCAGTATGAGTGCCAGTTGTGGACTCGAGAGCTTGCACGTCGCCAGGACATTGCACGATTGGCCACCATGTACCACATTCTGCATGTGCATGGCCGACAACTGCCAAATCCCATGCTTCAGATCCTTCCAGAGCCCGAGCCGCATGATGATACGTCAATGAGCCCAATCACGATGACCCGCGTCTTTTCGTTGCATGTGTGTTTTAATGAAGCAGAATTAGATAGACGCAATTTCTTGAAACGCTCATGATGTCTCTTGTGGATGCAGTCGCTGGCTGGTACCACTGTACCTGAGCTTGTGTGCAAATTTTCTTGAAGTGCAGTGGAGTAAACTCAAATCTCTAAGAGATTGGCAAATTCTGCATGTGGCCGGTAACCTCTCCTTTGCAGATCGCAGCCGTGTGATGTTGAAAGTTCTTGCAGCTTGCAAGCAAACTCACTTGGAGCCATGAGCTCACAAGGTGCCCAAAGGTCAAAGGTTAGGAGGTGCCTGTAGGCCTGTACAAAGCTCACCAAAATGGCGGCGGCCCTGGAGAGCGGTACGTCCGCCCTCGGCAGTAAAGGACAAACCGAGTGTTGCATTGCACTTGCTGAGGCTTGTTGGCTGTTTCGCTCTGGGCATGTGTAGCAGTAGCTCCCACCGAATCGTTCTGAAAGCCTGCTTTGCGTAGCACGGCAAATCATCCTTTGGCGGGGTGATCACGATTTCGATGTCATGCATGGGGACACTCAACCATGTATTTTCCTTGCGAAGATTTTATGTGGTGGGATAGTTTGTTTGCCCAGAAGCTTTACAGTCATGTCTCATGTCATGTGCCGACGCAGCTGTGCTCGTGAGTCTCAAAAGTTTTCAATTTCCGCCAGTCCCACCATGCACATCTTTACCCACCATTCCCACAACTACCCATAATTACCCACCTTACCCGCAAGTCTCACCATCATCCACCAATACCCACCAATACACATCATTCCCGCAACCCACCAGATACTTCCCGCAACCCACCAGATACCCACCAATACCCACCATTCCCACCCAAACCCGCCTCCATCCCACGATTCCACCCCATACCAAACCACCGCCGCCCTTACCCTCCATTCCCACCTTGACCAGAACCCACCATTCCCCACCATTCCCACCATTGTCTACCATTCCCGCCGTTCCCACGAAACCAATAATACCCACCATTACCCACCACCAGACCGTTCTCCACCATTCCCACCATTACCCACCCTTGCCCACCATTCTCGCCGTTACCCGTCTTCCCACCACGACCCACCATTGCCCACCAATCACCCACCATTTCCACCGTTGCCCATCCCCCTTCCCACCATGATTAAGCCACTACCCGCCTTTCATGATTCCCCGCCATGACGCACCATGACCTGCCCACATGTGCCACAAGTAACCACCATTCCCAGCATTGCCTATCATGACACATCATTTCCTACCAGTACCACCACTTACCCAAGATTTATCCACTATGTACCCGCCATGACCATAACCCACCAGTACACACCAGAGTTCTGGATATTGGCGGGTAGTGTCGGGTATACGCAACCAGGAGGGTTCAGGATTGATTGGAGGGAGATTTTCTTCACGGCTCATGTTTCCAGATTTTGGCTGGGCTTTCGTTGTTTTCACTCACTCAGCAAATCCGCGCGGCACGGGTGAAACAAACTCGAACATAAAAACCACAGGGGGTTGCAACTGTACAAGAGGCATACTTTGTAAGCCCGTAGGCTGATTCGGACGCAATTGTCCAATCTTCTGTGCGGCGATGTTCAACATAGCAAGGGTTAGATCGAGATCTGACGGTATGTTGACTGGTGGCTTTCCGCATGCTCTCAGGGAATCTTTCGTTGTTTCTTGAAGCCAGTGAGCTCTTGGTCTACTTATTCTTCTGTAATAATTTATCTGCGGTGAAGTGGTTCCAAATTCGAATGAAACTTGTCTTCGCGGGTCGTACTTGTCAGCCCTGCGCATGTGTCCTAGTAGTCTCTTGACTTTTCCAGCATTCCGAAAATTTTTGAGTCTGAATTCCATAGTGTTTGGTTTTGTTCATGACACTGTTGTTAGTTTGGGTTCTATCAACATGAGTAGGTGGCATTTTTAGGATTCGCCTGAAGTTTTTCATTTGGAAGGCATCCAACTTTTTCATCTCATTTTGCGTAAGTTTTATGGATTCAAGCCGTACAATATCTTTGATTTCACAATTGCGTTGAACACCTGCAACTTCCATTTGGTGTTAGTGTTTGCTTTGTTCCAAAATAATTTCATTGGCTTGGCGGTTTTGAAGGCCATCGCTATTATATTGAGAACTTCTGCATTGTTGTTGGCACTGTCTGTCAGGACAGATCCCAAGTACACAGCTTGCTGTTTGCGCGGTACCTTTGTGCCATCTCGGTGTTTTTATGGTTGATGTACGTCTGTTGGTTGTCAGGTTTGACGCATCTCTCGTAGTTGAGTGTCATGTTGTAATACCAAGATTCTTGTTCGATTTCCGCCAGCAGTTTGTTGGGAGATTGCGTGTGATTTCCGAAAGTCAAGGTCTCGTCCGCATAAAGAACTTCGGCAACGTGTATTCCTGGAATTGGCTGTTGCTGTTTGGGTGTTGAGTCTCTCTTTTTATGGCAGTGACAATAACGGACATCACAAGTATACATAGATAAGGTGATAGCGGACGGCCTTGCCGTATTCCGCACTGCTGCGTGAAGAACTTGGAGTTGCCTTCGTTAGTGCAAACCTCAACGCGTGGTTGGTCATGAATATTGCTAATCATGGTCAGAAGGTACCGCGGGATATTGATCCTGTTCAGGGCTTCTATGAGGCGAACATGATCAACTTTGTCAAATGCCTTCTCCCAGTCTAGTAGAACGATAGCCATGCTGTCTCCTGATTCTCTGTTATATCTTGCAATCTACGTGCAATGAAAATCGCGTGACTCGTGCTTTTTCCTGATCTGAATCCGTATTGAGTCTTCATACTCCATTGCTCAAGTCCTTGTGCAAACCTGTTTTTGAATGATTTACAGGATGTTTGAAGTAGCGCGATGGGTCAATAATTCTCTAGTTTGCTTGAATCACCTTTTTATACAGTGATACAATAATAGCTTGGTGAAGTGACGTTTCAAGAGTTCAAGTGGCATGCATCTGGTTTATATTATTGAGAAGCTTTGCTTGGTTGTTATCATCCAAGTATTTCACTAGTTCAGCTCTCAACCTGTCTGTTCCAGGAGTTTTATTTTTTCGCTTGCCTGGCTATAGCAGTTCTTGTTAGCTAAATGGATCATCTATAACGTTGTCCCTTCCATTGAAAAGAGTTTCAGGATGTCTTTGCGCGGTGGTAGAATTTCACGGTTGCTTTTCCACTGAAGATTGGCTGAGTATTCTGCTGCCTTATGTGGCTACTGTTTGCTTTGATTCGTTTACCATCCTTGTCTTTGAATTTTGTGAGTTTCAATACCGGTCGAGATCGCAGCTTCTTCAGACCTGTCCATTTGTGTTGTTGGTGCCCTAATTCCTCTAATTGGCCGATCATGTTCTGTGCTTTGTCTCGTCTGACTGCGCTTTTGTCTCGTCTGACTGCGCTTTGATTTTTAGATTGAGGTCTTTGGCCAATTCTTCCGAACCAGATTCTCTGGCATTTTGCCTCTGTTGCAGAAGATCCCACGTAGCCTCTGAGATATAACTCTGCTTTTGTTCTGTGGGAGTTTTGATACAAGTTTTTGGTTTTCTGTCATCGGGTAAAGCTCGTATTTTCTCATTGTACTCAAGCAGTTGTTGCGAAGTCGGTTTTCTAGACCTGGGTGGCCGCGGGGCATTTATCTTCTTCTGTTTACTTACCAATTTAATGTCTATCTTAGTGATGAGAAGTTTGTGGTCGGATTCTATACTAGTGTGATGAGTTGTGATAATATCTTTGACGGAGTTTTTCCACGGAGCATTGGTTAGAATGAAGTCTAGTTGTGCAAAATGAGAGTTATTGACAGGTGATGTAATTGCTGTAGCTTCAGCGCTTTTGTAGGTCATCAGTTCTCTTTGGTTTTTTTGAAGGAATGTGGAGCTTACCATGTAATTTTCTCCCACGCAGAACTCTATAAACAAGTCTCTGTTTTCCTGCTGGGGCGCAGGAAGGCCACATATTTCACGTTCTTGTGGGTTGAAGATGTGTTGCCCGATGTTCTCTGACTCTGCTGGCAGCCGCTGAAGAAGTCTAGCGTTGAAGTCTCCAGCTATAAGATGTTTATTGTGCATGCCATATTTGTTTGCTATTTCCTCAAGATGTTGATAATACTGCATCTTTTCATTGATAGGGCGTCCCCGCACGCGGCGTGCTTGTGATGTTCAGTTGCCCTCCATTGCTGTTGAGCGATACGGTGATGTTGCGATTATCATGTTGTTCAACATCTAGCTTGTGTTTGTTCAAGCAGCTGCTGAGTACCAATCCTGTCCCCAATTTTTCTGCATCTAGATTGTACAATTCTAACATAGATCTTTTGCGTTTTCCACGACCTTTGCTCATTTCTTGCTCCTCTCTTGCTTTTGCTGCAGCTTCACGTTGTTTATCTGTCACTGAGGTGGATGTGTGGGTATTGATGTGCGTTTCCTGCACACATAGAATATCTAACTTGTGTGTTTTCATCATGTGGATGACTTGTTGCCGTGCTGATATGTGGTTTAAGCCTCTGCAGTTCATACTTCCAATGGTAAGTTTAGTGATCTTGCCCTTATTCTCATTGTGTGTTGAAGTGTGCTTGTCCGTGCCTTCTTGAGTTCCATTATAAATGTTTACCTGGGGAGCCAAAACAGGTAAACACTTCCTCACCTTTCTATATTGTTGGCGTCTCTGTTGTCTGTTCTGTGCTCGATTGCATCTCCTCATGAAGATAGAAGCTTGTGAACGATGTTTTGTCCATCGAATAGTCTGCAAAGCTAGCTTATTGTCTTGTTTATCCGGGGTTGCTTGTGAGGTATCAGTATGTTGCCAAACCTCATTATTTGATATTCGGTGAGACTTGATCCGATCTTTGATCCGATCGACCTTTCGTTGCCGCTCACCATTGCGTGGCGGCACTCCCGCATTCCCAATAAGGGGGGAGGTCTTTAGGGTAGGAATCTGTTTATGTGCAGGATCTTGTTGTTGACAGAATCTGTGCTTTCGTTGTTCGCAGCAGGGTTTTTCATGTTTAGACTGAGGTTTGTGGGTTTGGCATTTCAGCTTGATGAAGTCGAGAGGGTATTTGCGTTTTTGGGGATCGTTGAAATGCAGGTTCAGAACTTTGACGTGATAGTTTACGGCTCAAGCTTAGAGTTTGATCAGGCTCTATGCAGATCTCGATCTTTGCACGGCCGTGGTGCTGCAAGCCTGCCCCTGCGGGACACGGAAACAGCTAAATAGACATATTGAAATTCATGCCTATGAAGTAGTGATGTTCTACATGACATTCAGTGCAGTGAAGAGCGTGAACTGGAGCCATGTCCGTCGACTGGTGGCAATTCAGTGTTTGCGATTGAGCCCGCCCCAGCTTCTTCAACAAACGAAAGCCAATATTTGTTAATCTCACCTTCCGCTCGGTTGCTTGGGTGCCAAGGGCTTTGCAGCTTCTGCAAGCCTGGAGGACTGAGGGAGCTTGCTTTCCGCAAGACGTTGCATGTGCCTTTCGTGTGCTTGCTCAGATGTGGTGCCAGATGTTGGAGCTGAATCAGAAATCGTCAGCAACTGAAAACATGTCAGTGTTTCATCGCTTGTCTTTGACCGATGCAGTCCTGGTGCTAGGTGATTTCGGCAACATGTCCTCTTGCCATTGAGCAGGCGCAATCCCTTCCAGCAAAATGTGATTTGTCTGTGCGAAAACTTTACAAACAACAGGAGGCGAACTTGGACTGCCTCATAAATGCCCAGCCAATTGAGACTGAAGAGGCATGTACAGTGTTTCTGGGCGATCCCCGTGCGCAATTTGGTCGTTTTATCGATGTCTGATCCGAAGGCGAATGCAATTTCATCATGGACGAAAGAGGCTGCCTCGCCTTCTCTCCATACAATATCCGATGAGCAGCTAAGCAGCAGCTGGCTTGCTTCGTTATATTACTTGATGTCATTAAGCTACCAACTGTGCTTACAAAAATGGGCGTCATGAAAGGGTGGCTGTCAGAAGCTTCAGGTTTGGATGACGGAAAGTGAGCTTGACCGCGCGCGGAAAGTTGTATTAATTGTCAAGTGGGGGGATTTTGGGGGAGACGGGATTTGCATGCGGGGCGGGTGCGGGACAGCATCAAGAGCATCATTTGCTCTTTTGTTTTTTGTTAGGGGCCCGCCGGGGCATCCATCCTTGCCAAGGGCACGGCATGATTTTATGGTTGCTGATTGCCACTGCCATTACCCACATTGCTGCCATGACCATTGATGCCATTACTACCATTGTTTCCAGTATTGCCACTTGTTTGCATGGGGGGTGGTTGGACCCCCATCATGAGCATAAGTTTCCCCAAACATTTCTTAAGGGATCATTTGATCCCTTGTTTCTTTCCTGGGCTCTTTGGGCACGTGTTGGGCATCCGCGTGAGCATGGTTTGGCCCCTCGTTTGCATGACGCCGCCCCTATTTGCTTCATTTCTCTGGAGGCCTTTGTCATAGAGGCCCCTGGAATCTGGATGGAGGCCTTGCTTCAATTACTCAGGCCTTACTACGTACTACTCAATACTTGCCACGTGCTACTCAATACTTTCTGCGTACTACTACATACTACTTGCTGTTTACTACTTGCGATTCACTACTGTCTCCTTTGCTATTTGCTATACTTACTGCTTACTATTTGCCACTCGATTTCCGTGTGATCCTCCTGATTTGCAGCCCCTTTATCTGCTTTTGCTTTCGATGGTCTGGCAGCATGTTAATGTGATATAAGGTTGGCGACGTGCGTGTCGAGATTTCTTCCGGCTTGGCCCGCAGATATCGTACAATTGGAGCAGGGCCGGCTAGGCGAGCCGTGTGCGTGTGATGTTTATTGTGATGCAAGGTGCTGGAGTTCCTTCCGCTGCGGGCAGCCTGTCATGGAGCAGCTGACACACAGGTAGCATTTTGTGTGCAAGAGAGTTGGGAATGGTGGACTGAAGCATCATGCTAGGCCTCGAGTGTCTGCAGAGATCTTGAGTTTTTAGAGTTACAGTTTGAGTGTGGCCGGCAGGCTTTTAAGAAACTCTTGATGGTGCCGTGCCCTTGGCGCCTCATGGCTGATGCCCGGCAATCTTTGAAGTCGGCAGAGGCCTTGGAGGAGGGGCCTGCCGGGCCTGCGTTGTGAGTGGAGATTCATGCTTGAATGCTCCACATATTTCCAAACATATCTCCACGTTAACACATCATGTCAGCAGAATGCATGCCGCATGGAGGAGATCCATGGTTGTGAGAAGGTGATTTATCACACGAAGCAGAAGCGACTTTATTTCCGAGGGCTGGATGGATGTAAATGGACGTCGATCGTGGACTCAGACCGCAGTTTCAAAGCCGTTCAGGCGGCGTGGCGTGACCAGCCCTGCCTGGAGCAGATGGCTGCCTGGGGTGAGCGACTGCGCCGGGCCTGTGGTTTCGCGCCGAACGTGCCGACAGTTCGCGTCTGGGTCGACCCAAAGACATCACAAAAGGTTGTGTGGTGTTGAGCCACGGCTTTGGGTGAGGATGAGCGTGTGAGCTTGTGTTTCTGCCCATTGATCTCGATGGCCTACTATGCGATGCGCATACTCTTGGTACAGTACAGACAAGCAAATCTGGCTTGGCTTGCCTGGTGCCGTGCAGATGTTCTTGGTGCATCGCGCTAACAAGGTTGCCTTGCTACCAAGTGTAAGCAGGTTTGATCTGAGAGTCGACTGTGTCCTCACCAGCAGGGCAGTGTGCGCCTGATGAAATCTTGTTTGGAGTCCTGTTTTATCACTGCCTGGCAAGAACTTGTGATTCAGTGATTTAGCTTTACGAAGCACGCTTGGCTCAAAGCCTTGGCCTTGTACGTGGCAAGAAACGCGCGCCAAGGCCAGGGCCTGTAAATGATGGTGATGTGTTGACCAAAGATCTTCAAACCAAGACTTGTCCAAACAATGACAGGATTGAAGCTCCTAATAAGGCTGCAGCTTGCTGATTGCTGTTGCACCGCGATAGAGTTCTTGGTCGAAGTGTTGTCTCGCTACAGGTAACAAGTTGCGAAGTTATTTTGTTTGCCAAATGTGAGGCTGGTGACATGGGAAATTGTTGCGGAAACGATGGCGGCAAGGTCGCTTCAGAGCTTCTGGATGCTTTGATCTCAGGCTGGCATTGTGCGCTAAGGCAAGTTCTTTTTCTTGGTATTTCTTTGTGACTTTGATCAATGAGGACAGCCCCGCCGCCGGAAGTCTGACTGCAGATCTAGGTCGGGGGGCCAGGTATTCAAGTGTGTCTTTGTGCCAGCCTGAGCACAGGACTGACTCCGATTGAGGGTCTCCTGTGTGGCGAACCCAATGGAGCGCTGAGCCCAGTTTCGTGTCCGGTGTCATGGATGCTTGAGTGTTGGGCTATGCAGCACGTGCGACTGGAATGATTGACTGGAATGATTGACATATGTTTTATCTGTTCATGTCGAAGGTCGACGTTGGAGACGTCATGTTTGATAATCTTGGATGCGTTGACTGGCACGTCAGATTGGTAAGTGGCAGGCCATTCGCTCAGAGGGCTGCTGTTATGTTGTTGTTGGATTGAGTTGCCGACGATGCCTGAGCCCAGGATGATGCGATGGTATGACTATGACAATGAGCAGGCCTGCGGCAAGTAATCCAATAGACATGGGGCTGCGTTGGTGAAGCACATGTGTTGTCAAAAGGTCCTCTACCGTATTCCGACTCATGAGATCGTCGGTGGGGCCAGGTACTTATGTAGTCTTCCAACGTAGAAGCAATCTTGCGAGCTGGAAAGGTAGAGATTTCTCACGACAACAGCTTTTCGTGAGGCACCATTCATGTTGCAATCCGCCCAGCACATCATGCTCCGGGAAGAGGTGCTGGCGTGCGGGATAGAGATCAGGCTCACGCGACTCACGTGCCATGTTGCTCAGGATCTTTTCGTGTTCGGTGACGAGGATGATGGCACCTACACTCCCATCACACCAGGCTCACAGGTACGGCTGTACAGATCGCCGTTCCTCATGAATCGCCGAGTTGCGGATGAGGCCAGGGTAGTTTGCGTGTGCAACATTGTTGTCTTGCCCGCTGTAACCTTGCAGGTGATGGCTGCTTTAAGACCAATTGGTACGTGGAGCATGGACCTCGAGCAACATGATTGTAGTTGCATTGTCAGTTCTACGCGCTGGTTTGTGGTTCTCCAAGGTTGGGGGACTGGTGCGATGGCACTCCTCCTTTGGATCTTTCCCTTGATGCTTCTCTCCATCTTGCTCGCTGTTTGCTTGTCTCTCCGCCTTATTACTTCTGCGATTCCTCTCCTGATTGGTGTGCCGGCCTCAGTGGTGATTGCGGCGTTTTGAGTCTGCCTGGGTAGCTTGCGCCGGAAGAGAATCAACTTGTAGGTGCTGCTGATCGGCCTGGTGGATGCGCGCTGCCGGCGCTTGCCATGCCGGTCGATCCAGTACAGACAGCCCATATGCACTAGCCTGGTGACATTGTTTTGGACGCCGCGGGCTCAGCTCCCAAGAGATGTTGTGCAGCGCTCGTGGAGTCTTTCACAAAAACTATTGTAGCTGGGCTTGAGGATAATATTGCTTTAGCATGGGGTTTTAGACATTGATATATCAGTGTTGCAGATCTATATTGACAACGTGTTTTTCAGCATTTGCAGGGTCGCGGGTCGGCAATTTGAGCATTCGTGGATTTGCGCATACGCAAATTACACAAATTGGCGAAGCCAGAGAATTTCGATTCCTCGGTTGAGCGTTCGTGGATTTGCAGATTTGCGGGTTTGCAGGGCTTTCCCAGGTTTCCTGGGTTGTCGGATGCGGGATGTGCGGATTTCCGGACATGTGGATTTGCAGAATTGCGGGTTTGCGGCGGTTTCCCGGATTTCGCAGGTTTCCGGATGTGCGGATGTGCGGATTCCCAGACACGACGGCCTTCCATCGCGATGGACAAGGCATTATTTCTGTGGCTGTATCACGAAATTTTTCTTGGGAAAAATCTCTGGTTGCATTTGCGGTGTTTTGTTTTAAAACGGGACGTGTCCATTTGTGATGCACACACATGCACGCATCATGACATTTAAAATGGCAAGTGCAGCACGTGCCCATTTTCTTGAAAGCAGATGTCATGTTTTGTGAAACAACATGTGATATCTGCAGCACCTCGGTTCGAGTAAGGTGCACAGAAAATTTTTTGTCTCTTCTAACCTGGGCTTGAAGGCGCAACGGCTCCGCTTGTTAACAGGCCTGATCCTTTCAACCAGTTTCCCTCTTAGAGGGCGTGCAAGCCAGAGTGATCTCTGGTGGATGGACCCAGCGGATCGCGTTCTTCAAGAGCTTCAGCGTGAGGTTGCCCAGGTTGAGCCCCTGCGACATCAGGTAGCTGTCTTTCAGGGTGATTTGAGTGCATACCATCTTGAGGTCGAGGCTTTGCGTGCGGAAGTTAGGGCCTTGCGTGATCAGATCGCTCCTTTGCAAGAGGCCCACGTTCGTGCTTCTGCCCGCCTGCAGCCCCGCCTTGTGCATCCTGCTCCAGCCATTGAATCCTTGACGGAGCGGGTGTTGCATAACCAGAGCTGTTTTCAGTTTCTTGTTGTGGCGTTGCAGAGAACCTTCCCTCACGTCCAGTGGCAGTCCCTCCACGAGGACTAGACCACCAGATCTGCCTTGAGTCTTCCTGTGCAGGGGGGGGGGGAGTGTCAGCCTCAACTTCGATACTGGTGTGCAGCTGCCTGAGATACTTTTCCACTGCGGTACACTGCGCAACATGTCGAATCGCAAAAGACCAGCTGATTTTGACCTTGACAGAGCAATCGAGGAAGCTGGTTTTTCAGGTGCCCGGAGTGTTGAATTGATGCCTTGGGAGAAGCCACCTTTCAAGGGCGTTTTTGAAGTGCAAACATCAGTTCCATTTGCCCAGCCTCTACGTGTGCCCATGCCAAGACCTAATATACCACAGTGGCCGGTATCTGCTTATCAACTCAAAGCCGCTAAGAGAGCGCCACTTTCTGTGCCTGCATCAGGTTCCTTACCGCCTGTGTTTGACCAGGTCCTTCGCAAGGCTCGTCTCGAACCAGGGGTCAAGCAGTCATTGGACAGGGAAGCAGTTGTGCGGCGATGGTTGTGTGTGTTGTTGCATGATACCAGTGCATCTTCAATGGGCCAGATGCTTGCGGGGAGTGCGTGTGATGGTGCCGAGCTTGTGTCTGAGACGTTTGAGGGCAAGGCAACAAGTACTCTTCTGAAAAGAGTCCGCTGCGTCGGGAAATACGTGCACTGGGCGTCGGACAATGGGTGCGATGCTTTCCCCTTCTCAATTGAGAAGATCCGGAGTTACCTCAAGGATGCTATTTCGGGTAACAAGAAGAGTGCCATCCGGGATTTTGCAAGCTCCTTGAATTTTTGTCGCTTTGTGTTGGGGTTTCAGGTGAGTGATGATGTGACTTCACACCCATGGTTCAAAGGGACGATGAGATTTGCCAACATCCGGCTCCGGGATGCCCACCGATCACGGACCTTGACTGTGAAGGAGGTGAAGCATCTTGAAGAGGCCTTGATCGGGGGCCGTTTGGACCGTTTTGATCGATATGCGCTCGGAGTTATGTTGTTTCAGCTGTATGCTCGAGCCCGAGTGTCTGATTTGCGTAATCTGTTCAAGGTTTACCTGGACATAACCGGGGCAGAAGGGTATATCGAAGCACATACGTACGAGCACAAAAGCCGTCGCATCACCAGTGGACCCAGTGCTGTCCTCATCCTGGTGGCTCCGATCCAGGGGCTCGCCTCCCAGCCTTGGGGGCTTGCTTTTGTTCAGGCTGCCAAAGATGTTGGGTTTGACTTTGAGAAAGGTTTCAGAGGCCCGATGTTGCCCCGTTTTGCCAGCGATTACACTTGGTCAGGGGATGCGGTGGATGCTGCTGAAACCACAAGGTGGCTGAATGGCATCCTCAAGGCGCTGATGGGCGAAGTCCTTGATGGCCTAACGAGCCATGGCCTGAAAGCCACAACACTTTCGTGGGTGACAAAGGCAAATTACGGGGACCGTACCATCCTCGTGCTTGGCCATCACTCACTGGGGGCTAGGGGCAAAACTTCCGAAGCATATGGTCGCGATGTGCAGGCGGGACCGCTGAGAGACTTGTGTGCATGCTTGAAATCGATCAGAGTGGGGGTCTTCCTTCCAGACTTGACCCGCAGTGGCATGATCAGGGAGCACGCTGAGTCGCCTGATGAGTTCCCAAGTGGTTTTGCTTCTCGCCCCTCTTTCCAGCCGGCCTTTGCACCGTCCTTCAGTGTTGCTGGCCATGCAAATGACACGGCGCCCGACGAGGCAGCACCTTCTGAAGGGGGGGCTTCAGCGTTAAGTTTGGATCGAGCTCCCGGTTTCCAGGAAGGTGAGACTGAGGTTGCCAGGGAGGCCGAGGAAGATGCAGTCTTCGGTGGCGTGAGCCCAGATCGTGTATGTGAGTCAGGTTCCTTGGAGTCTTCTAGCGACAGTGAATCCTCGGGCTCATCCAGCGAGCCGGTTGATTATGATGGCTTCCTCCGAGGCTTCGAGGTGCAGGCCCCGCGTGCAACCATAGGGGTGGACCTGGATCTCTTCCAGAACCCTAAGACCAAATCAATCCACGCAAGGGCCCGAGGTGCGACACCCGACAGCAAGATGCTTTGCGGTCGGCCGGCAAAAGGTTTTGTTCCCTTCTCTGGAAGAGTGCACAGCAAGCATTGGAAGTGCAAGCAGTGTACGATGGCTAAGCCCATCCGAGACACTGGCTCGCTTTTGCATCACCTGGACAGGCGCCTCGAGAGGTAAGGCGCTGTGAAAAGCTTGCGTGCGGCTCGTGGAAGCATTTGCGGATGTTCGCGGCAACATCCTTACTGCCGGTCGTGGCACCGGCAGTATATCTGGGTACCACGGAGTTCCAGCTTCTGTTTTTCCTGAAGGGATGAAGCTTGACTGTTTCAGCAGCCACTGCTCACATGCTGTTGTCTTCAGTTGGCTCTCTGTAGCAAACTGCAACTCGACAATGCGATGTGTCAACCTGCTGCGCTCAGTCTTCAAGGATTGTAGCTCGTGGTTCGATCACGGCTGCAGAGTTTGTAGAAGGTGCATTCTACGAGATGATCTGACATCATGTTTTGCAAATCGTGTTTGCAATTACTGACCTCGTTTTCGGAAGCTCTAATGGCAGGTGCTTAGGACCTTTGCAGCTTCTTTGGCCAGAGTCTACACAGTTTGCCGTAGCACCTCTGTGTAGGTGTGTTAGGTCCAGCTTTCGCTTACCCTAAGATCCTGTGCGCCATGTCTGCCTTGTTGACTGAATCTACTGCAGTTTTGAAAGAGCGTGCCGCTAAGGTGGGGTTGCCAGATGATGCATTGCAACGGCTGCTTGACCAGGGCGTCGACACTCTGGCCAAACTGGCGTTTGCCCCTGGTCATCCCGGGGAGTCCCCCAGTGACGAGAAACTCAAGGCCTTAGTTGCTCCAGTAGCTGCCCCCGGGGGTGCAGGTGGTGCCGAGCCCTCTCTTGGTACCGTCGCCGCGGTACGCAGGTTAGTCTTCGAAGCACAAACTTTGGTCGTCAATGAGACCAAGTGCCTAGTTAAAATAAAGAAGAGCAGCCAAAAGAATTGCCTCCAGCCGAACGGCGTGATCGCCTGCAGAAACAAGCTGCCCGCCTTGCAGGTGTTGACTTGTCTGGTGTCAACGAGTGCTCGCATGCAAGCTATGACCTTTGCCTGAAGCTGATTTCTGACAACTGTGTCTCGTATCTTCAGCCTTCGAAGTTTACCTGCCGGCAGGCGGAACTGCGTATGGATAAGCCCCGCAAGGAACTTGATGTCGCGGCCCCAGGCTCGTCCTCTTCCGTGCTCCTTATCAAGGACCGCGCTGCAGAGCAGCATTGCGACGTGACGCATGCCCTTGATCTATTCCAGGCCCTGCATCGTCGCGCGTTGGCCATGGACCTTGTTGGCCTTAGCACGTATGCTCGCGTGCAAGAGTGGAACTCTTTTCTTATGAACCACCTCCAGCAGCCTGTCCTAGCGGGATACCGCAGCCCCACTGTTCAGCAACTCCTTCACGCTGATAGAGCTGCCTGGGTCCGTTTGTCCGAGTTAACCCCAGCCGGGGTGCGTCGCAAGGCTACCGGTGAATTGCCGTTGGATAGCCTCTGGGCTGATTTGCAGAAGGACCCGCGCGTAGTCTTTCACCTTTTGCCGCTTCCTGACTCTTCGGGCAAGCATCCTGCGCCCGCCCCGCCGGGCGTTCCTGACCCCCCTGAGGGGCCCCCAGCCAAGAGACCCCGGAAGCCCAAAGGCAAAGGTAAAGGGAAGGAAAAGCAAACCCCTACTGAGCCCGCCAACCTGCCTTCTGAGCTGCGAGGCCTCTCATCATGGACACGAACAGGGAAGCGGCGCTGTTGGGGTTTTAACATGGCCGCAGGCTGTCCCGGCGCCAAAGCTGGACAAACTTGCAGCAAGGGCTTGCACGTTTGCATGCGGTGTGGAGGTATGCATGGGGCACATGTGTGCCCTAAGAAACCCGCTTGACTGGCGGAGCCCGCAATCACTTCATGTTCCCACCCTCAGCCTGCGGCCCCTGTGGAAGAGGCTGCTGTGCCTGCTGGCTTGTTGCCGGTGGAGGTGTTGCCTGCCCGGCCTGATGTTCCCCTTTCAGAAAGTGCAGCTCACCCTGGCGGTAGCAAGCAGCTGACTGTTTTCCATGCTCTTGAAGTGTTTGCGGGCAGCGCTCGTCTTACTGTGGCCCTTCGTGCCGTGGGCTTGCAAGATTCCTGTGGCGTCGATCATCGGATCCCCAGGCATTGCCCTTGTCCCATGGTCAAACTTGACCTCACTCGCGATTTTGATGTACAGCTTTTGCATGATATGATCGACAACCCTTTTTGTCTTTATGTGCATTTTGCACCACCGTGTGGCACGAGCTCCCGTGCTCGCCTGATCCAAGAGACCGATCACGATCCCGAACCGTGTCGGGATGATACCTTTCCTGATGGCCTACCCGGGCTTCCTGATCGTTTGGCTCAACGTGTGGCTGCGGCCAACCGCCTCTATGGCGTCACCGCTGCAGCCCTGAAACGAGCGGTTCTTGCTAACAAGCTTGTCAGCTGCGAGAATCCCCTGAATTCTTTCATGTGGCAGACCACTGCGTGGCGTCAGGGCACCTCCGGTTTGTCCTTGCGGGAAACTGTGTTTGACCATTGTTGCTACGGGGGCAGCCGCCCCAAGCATACGTTGTGGGTGCACAACGTGCCAGCCTTCGACCAACTCAGCCTGACATGCCCTGGCGAGTCCGCCTCCCATAAGCATTTGCCTTGGGGTCGTGTGTCTAAGTTCCGCTATGCTACTAGTGAGGAGACCGCTTACCCGCTTGGGTTGTGCAAGGCGGTCGCCGCACTCCTGCTTGAGGAGCTCTGCCGGCGTGGGTTCCAGCTGCCTGCTCGTTCCCTGTCAGATGAGGTTCGGCAGCAACATAGAGCGGCCCAGGTCAGTCTCGGCTCCCAGCCCCGTGGCAAGAAGGTTGCTCCTATGGTCGCTGAGTTCCGTGATGTGGTCGTTGTGACATCTGACCATGACTTCTTGCCTGCTTCAGCCAAGCTGCCCGTGGCCGTGCCTGTTCCGCCCTCAGCCTCGTGTGACCCGCCTTTGCCAGAGCTGCCCATGGGTTCTCGTATATTGCGTCGTGTTGCACTTGGGGGTGGAGAGACGCCGCGTTCTGGACCTTCATCCCAGCCAAGCAGTAGGAATCAGGGAAACCCGAACTGCCCCGTCGAGCAGTTCGCCTCTGTGTGCCTTCAACAGAAAACTATCTTGGCTGATGATGTGACTCAGCTGTTCCAGCTCTTGAAGTCGGATCGCTTGGCCAGAGGTGCTGGCCTGGATGATGAGTTTTCGTGGTCCACAGGGGCCTATGCACAGGGAGGGGTTACCGGGGTTAGGACGAACCTGCGGCTCAACCCGGCTGTCAGTACTATGCTGTGTCGGTTCGTAAAACAGCATGCACCAGGGCATCCGTTCTCAGCCATCATGCTTGGACGAAACCTTCAAGGAGGGGTTCATGTTGACAAAAACAATGCCCAAGGTTTCCCTAACTGTGTTTTAAAACTTTCATCTTTCGAGGGTGGAATTTGGCTACACAATGAGCTTGGGGACGTGCCCTGCCCAGATCCGAACGTGCCTGACTTGATGGGCTGTGAGCTGAAGTTCGAGTCCAACAGGATCCTGTTTAACCCCCACCATAAGCACTGTGCAATGCCCAGGCATGGGGCGACACGTGACATACTTGTTGCCTACACCACCAATCACACAGATCGCTTGACTGCAGACCAAACGGCTGAGCTGCAGTGTGTGGGGTTTGCTTTACCCGAACAGCCAGGACACCAAGCCTCCTCACCGGCAGGGCCCGAGGAAGGCTCCCCCCCATTAGGTAGGGTTCCCGATAGGTTTAGGACGTGGGTTGGAGTACCGTGGACGTGCGATGAATTCATCGAGCAAGCGCTTGAGGCTAAGCACCCGCGTCTTATGAGCTCAGGAGTTCCACCTGAGCTGCAGCAAACGATTGACTTCTTGGCGTCGGAGGGCATGCACACCGTTGGTGCCAGTAGGACTGAAGCTTTACGTCAGTGGCTAGGGCGAGCCGCAGAGCTCGACGAGCAAGAACGTGTGTATAAGGAGACACTGCCCAAGCACTGTGCGAAAACCTTGAGCAAGAAAAGGCTGCTTCTTTTCGGCGAGATGATTGAGGCTGCCGGCCACAATGATCCGTCGTTGGTTGCGGATATGTCTAAGGGTTTTGCTTTAGGAGGTCCGATCCCCTACTGCCCTGAGTTCCGCGCTAAGCGTACAGCTGCCACCATGGCGGTCGATGACCTGCGAGGGTCAGCACAACGAATGCGGAAGGGCATCCTAAACTCTACCAAGAGCTCAGGAGATGATGTGGTGGATGCTGAAACTTACCGAGTCACCTTGGACGAGGTGGAGCGGGGGTGGCTGGACGGGCCGCTGAAAGAGAGCGACTTGGGGGCCAGCTCTTTGTTGACCAGGCGCTTTGGCGTTGTGCAGAATAACAAAACACGGCCCATCGATAACTACCTTGAAAGTGGTTTGAATGCCACATCTTCATCGTACGACACAATCACCGTGCACACCGCCGACTGCATAGCATCAGGTTTGGCCCGTCGACTGAGGGCCGATGCAAAGTGCAGGTTGCACCAACTTCTCTTGAAGTCCTGGGACCTTCACAAGGCCTACAAAAACCTTCCACTATCCCTGGAGGCGCTAGAGGACAGTTTCTTGTGCGTCTACGACCCAAAAGGGAAATGTCCCCGAATTTTCCGACAAAAGGTTCTTCCGTTTGGATCACGGCACAGTGTGCACGCATTTTGCCGGGTGTCACTAGGGATATGGAAAGTCCTTGTAGTGCTGTTCTCATGCCACATCAACGTTTATTTTGACGACTTTGTGGGTGTGGAGCTGGCTCCTCTGGCCCGCCTCTTCGACATTGGTGTTTGCCTAGTATTCCGTTTGTTGGGGTGGGATGTCGCCGAAGACAAAGAATCTGTGTTCGACTCCTGTGCAAAAGTGTTGGGGTTGAAGTTCGACTTGTCTGAGTCCCGTCTCGGACGTATCACTCTGTGTAACACGGAGTCGAGGCGAGACGAGATCTTCGAGGCCTTGTCCGACATCCTTTCGTCTGGTTACCTCACGCAAAAGGATGGCGAGCGCATCAGGGGCCGACTCCAGTTTGCTGAAAACCAGATAGCTGGAAAGGTTGCTGGAACAGCCTACAAACAACTGTCGCGGTTTGTGCAACGAGGGGGAGGACACCTGGATGAGTGCACCAGGGTAGCTCTACTAAGGTTGCGCGATCGAGTCAACTTCTCACCGCCCAGGGTGATCTGCGCCAACATCTTGACTACCATGCATCTTTATGTCGATGCCTCTTGTGAGGGTGCTAACGTAGGCTTGGGTGGTGTTCTTGTTAATGAAGTGGGTTCGAAGATGGGCTTTTTCAGTGACCGCGCGTCTGAGCATGTGAGACGTCGCATGAATCCTGAGAGCGGCAACCCCATTTTCGAGTACGAATGCTTAGCCATCCTTGTCGGACTCAGGTTGTGGGCTCCGCTCATTCGCAGTACCAACCTCGTTGTGTTTACTGACAACGAGGGTGCCCTGGCCTGTATGGTTGCCGGAATTTCAAGCAACAAGTATGGAGAAGCGATTGCTCAGCATGTTCATGTGCTGTGTGACGAGCTTGGGCTTAACATCTGGTTTGAACGCGTGAACACCTGCTCAAACGTGGCAGATGCCCCCTCACGCGGCTCTAAAGATCCGGAGCTGGGCAAAGAATTCACTATCGATCTTGATACACTCGTTGATCACGCCTTTGAGTCTTGGGGGTTGTGAGAGGCATGATCATCTCCTGATGTCATGTCCCGTATCCAAAGCATTTGGATGCAGCACGCATGCCGTAGGTATGGTGCGCTGGGAGTTCTACTCGAACTTTCCCCAAGATCTTCTGCCACCGGCATGAAAAAGGTGTGATTGTGAATGAGTCTGATTGATTAGTGTTTTGCATCCGGTTTTGAGATAGATTCTTGATTCACTTACTTCACCGGAGATGAAGTGAGATTGAATTTTCCCTAAACAAGATACATTTGACCTCCAGTTGAAAGCAAATGCAATTTACAGCAAACAGAAATAAGACGGCCTTCCATCGCGATGGACAAGGCATTATTTCTGTGGCTGTATCACGAAATTTTTCTTGGGAAAAATCTCTGGTTGCATTTGCGGTGTTTTGTTTTAAAACGGGACGTGTCCATTTGTGATGCACACACATGCACGCATCATGACATTTAAAATGGCAAGTGCAGCACGTGCCCATTTTCTTGAAAGCAGATGTCATGTTTTGTGAAACAACATGTGATATCTGCAGCACCTCGGTTCGAGTAAGGTGCACAGAAAAATTTTTGTCTCCCACCCAGCCCACCCGGGGTTGTGAGAGGCATGATCATCTCCTGATGTCATGTCCCGTATCCAAAGCATTTGGATGCAGCACGCATGCCGTAGGTATGGTGCGCTGGGAGTTCTACTCGAACTTTCCCCAAGATCTTCTGCCACCGGCATGAAAAAGGTGTGATTGTGAATGAGTCTGATTGATTAGTGTTTTGCATCCGGTTTTGAGATAGATTCTTGATTCACTTACTTCACCGGAGATGAAGTGAGATTGAATTTTCCCTAAACAAGATACATTTGACCTCCAGTTGAAAGCAAATGCAATTTACAGCAAACAGAAATAAGTGGATTTGCAGATTTTCGGGCTTCGCGGGTTTTCGGATGCGCGACAGTTGTACTCAGAGCATCGCATATGGAAAAGATTCATTTCGAGCAATTGATTTTTTCAAAAATTCAAAACCCTATTGATTTTTGATGCTTTCAACATTTTCAATCGAAGCCATGATGGCGCGGTCTTCTGTTTCGCTTGATTTCTTAATACGCTTTCGCTTGATTTTATCATTGCTTTCTCCATTGATTTTGAATGCCTTTCCCTATTTATTTTCTATTGATTTTCATGTAATGGTTTTTCTGTTGATTTTGAAAAGGGCTCGGCTCTACATTTGCTCTAAGGGGGACCTGTATATAGCAAAGCAAAACACATATACACACATTTATGTATAGCACGCATGCATACATGTGTGTATATGTGTATATATGTGTATATATGTATATTTCTATATATATATATATATATACGTATCATGTACGGGGTTGGACATGCAGATTAGGATGGTTGGAATCCAGGGAGTTCAAGCTATTTGGGTTAATAGAGTTTATACCTTAGCACTAGGCTTAGGTTTTACCCGGTTTAAGGTTTCCAGGTTCAGGCTACGGGGCTAGGGTTTAGGGTGGGACAGTTGCGGTTCAGGGCATGGGCTCTTAACGTCAGCGTGTTAGTTTCTCCCAAGGTTAGAGCTTAGGGCCCAGGGTTGGCATGCTTTTTGTTTGAGTTTATGTTTTCCTGTTGGGCTCAAGGCTTCTCTGTGTTGCAGGCCTAGAGTATTGGAATCGTCAGTTGATTTTTATCTGAGGTTTGTCTGGGGTTTGGGGGTTAGCGTTTTCATCAGAGATGTGCCAGAAGGGTTTAGTGTCGTGAAGTGCGATCTTGCTGGTCGTATGTAGAGGCAACTAATGGTCTCCTCACGGCTGTCCCCTTATATGCCTTACATTCTAGGTTTTGCTTATCGGGTGCCATGTAAGCCTTATGTTCCCGGTTCTGCTTATCGGGAATCAATCCCTGATATTCCAGGTTTTGCTTGTCGGGGGGTCAATGCCTTGTGTTGCTCATCGCGTTCGGGGGGTCAATGCCTCATGTTCCAGGTTTTGTTTATCGGGGGTCAATGCCTTACGCTCCAGGTTTTAGGGTAAGAATGGACATAGTGTTCGTGAGAAGCAAAACCTTGTCTACATGACCCCCCCGATTCACGAAAAACCTGGAATATGACAGCAGATAACAGCAGGGGTACAGGTAGTGTAACTGTCAACTGTACATACTCATGTTACCTACCGACTTATTTGGCTCAAGATAAAAGAGGACTCCTTCTGTGCTTGGGGGTTTTCTTGTCTTAGAGCTGCTATAAGCACGGTATTCCTGATTCAAAGAATCTTTTTGATGACAAGCAAAACTTGGAATATATATGGCATTGACAACGATCAGCAGAACCTGGAACGTAAGGCATGACCCCCCCGATAAGCAAAACCTGGAATATGAGGCATTGACCCCCCGATAAGCAAAACCTGGAACGTATATAAAGCGTCGCCCGATAAGCAAAACTTGGAAGAATAAGGCATAGACCCCCCGACAAGCAAAGCCTCGAATATAAGGCATTGAGCCCGATAAACAAAACCTGGAACGTAAGGCACTGACCCCCCGATAAGCAAAACCTGGAACGTATATAAAGCGTCGCGCGATAAGCAACACTTGGAAGAATAAGGCATTGACCCCCCGACAAGCAAAACCTCGAATATAAGGCATTGAGCCCGACAAACAAAACCTGGAACGTAAGGCATTAACCCCCCGATAAGCAGAACCTGGAGTATATGGCATTGACCCCCTGAAAAACAAAACCTGAAGCGTAAAGCATTGATCCCCCGATAAGCAAAACTTGGAAGATAAGGCATTGACCCTCCGACAAGCAAAACCTCGAATATAAGGCATTGACCCCGATAAGCAAAACCAGGAACGTAGGGCATTGACCCCCCAATAAGCAGAACCTGGAATATAAGGCATTGACCCTTCGATAAGCAGGGTTGGAAAGCCCGCGAGCCGAAAGCGAAAACAAAGCAAACGGAACGAATATAACATGAAAGAACATGAATGAACATGAAAGAACATGAAAGAACATGAAAGAACATGAAAGAACATGAAAGAACATGAAAGAACATGAAAGAACATGAAAGAACATGAAAGAACATGAAAGAACATGAAAGAACATGAAAGAACATGAAAGAACATGAAAGAACATGAAAGAGCATGAAAGAACATGAAAGAACATGAAAGAACATGAAAGAACATGAAAGAACATGAAAGAACATGAAAGAACATGAAAGAACATGAAAGAACATGAAAGAACATGAAGGAACATGAAGGAACATGAAGGAACATGAAGATCCATGAAGGAACATGAAGGAACATGAAGGAACATGAAGGAACATGAAGGAATGTGAAGGAATATGAAGGAATATGAAGGAATATGAAGGAATATGAAGGACCATGAAAGACCATGAAGGACCATGAAGGACCATGAAGATGTGTGTACATACAGTTTATCTACACATAGAAAGCACATATACATATATATATATGTATATTTGTATATGTATACACATATACATGTGTATATATATATATATATGTATATAGAAACATATGTATGTGTACATGTGTATGTTTCTCGATTGATTTCTCGATTGTTTTTTTGAATGGTTCTCTATTGATTTTCATGACGGTTTCTCTATTGATTTTCATGACCCGTTTCTATTGATTTTGAACAATACTTGTTTCTATTGATTTTCACTCAAAACGCTTGATTTTTGCAATTTTTCAAAACCCCATTGATTTGCGAAGAAAATCAATCTGATGTTCTGGGAAGAGAGGACAAGCGGCAAGGCAAAGGTACAAACATTTATTATATATATATATATATACAAATATATATATATATATATATATATATGCGTTCCTTTCCTTTCGTTCCACTCTCTATTGTTTATAGCTCCTTTTGCTCGTCATCAGGATTAAGAAATGGGCCCCCATCAAAGTAACTTAGCTGATGAAGCCAAATTCGGTTTAGTCAGTTCCATGGGTCGGGAGACCGACCCATTTTTTCGACAGTTTACCGATGATTTGTAAACATGGTCTTTTTGTAAGCTGCTCTGTGTGTGTGTGTGTGTGTGCATGTGCAAATGAAAAATCAGTTGCGCGCCCGTGTTGTGTATGGGCCAGAAGCAGTCCTGGAAGCTTTCATTGGGCTCGGCTTTGCCAAGTCTGCCCTCAAGTTGCCATCTTTTGAGGGCCTATGCAGAACGCGTTCTCGGCGCCCGTTCGCCTCTGGCGACTGTCAGCGACCCAGGGCTTCACATGGACAGTGCTGTGTTCATCATGTCGGGACACCTTCCGCGAAAGGCGAAAATTCCTTCGTCGCCGGTTGTTCCTCCGATCTTACGGGATCATCTGGTGAGTTGCGGGTTCATTGAGCTGAAAGGCTCAGCACTCGCAGGGACCGATGATCACATTCCGCAACGAGTGGAAATGGCTTCATACCTGGCAAGCATCTAGATCGAGAGCGGAAGTGGTGAGTCCCTGTGTCCCCAAGAGAGACCCTAGCACGTGTGCGGAAACAAAAGATCACTCGCTGAGTTCTTGACAGTCTTACCTCGTATTTTATGTAAACGAGTAATGCAGGCTTGCGCGCACAACAAGTGGCATAAGCGCCGTAGAGTCCGTAGAGTCAAGATCCGATCTTGGAGACCCCGGCCCATTTTTTCCTCCCACCCCTACACGCGGCCGAACGAAGCAAACGGCAGGACATGTTGTTTCAAGGAGTCGCACGGTTTCCGTTAAGCTTGACTTCCAAGAAAAGCTTGATTTCGCTCCAGACCCTTAGCAGACTTAAACCTCATGAACCCATGAACCGCGTACGCCCCGAACCCTCAAGTTGGATTCGACTTTGGCTCAATTTCTTCACGATTGCAAGTTCTTGAAGTTGATTTATGGATATGATGTCTGGGCCGACGTGATTTTCTTTAAACGCCGCAAAGGCAAGGCTCCGTCTAGTCTGTTTGGTTGCTCTAGCACCCAGGAACCAAGAAGCATGTGCTGTCCAAGAAGCTAGAGTTGCTGCCGATACCAGTGGCGGTAGTCTTGGAGGGCCTGTTGCTCATCCGAGCTCCGCGACACAGTCGAAGTTTAGGTTGCGGCTACATGGTCCGCATCTCTGCGTGTGTGTGCCTCGCAACTTTCTTAGCCTCCCATGTTTTCTTAAGCCAAGCAGCTGGCACAGCAAGGAAATCTAAAAAAACACATCCGAGTGCTTTGAGGGGGGTGAGTAGTCAGACTTGGAGAACACAAGACATTCTATGCCAGTTACAGCCCAAAACCCTGGAACCCTTTTTGGGGCGCATTTGGGACCGCAGAAGGGCCAAGGTGGGCTCCGCGGGCTAAGATGTCTGAAGGCGCTGAGAAGCCGAGCCGTCTGCAGCTTGGCTCATCAGCCACATTGGCCAGCCCCAAATTCAGGCTTCCAAGCTGCAAAGGCACGCCATGGGTTTAGTCCGCCTCACCAGTGATAGTTTTTCATCTCCTGAGTGATGTGAAGCTACTCGGGTTCATCCCGTTTCGACAGTCAGTCCTGGCAAGGTCATGCCGAGGCAGGCGCCTTTGCAGCTGCAGCGTTCTGCAGAGCTTGATCAACTCACAGCTTGACAGTGTGACAGCTTGACAGTTAGGTCTTGGAGAGCTTTCCTTCGAAATGCACTAGGCCGGCTTGGGATTCGCGTGGCGAGCATGTGCGAAGAACGTGGTAGAACGTGTGAATGTGTTCTTGAGACTTGCTTTTGGAGGCCTTTGGATTGCACATGGCCTCTGCAAGGCCGGCTCGATGCGTAGCTCACGGAGCTACACACGCGTGATATCCCCCCATCTCTCACATGGGTCCAAGACGTTGCACACGTCCCAGAAAGCCTCAGCCATCCAGGGCGGACAAGCTTCTTTTTTGTTTGTTCGCGCCCCGCTTTCATGCAGGTTCGCATTCCTTCGGTTTTTTCCCCACCTTCGACGTGGGGTTGTTAGATGTTAACCTCAACTCTTCCCCTCGCCCGGAACCAACCCCAGAGACTCCTGGAGTGCTCAACCACAGAGACTCCCTGAGTGCCCAACCCAGAACTCTATGGAGTGCCCATCCCCAGCGGTTCCCGGGAGTGCCCAACCCCAGAGTCTCCCAAGAGTGCCCAGCCCCAGAGACTCCCAGGAGTGCCCATCCCCAGAGACTCCTTGGAGTGCCCAACCCCAATTGCAAGCAAAAACTAAGAAAGCATATTTGAATCAATGTGTCTTTGTTTGAACATCTTATTTGCGCCCTTTCCTTTTAAAAAGGAGCAAGGTGGGGATGTTCGAAGTAAATTGTTTTTCTTGAGCTCATGTGCCATGCGTGCAGGAAGCCGCTGCGACTTCGACGACTAGTCCCACTCCCTTTTGCAACTCGGCTGTCATGGAGGTTTTATGAGATTGTCATGCCTCATCGAGTCGACTTCCCGAAAATCCGTATTGGCGAAAGTTGGAATTGCACCATTCTGCGTTCAGAAAGTTCTCGAAATGCAGCATCGCATGTGAGGACAGCGATTTGCGATAGGCCCAGGTAACAAGGCTCCACTGGGAAACGTGACGGTTCCCCAAGACATGATGACTGAATATGCCTGGGATTGGGATCCGGTGGCGAACGATTTTGAAGTGCCGGGTGATTTTGAAATTATGTTCGAAAGACATTAGTCTGATGGCTTCTACCAGAAATTTCGTCTTATGGCTCCTACCAGCCGATTTTGAGAGATGTCCACGGAGAGAAACCCACCAGGGTGGTTCAGCGAGGTCTATCAAGGTGTCAAAAGCCACTGCCGTCAGGAGCTCAAACTGGTTCGACGCTGTCGTTTCTCTCTATGTCTTGGCCCAGGTGCTATGCTGACGTGTCCTTCGGGCATGATCCTGAAACGTGACAGTATGTGGTCTCCTGTCTGCATATGTCGGGGAATCGAGTGGTTCCCGAGACGCAACTGTCGCAACATTCTTTGTGCCTGCCACGCGCCATTCTCAGGAGCGTGAGAAGTACCGACGAAAATGACTGCTGCACGGCCGCTGCAGACGGCGTGGCAGACGTTGGTGTGTGACATGGCGTGGTGAGACACGGGCCTCATTTGGCCTTGTTAGTTGTCTGTGGCATGACGAGCACGCGCAATGTGATGTGGGCCTTACTTAGGCGAAGTGCTGGATGGGTGGATGGCAATGAAGCTATTTTCTTCGCAAACGGCGTCAACATCCACTCTGGGCTCTTTGACTGAGAAGCGTGTCATTGAAAATCTGTCATGGGGCTTCCATATGCCCGTACCAAACCGGGACTCTACTGTAGCAGTACGGTGGTATCCATGCCTGCAATGCGTTCGAGAATTGAGTGTATTTGGGCCGGGGTGGCGTCATATAAACATCATGAAGCCTGGTTGCTATTGAGGCCAGGTCGCGGATTGACTGTGGTCACCGTGCAGCCGGATGGAACCCTCATCGATTCAGAAGCTTGTCTTGAAGCAGTGTGGAGCACATGGACCCATGCAGACATCCGAACCATGGCCAAGGCAACCTTTGACACCATGAAAGCCGGTTCTGATGCGCTGGCCGTGCACATCAATAACATTGCGGATGGGACTATGGTTTTGATCGGGGCGCTTGATGAGGTGGGAATCTATGCACAGATGGATCGCGGAAGTAGTGAAAGACATGTTGCCTGACATGGAGGCTTCAATCAATCTTACAGACACGGCGAAAACGGCGATCAAAACCTGCGGAGCAACTATGATCGACAGCAAAGCGCTCAGCAACGAGGGGCAGTAGCTCTACTTGTAGACAGTGTAGCCAGTTCGTTGTTCTGCCTAGCATCTGCCATGCAAATATCGGAGGTCTGTCATTCAGAGCCGGCTACGCGCTGGTCGGCATCAAGGGAGGACCAGCCTTGGCCGAAGACCTCAAGAAGACCACGGAAGGATACGCCGTGGCCGTCGGACTTCTGGGACAGACGGAGGCGTCACAGTCGTCACACCAGCGAATGGGGCATTCAGGGGAATTGAGCGTGCAAACCACAGCCAGTTCTTGGGTCAAGCACATGCAGACGGTGCACAGGTCATGGATTTCCAGAAAAGAAGAGTACTGGCGTTAAGTACCAGTCAGTGGCATCGTGTTCCCGCTGGCACCTTAAACTGCCAAACCTAAAGCTGTACCCGCTACCAGTACAAAAGCACGATGAGGGCACAGTGTAGAAGGGCACATCTCATTGAGCAAACATTCCACTGAACCACAACTTTCTGAATCTCTTCCTCCTTTTCTTCCTGCGCCTCGATGCCACCAGCAACCGTGAACGCCCATGCATGGGAATTTGTGCGTGACTACAGTTGCCGCCCCCCAATTCCATCAACCGTCATCACATAGACAGTAATGCTTATAATATATACATACATAACCATACCTGGACTTCAATGGGTTAGCTCTACGGCCGGCCCACCCACTTCCTTTGGTTTGCCGGGTGCAGTTCTCCATCGTTCAGCTGTTTCTTCTGTTTTTGGGGCTCTGGTTCCCGATCAAATGGGCGTGGTGTTATGGCCCTGACAGAGCACGTGGATAGCGTGGACAGTTCCAAAGCCAATTGCGAGAAAGGCTACGGGTCCAAGTTGGCTGATCATTTCCAAAATTTTCCAAAGTATACTTCATTGTGAACGGGCCCCGTGGCCTTTCTATGTATGAGCTCCAAGTTTCAACTCGCCTGCAAATGGAGGTTTGTTAAATTACATTCCTATTTCAGTGAAACAGTGAAATTATCCCAGCTGTGCGACTCAACCCCCAGTCGGTCGAAAGTTTGAGAGTTTCTAGTGAATTCAGATGCAACATTCGACATCAGACCATGATCCTCGCACGAAAGCAAGTTAAACGTGATCATGCCCATAACGGCAGCATGCTGGAGCTTGCTTCCCCAGAGCGAGACAGCCGGACGTAGCCCCAGCCGCCATTGCCAAGTCCATAATTCTTGTCTTCGGGCGAACGCAGGGAAATCCCCTGAGCAACTGCAGATGACTTTGCATCGTCATTTGCCGCATGTGCCATGCGTGCAGGCCGTCGCGAATACGACGACCGGTCTCAGCCCCTTCTGCAACTCGGCTTTCGTGAAGGGTCTGATGAAGCTCAAATGGGCCTCATCGAGTCGAGCTCTGTTCTTCTCAGTACGTGTCGGTTGCAGGCGGGGATGCCTGCGGCGAACCGCAAAGATACACATGAAATATCATGAAATCGTGTACAAGGCTTTGAAATCTATACCAGACGCCTTTGACGAAGCCTGGGACAGAATGCACGCAGAAAAGGGAGTTGGCTTGCGAAAGTTGGAACTGCACCATCCGGCGTCGGCGTTTCAGAAGTTCTGGTAATGCAGCATTTCTTTTGACGCTGGTCACTAGCAATCTGCGAAAGACAAGTTTCTGAGATCTTTGGGACATGCAAAGTTCGGTTTTCACCTAACAAGGCTCCAGGCGGGTCGGTTTACCAAGAGAATGATGAGTGATGATTGAATCTTCTTGTGAGTGGAGTCTGGTGGCGAATTTCCGAATGGTTTGGAAGTGCTTGGATGCCAGCTTGATCTTGAAAGGTTCGAAAGACATTCGTCTCTCACCAGGGTTCAGCGAGGTCTATCAAGGTGTCAAAAGCCACTGCCGTCAGGAGCGCAAACTGTCTGGGAAAGGATTTGGCTCAATTGGTTGGACGCTGTCGTTTCTCTCTGTGTCTTGGCCCAGGTGCCATGCTGACGTGTCCTTCGGGCTTGATCCTGAAACGTGACAGTATGTGGTCTCCTGTCTGCATGTTGGCGAGTCGCATGGTTCCTAAGAATGTTGCAACATTCTTTCTGCCTGCCACTTGCCAGATGTATTCTCAGGAGCGTAAAAAGTACCGACGAAGATGACTGCTGCGCAACCTCTGCGGAAGGTATGGCAGATGTTGGTGTGTGACATGACTTGGTGAGACACAAGCACGCAGTCCTTTTGTTGTGTGACACCATGACGTGGGTCCTCTACACCCTAAACCCTAAACCCTAAACCCTAAACCCTAAACCCTAAACCCTAAACCCTAAACCCTAAACCCTAAACCCTAAACCTAAACCCTAAACCCTAAACCCTTACTTAGGCGAAGTGCTGGATGGGTGGATGGCAATGAAGCCATTTTCTTCGCAAACGGCGCGACCATCCACTCTGGGCTCTTTGCCTGAGAAGCGTGCCGTGGTGGTTTAGGGTTTAGGGTTTAGGGTTTAGGGTTTAGGGTTAACATCATGAAGCCTGGTTGCTATCGAGGCTAGGTCGCGGATTGACTGTGGTCACCGTGCGGCCGGATGGAACCCTCATAGATTCAGAAGCTTGTCTTGAGACAGAGTTCTCCGGGAGCAGTGTGGAGCACATGGACCCATGCAGACATCCGAACCATGGCCAAGGCAACGTTTGACACCATGAAAGCCGGTTCTGATGCGCTGGCCGTGCACATCAATAACATTGCGGATGGGACTATGGTTTTGATCGGGGCGCTTGATGAGGCGGGAATCTATGCACAGATGGATCGCGGAAGTAGTGAAAGACATGTTGCCTGACATGGAGGCTTCAATCAATCTTACAGACACGGCGAAAACGGCGATCAAAACCTGCGGAGCAACTATGATCGACAGCAAAGCCCTCAGCAACGCGCTGCAGTAGCTGTACCTGTAGACAGGGTATCCAGTTCGTTGTTCTGCCTAGCATCTGCCATGCAAATGTCGGAGGTCTGTCATTCAGAGCCGGCTACGCGCTGGTCGGCATCAAGGGAGGGGCAGCCTTGGCCGAAGACCTCAAGAAGACCACGGAAGGATACGCCGTGGCCGTCGGATTTCTTGGACAGACGGAGGCGTCACAGTCGTCACACCAGCCGAATCGGGCACTCAGAGGGGAGTTGAGTGTGGAAACCAGAGTCTCTTGGGCATCTCCTGAAAAGAAAAGTGCTGGTCTTGAGTACCTGAGCCCAGTCATTGGCATCGTGTTCCCGCCGGCACCTTCAAGACTGCCAAGCCTAAAGCTGTACTCGCTACTAGTACACTCCGAGCTTCACCTCAAGAATATGTATGTATGTATGTATGTATGTATGTATGTATGTATGTATGTATGTATGTATGTATGTATGTATATGTATGTATATATATATATATATGTGTGTGTGTGTGTTTGCGGTCTTGACGAGGGGCATTTGGCTGCTCCCGTTTGTATCTTTCTTTTTGTGTTTTTCTATTCCTGCTACTTCTTGTGCTAGTTTTTCTGCTGCGGTTTCTGTTTCTTCTGGTGCGCAATTTTCTGCTCCTGCTTCTGCTAATTCTGGTGCTCCCTCTTTCTGCTCCCCGTGGGTTGCCGAGGGCTCATGCGGTTGGCATTCCTGGGCCTTTGTGATTTTAACAAAAGCTTGATTCACATGCTACTATGAAGTGTTACCTAGGGCTTGAGGGGGGGCATCCTAATACATCTCGTTGGTTCATGCTCCACTTAGGGGAGCTACTGAAACCAACAACATAAGATTAAGACGACTTGTGTGGTGATCTTCACACTATGAGTTGCATTCGCGCCCATGTGTGTGCAGGTGAGTACCAGCACTACCACGACCAGCCCTGCCAGCTTTTGCAACTCGCCTGTCTTTGGAGATTCTCAGATGCCAGCTAGTTGGGTTCGAGTACAATATTGTACAATGCATGACGCCACACGGCTATCTTGTCCGTACAACTTCCGTAGCGATCCCCGTTCCGATAGGCAGAAGGCTTCGGCGGCCCAACCAAATTAAAACCCTCAGACCTTGACATGAAGCGGATGTTTAATATGGGTGTGCATCGGGGCATGGCGAGTGGTGCACTTCCGCTAAGAGCCACGAAGGCCCGATCTGCTCACGAAAGCTTCTAGGTCCTAGGTCCTAGGTTTGGATCTTCAGGTGATGTGGTTCGAGGTAGGCCTACTGCGCCTGGGCAGTGTCAAACGTCCAAAAACGACGACAGTTTTGAGGACGGCGAATGCAGAAGTCCAAAAGCAATGACAGTTTCGAAGACGGCGAGCGTGGCCACATGTAGGCGAAAACGGATGCGGCAAATACTCCGGAGGGCAAGCAGAAAGACAATACATGTCCACAGAAGGGTGAACTGCGCAAACGTGCCCCGTGCCTTCGCGCAAACCTTCGTGCCTTGGCGCAGTTCCACAACGCCCCCCCCCCCCCCAAAGCTAGCGAGACCACATCCGTTCCGCGCCTTCATTGAGCAGGCTTCGAGAAAAAAATACCCCCTTGGTGTTGACACTCTGCTTGGGGGACATAGATGTATACAAGGTTGCCTTATCAAGCATGAAAGTCCGTATGAAAGTCTGGTATCTGCTGGTCTGAATGATGCATACACACCTAGCCCAGTGCAGGGCTTTCAAGTCTCTCTCTCTCTCTCTCTCTTGACAAGCTGCGTCGCCGAAGTGAAATCGTTGTTTTTCGATAAAAGCGGATGCTGCAGACCATGTCGCCGATAATACCTTGACAGGCACTTCTTCAACCAAGGTCTATGTAATCATTTTGTTGCTCTTGCATTAGCTGGCATTGGCATCGCAGTTTCTCAGGTGCTATGCTGACCTGCCCTTCGGGTCTGACCTTGAAGCGTGCCACTATGTGGACACTTGCCTGCTTTTTTCCATAGCAGGCCCCTAAGTCTTAGCAAGGCTCTTGCCTGCCTAGCAGTTGCATGAGCAGTCGTTCAACAAGGATGGTTGGATCGTTCGTGCTGCATCTGAAGTCCACCAAGCATTCTCAGGAGCACGAGGAGTGCCAACGCAACTGACTGCTGCACAACAGCCGCGGAAGATATCGCAGACATTGGCGTGTGGCTTGACGAGTTGAGATGCAGATGTCTCTGACATTATTCATCTTTCGGTCGCCTAAGTTACGTGTTAAAAAAAGCACGGGAATGGAATGGAATTGACACGTGTACGGCGTTTCTCAGGCGAAGTGCTGGATATGCAGATGGGAACGAGGCAGCTTTCTTCGCAAACGGCGTGAACTTCTACTCTGGGCATCTTGCCATGCAAGTGTTCAGGCACTTCTGCACTCTGCAGCTGCCTTCAAGTCTAATTGAGGTCGTACGTAGGTCCAATGGGGCACTTTGGAAGCTGGGACAGGTTTGCACCGTTTTGCACATCCGCTGCACATCCGGAGATGAGAGAGTTGACATGACCTGTCCGCGTCGTCATGCGTCGGCATGCGTCGGCCCACGGGTCGCCTTTGTACAGCCCCCCCAAGAAGGGTGTGCTGGGAAGTCTTGAGGCCAAGTCGCGGTCTGACTGTGGTCACAGTGCGGCCGGATGGAACTCGCAAAGACTCGGAAGCCTGTCTACAAAAAGCATTCTTCTGAGGGTGGAGAGCCGAGTCGCCCCTCATGAGAAGCACTTGCACGTCTGAGGCAACCTTCGACACCATGAAAGCCGGTTCCGATGCCCTGGCCGTGTACCTCAATGGCATCGAGGATGGGACCATGGTTTTGATCGGGGCGCGTGACGAGGCACCTGGCATCTTCTCACGATTTCTCACGTATGGAGTAGGGAGGGTAGGGAGAGGGATTGTGGGAGACATGTTGCGTGACATGGAGGCTTCAATCAATCTTACAGACACGGCGAAAACGGCGATCAAGACCTGCGGAGCAACTATGATCGACAGCAAAGCCCTCAGCGACACCGTAGCCTCCAGTCCGGTTCTATGGAGTTCCTTGATCTGCCTGGCATCTGCTGTGCAAAATATCGGAGGTCTCGGGTTCAGGGGCGGCTACGCGCTGGTTGGCATCAAGGGAGGGGCGGCCTTGGCCGAAGACCTCAAGAAGACCACGGAAGGATACGCCGTGGCCGTCGCACAGATGAAGGCAGGCCTTTCGTCGCATGCAAGCGCAGTCCGCGTGCAAGTCCAACATGGCCCCCCCTAAACCCTTTCATAACAATAAGAATAACAACAACAATAAAAATAGTAGTAGTAATAAAATAAAAATAATAATAGTAATGATAATAATATTAACAAGAATAATAACAACCCTAAATTCCTGGAGGTGGTTATCTCCGTGGATGCAAACAAGCCCGTCTGCGATGCCAGTGTTCCGGTTCCGCCGGTCACAGGCCATGGCCCCACAGCATGCTTTGGGTTTAGGGTCTAGGGGTTAGGGATGTTTAGGGTCTAGGGATGTTTAGGGTTTAGGGTTTCGTCGACTTTGGTGGCAGTGGAGATCATGCACTGGTCAAGTTTTGACGTGACCCCTGGAGTTCCTCAGTAGTGGGAGGCGCAGCCCAAACCCTAAACCCTGAACCCCAAGCAGGTTCTGCATGTAGGAGTTGGCCTTTTGTTTTGTTTCGCCGTCCTCACAGGTTATGTATCTCAGGGCAACCTCAACCTGGACGCAGGCCGTTTCTTGTTCTTCTCTCTCGGTGTGCTGGTCGGAGTTCAACTCTCGCAGAGTGCCCCCCCCAAGCTGTTGCGGTGCTTTCGTGCAGCGCAGGATGTCGCTACAACCTCTATGAAAAGGCGCAGGCAACCCAATGCTTGCAAGGAAGCTGGCCCCTTGCCTGAAGTGTCAAAAGAGACTCTTTCGAAACATTATGAATATTCTTGATATTATTCTTATTATTATTATGAGTAGTATTCAGACGTTTTCTGTATTTATATTATGAGGCTAGCGGTTCTTGCTTGGTGCCTGTTGTTTCTTGTGCGTTCTTGTCCAGACCAGATCAGTGAGCGAGGATTGTGATGACGGGCTCTTCCAACACCCTGCTGGAGTTTGGGAACCTGATTAACTTCCTGGCCCCCGATGAGTACGGCATCCAACGAGAGGGAGAGATGATTGGCGCTTCCGCAGTTGCAGATGTTGTGATCGAGAATGGACAGGCCACGTGACAGCAGGAGCTATTGCCATGTAGTGCTAGTTCTTGAAAGCCGAGCTTCTTGTCTCAACGCAGAACAACGCGACCCTTTCGCGATTTGGGAGTCCCGGGAGGGGTTACCAACATTTAAATGGGACCCTGGATGTAGGTGTCAAAAAGCCACACAGCGGCTTTCTTGAAGATGCAAGGTATGAAGCAAACGGGACTCGGGATGTAAATTGTTGAAGGGTTTTCAACACTGTACGTTGAAGGGAAGGAGCCGTTGGCTCAAACGACGGTAGCAATTTTAGCGGTGGGCGGAAGAAATGCGAGAGGAAGAAACTGCGGAAGAGGACCACACGCCAGCGCCAACCTAACTCCATGCCTGGATGACTTTGAAGAAGCAATAACACATTTCCGGATTAGAAACAAAGCATCAAAAAGATTGTTTGAGGCTCAAAAACACGTTTCCTGACAAACGAAGGGTATCAAATGATACTGGTCATTGTGTCATCATCAGAGTGGGTTGTAAGATGTTGCAAGTTCCCGTTGATGATTGCAAGTGCATGCCAGCGTGTGCATGAGCAAGCAGTTTACCGTGACCAACTTGCATTGTCGCCGGAGTGGAGGCGATTGCCTTGAGATTCTGCTAGGTCACTCACTGGGACGTGATCAGCAACCAGCTGCCTGAGTGCAGGCAGGGCCGGAAACCAGCCGATTGAAAGTGGCTTGACATCTTGCAGGGCCGGTGTTTCCGTGTCAAAACGACCTGTGGATTCGTGGATTACTGGTGCGTTGGATGCGTGTTTCGGTTCGGGTCCAGGCGTATGGTAGTGTAAGCCGCTTTCGGCACCCAGCGCCCTCGATTCAGGCACCGCCCAGCAACTAGGGTTCATGGGCAACGATGTGCAACATGTTGCCGATGCACATTCGCACTTCCTTTCTTCATTTCTTACAGGCATCGGCGGCTTCAGGGGGGAGAGGGTAAGCGCGAGAGCGGTCGACTGCGAACCCACGGGGTGGATTTCGGCGGCCATCGTGATGTGACAGCTGGTGGGGTTGTTGCATTTGTGGGGAAGGCCGCGAAAGTCTCTTGCAGCTTCGGTGCCGTGATTCTCAGTTGAAGGGTGCTGAAAGTTTCCAAAGTTTGCATGTAAAGGCTTTTGGGAACCGCCGCTTGACTGTCTTTCGTTCCATAGTGTCAGGGTTGCCACAGTTACCACTTCCTCGCCCCAAGCATTTTGTTCGGGCAGTTTCCCTTCGGCTTGCCTGTGTGGACAAGTTTGCAGGCAGGTGGACATTGCACTTGCGAACCAGAACCGAGCAGCGTGCAAAGTGGCAATTGAGAATCTCTTGATGCGAGCGCCGGCATATAGTGCCCTGCTTGCAACATCTCCTATCACTGTCTTTCTTCATGCCGAATCGATCTGATGGCCTGAGGTCCTGATTCTATTCGCATTACCATGTTCATCTCCTTCTTTTGGTATCGGACACTTGGCAAGAATGTTATTGCGAGGCCACAGTTGGAGAGAGTTGCGCGACATTCTCCTGCTACTGCAACAACCTCCCCCAAAGGCTGCAGGCAGGGTTCCTTATTTGGCTCTGCTTGCTGTGACTGAGGACTGCCTTGGCTTTGGAAGTGGTGAACGCAGATACGCTGTGGAGTGCCGCACAGGCATGCAAAAGAGCAGTTGACTACAAAATGAGTTGTTTTTCCCGGCCTTTGGGGTTTAGGTTAGGTTTTGAAAAACGGCTCCGACACACAGTCATGAGCCGGTGCGCAGGTGGCCGTGGTGACGCAAGTGGGGGCCTGGTACAACGTGTGCAGCGTCACCAAGGAGGACTATTGCCCACGGCAGGAGCTCCTTGCAATGGACAGGGATCCTGCAATCCAAGTCTTCAAGGACGGAGCGGCTTCCCAGCTTTCACTTTTTTGTTTTACTGCAACTTGTTTCATCGGCTGTATTAACGACGTTCATGATCGTTCTGCAACTTGTTTCATCGATCGTTTCTAGGCCCCGAGAACAGACACAGGCACAGCCCCACTGAAGACAGGATGAGATGGAGGAGGTGTTCGTGCAGATGGATAGCTTCTGCACCGGTGGTGGACGAGCTGCCACTCTTGGCTGCAGCGTGCAGAGACCCCTCGGCATTAACGAGGCTGACCACAAGTTACGGTTGCAGTGGATCGACACATCGACACTGATTTCTCTGCAGCATGTGCCTAAGATTTGCCAAGGACCATCTCATGGACCAACGGGGTGCGTGACAATGAGAACTTCCAGGTCATGAACGCCTTCATCGAGCAGGCCATGTCCGGGCGGCAATCTTCGTCCTTCCGACTCATCGACTTCTTCAGACTTGGTGGCGCTATGCCAGAGGAGGTCAGGGCCACCCCTCGTTCTGGGCATTGTTCTCTCTGGCTGGCTAGTTAGGATTGCGCTGCCTGTGCATCTTCCCCCCCAGGTGGTCAACGGTCACGGCTCGCAGATGCTGAATCTTTGGGCACGTTGATTGCAAGATGTTGCAGGGCATTGCAGGACCTTCACTGAGTTTCGATAGCCCGGAAGTCGGTCATCGCCGTAGATGCTTCGCACCATCTACTTGTATTGTACTGCTACTATGTGTTGCTTAACACGTGTATTTTGCGTATTTTCACAAATTAAACGGCACTCATGAATGGTCTTTCAATTAAAAGGCAGGACTTGTTTCTGCATTGGTTGAATTGTCGCGTAGAGTGTCATGCTTCTCAAAATGAAAAATGTATCTGCCAGCAACGGATGTAACTTCCCGTGGTGCGCATGGGCGCTGAGACACACTGCGCTGTGATCACAGAGCCTTTAAGCCGACAGTTTTTAAGACTCTTTCGATGCAGCGTCGAGTCCTCAACGTAATTGACCGGCCCTCTCAATATGAGGCTGCAGCATGTGCTCGTCGCAACATTGAGGTGTTGCTTCTTAAGCTCCCAACATGCATCAGCAACTGCAGGGATACACCAAAGCACAGCGAATAGTTAAATGGTGGCATTGAGATGGCTCGACTGAGAACTGGAACAGGTGTTGGAATTCTACTCTTTGACGATGTTGCCCGTGTGAACAAACCATGGTTGGTATCGTGTTTTTTGGCTCAGCGCGAGAGAAGGGAGAGTTTCTAGAACTCTTTTTCGGTTGTCAAAAAGCACATCGACATCCCCAACTTCGTATATGTGGCAGATGCCGCGTTCACGTAGGGCTCATGGGGGCTTGACAGGGGGTTGGGTGGTTCATTCATAAGGGATGCAAAGGGAGTTGACAGGGAGGTGCTGGAATGCATGTCGGTAAGCGTTGAGGCTTTTCCCGCCAAGCCCCGAGAGCTTGTTGTTTGTGATGTGATCGTCAACAAGCCAACATAGATTCACGTCTGGCCTGTGCTAGCTGCTAGAATGTGAATTCTCATTTTCGGTCCGTGGCAGCCAAGGGTTCCAGGCCGGGAGGCCCATACATTTCTACGTGCTTTTCAATCGACCCCGGAATCGTTGCTTTAGACTCCAGTGGGCATGCGTGCAGTTTGAAGCAGTCTGATACAGTGTGTTGTGAACACCAGCAATCCTTCGCCAGCAATCCTAATCTTCGTCAAGTTTGCAGTTTTACGCGTTGTACACACGCACACACACACACACAGTCAGTGTGTGTGTGTGTGTGTGTGTGTGTCTCTGTGTGTCTCTGTGTGTCTCTGTGTGTCGCTGTGTGTCTCTGCGTGTCTGCGTGTCTCTGTGTGTGTGTGTGTGTGTGTGTGTGCAGGGCTGGGTGGGTTTGGTGCTTGTCCTCCTTGTCCTCCGAGTCACCTCGCGGCACCTCATTCTATGCCGAAAAGGAAGTGAATAACCATCTGACCGAACATGGCCCGGCGCCCCCAAGGTATGGACGGTGATGTTCAACGCGATGTGCCCTGCAGAGCTTGCAGCTCGCGGCTCCTATGCGGTTTGGGAGGGCAACCTCTGCTCTGGAACGGAGGCCCTTTTGCTTTTTACATATGCTGGTGCTATATGGGTCATGGTGACATGGTGCGTTCGTTTTTTATATATGGGTTTTTCCGCTGTGTCGTGAAGGAAGGGTCCCCAGTTTGCCCAAGTCCACTGTCGGAACTGTTGCCCTGGCGCACAGGCTCGATTTGAGAACTGCCCCGACTACTACCCCAGTTGCTTGGACGGCCCGCGATGCGAGAAATGGGAATGCATGAACAGCGTCCCTTGCACATTGAAAGCCGCAGATCCTCCGATGGCCGGGGACACCGAAGGCCTTTGTGACGATCTCGTGAACATCAGTGGGTTTCTGACGGCCCCAGTTCTCATGGACGAACGCATGGACTTGGACGCGTGCCACAGAGGAAACCTTCGAGTCCGTTTGTGGTGCTTGCAGGATTACGAGTGGCTCTTGCCGCTTGTCAGCGTCATTGCGGCGCTGGGGATTGTTGCAGTGCAGTACGCTTGGGAGAAGTATGGGCCAAAAAAGACTGAACAGAGCCCTAGGAAAAGCTCGAAACAAGCGGACAATGCTGAAGCGAAGGCCGGTGCTGCAGTGCCCGAATCGAAAGCAGCGGAGGTTGACACTGCTGCGGTTGCGATTGCGGTTCACCAGGAGCCTGAAATCGTTCAGGACGTGCCAGAAGGACCGCCAGGAGATGACAAAGCTTCCGTAGAAGCGTCAAAATCACGAGCAGCAACCAAGGAGAACTTCGCGGAACTAACAGATATTGCATCTGCACCATCGCCCAAGAAGTCGAAAAGTCACTATTCCCTCGCTGCTACCTCAGAGGCAGCTCTCGGCGAATTGACTGACATCATGTCTGCATCGCCCTCCGCCATGAAGTCCAAGAGCCACGTGGAGCTGGAGGTGAAGTCCGAAGCAGCGCTGGAAGTCAGCAAGCCCAAGAGTCAGGCTGGCAAGGGTGCCAATGCACCGGAGATCCCGGAGCCGGAGAAGCCGGAGAAGCCACACCAGATGGCAGCCACCGCACCGGAGAAAGGGGAGGCAGTGGAGGTGGGACCAGCTACGGCGACGACAGCCAGGCTGGCGCAGATGGTCCAGACACGCAAAGCTGGCAACAAGTACCCTCTTGGGCTCGCACGGTTCATGGGATCATCCCACGTGGTGGCGGGCCACCTCTTTGCCAAGGGGGTGACGCATCCCGTGTACTTTTTCGGCTGGGGCTTTACTTGGGTGCCTTGGTTCTTCATGCTTTCTGGCTTCGTGCTTTTCTCCGCATACCTGAAGAACCCCAAGGAGGAGACCATGATTCAGTATGTTCTGCGCAGGAGCACGACCATCTACCCATTGTATGCCTTCTCTCTCATCCCAGCCTTCATTATGCAGAAGAGCTTTGGGACCATGTCAGCCGAGTGGCCGACCTTGCTCGCACAGTCCTTCCTTCTGCAAGCCTGGTGGCCGACGTTCACCGAGAATGCGCTTCAAATGCATTGTTGGTTTCTGAGTTGCATGGTCGTGTATTGGTTCTTCTTCAAGCCTTTGGCTTATCTCCTGAAGAACGTCACCTTGAAGAGAACGGTGGGTTTGATGGGCTTCTTCTTCTTTCTTCCCTGGCTTCTTGTGTTGATTCCCGTCATGGCGAACCAGCCTGTGGATTGGTACAAGGATCATGACTTTCTTAGCACCGACACTGCGCTAGACATTGGAGTCGTCATGCTGAAGTTCCACCCGGTCTGCTACTTTCATGTCTTTATTCTTGGCATGCTACTTGCCAAGCTCAGACAGCTTCTCGACAAGAAGGCCCTGGCTTGTGGTCATGCTGCAGACTCATTCCGCAATCCATACCTCATCGCATTGCAATTTGTTGCACCACTCGGCTACTTGTTTCTGATTCTGGTATTCAGCGTGGAGGGCTTTCAGGCCAGGCTATGGGGCTACAAGCTGTCTGCCCGTATCTCGGTACTTTTGCCTTTCCAAGCCATGATTCTATTTGGCCTGGCTGGCCTGCCCAGCCTTCCACTTCCGCTCTTCTCGTATGCGTTCTCGCCGCTTGCAATCCAACCATCATGATGTGATAGGTTTTTAAAGTGCACGTGAACATGCTATCCACTCCCAGATGCTTTAGCTGGCTACCGAGTTGGAATAATTCTATATTTCCTTCTTACATATCGTTCAATGAAAAAAAGTCCTGGTTGTAAGACGCTTTGGGATGGCTTCAAGTCTGCCCAGCCAGGAAGTTGGACTTTCTTGAGAACTACTCCTACGCTGTCTACGTGTTCCAGTTCCTCTGCTATGCGGTCTGGCCTCAAACGGGCTTGGTGAACCTGCCCCTCTTCTTCGTGTTCACGTACGCGTCGGCTGTGGTCATTGCACGCGGCATCCAGCAGCCGATTCAGAAGTGGTGGGCCTCCCACACACGAGCGCGTCTTGTCGTGCCCTTCATCCTGGCGGCCTTCCTTGTTGGGCTGTCCTTCCTCCCAGACCCAGCAGCAGACGCGTCGATGCCCGACATCCCTGCCCAGCTCTTCATTGATGACCGCACAAAGGACATGCGCCTGGAGCTGATGGATTCGGAAGGCCAGCACCTGGGCGCCATGGTCATTAACCCATCCCTCGTCATTGCGAATGGTGAGGTGGTGGTGGTTGCAAGGCGGCACAGGCGGGAGACCACGCAAAGCAACGGCCGCTACAGTGGCCCTGAAGGCGAAGGGGATGCGGTGTTCATCAACCAGATCTGGCACTCGGACGTGGTTGTCGGCAGCCGGGCTCTGGACCTTGAGCGTTGGGGGCTCTGGCCTTCTAGCGGCCTCAGCCCTTTGGCTGGCCTGCCTATGCAAGCTTGGACTGGCATCCGCACGTCCACAGGTCGGATAACGTAGAGCCGGCATGAAAAGCTCGTAGCATCTGCCGGGATGATCGGACTAAGTGTTCACTTGCCCTGAGGTGGCAGTTGGCAGGACCTGTGCATCGCCGAAACCTGGATCGCCAGCAACAACACACTGATTCGACATGTCGTCACCGGCCCGGAGGATCCCAAGGCAGCGCTCCAGTGATCCCCGATGTCTCTAAGAGTTTATATAAGGAGCTGCAAGTCTCTAAGAGCTGTAGTTGCTCGTGTTATTCCATACTTATTGTTCTTATTCACTTTTTTTTTTCCCTCTGCTTGGGGGCTCGTCAGGTGGTGAGCCTTCCCGGCGACGGGCTGGTGGTTGCCTTCGACTCGAAGCCTCCGAAAGATGGCGACCAGTCCACCTGCCGAAGAAACAACCAAGGCAGGAAGGGGAAGGGGAAGGGGAAGGGGAAGGGGAAGGGGGCTGAAGAGGGCTGAAGAGGGCTGAAGAGGGCTGAAGAGGGCTGAAGAGGGCTCTCTGTCTTTGCTCCGCCAAAGCCGCTATAATGTCATCTCGCAGTTCGTTTCTAAGCATGCTTGACTTGGAGGTTCGCGGTACTCATTCACCAGCTATAACTGTAGTTATAGCCCACTTTCAAGCCCTTTGAGTGCCCGAATATGGTTTATAAGTACAGTCATGAGTACAGTGATAGTTGGGTAATTCAGTACCATGAACCTCCAAGTATCCTGTTCTCTCATGTGCTTTCTCTCACAGGCTTTGCAGATGCCGTGACTCAGATGTGACTTTGTCGGCAGCTTTGTGGTTTCTGAGTTTGAGAAGCTTTTGGCACCCAGGTGCAGCAACTGCTAATACCAAGGTATTTGTCCACGGGTGTCAGCCCTGTGGGGCTGGGAACCCCGACTCCCGCCCATCGCCTAAGCTATGGTCAAGTCGACGTTGCCGAGAAGATGCTTGTCTCCAAGTGTAGACGAGACGACATGCCCTCGGAGTGGCAACAAATGAAGTGGAGGGATGAGAGTTTTAGCTGAGGAACTGGATTCCGTTCGTGTACCAAGAGTCTGTTTACTTCATCTACACCCCGCTTCCGCATGTCGTGCTTTCATCGCAAAATGATGGGCAAAGCGAGAAGGCCCCGAAGCTTAGAGTTCCCCACGGGGTGTCGGCTTGGCCATGCACAGCCATGTCGTCTGGTCAGGTGTTCAGCACGACGTTCCGTCCCTTGCAGCGCGTCGTGCAAGAAAACCCCCACGTCAGGCCCGGCCCAGCATGATGCACAAAGCACGACCTTGGACTGATCCATCCTGGCCACCTGAAAGAGAATCAAGAGAATCCCACAAACAGCCTCTCTCCCCAGTGCTAGAGTGCCAGAGCATCGCAGGGATGACCGACCCACTCAGTCAGACGAACCTTCCCTTCGCGCGGTTCAGGATCCGAGGTTCGGCGCAGGCTGTCTTCGTGAACAGCTCGCAGGCGCCACCTCGGCTTGCGGTGACATGTCCTTGCTCAGTGACTTCAAAAAGCCAGAAGGCAACACCAAGCTTGCCGCGGCCACACTACTTGGCACTCCTGCATATCTTCGACACCTCGACTGGCCGCTGCTTGACCTCAATAAGGTGTGCAGTTAGTGCATTTTCAAGGTGTCACCACAGCTTGGTTTGCAGAGATGTGCAGTGCCAAGGCTATGCGCACCATGCGTTTGGAGCTTACAACTTACAGCCCTTGACGCGCCTGCCCGCGTTTCGAACCTTGAAAAGCACGCATAAGGTACCGCTTTGGTGCAGAGCCGCCCTTCATGATGCTGCAGCTTTCATCTAAACTGCCTTTAACAGAGGCCGCTGCAACTCCAGGCAGGAGTTGGCGTGCACGTGTGTACGTGTGTGTGACACCATCAAGACAAAAGGTATGCAATTTTTGCTTTCATCAATCACGGAAACTCCTTAGGAATAAAGGACCCAAAGACACATCCAAAACACTTCTCTTCTTGACCTTAAAATACCAACCCGAAGCCCCACATTATCGGAAAGAATTTCGCCAGATCTGTACTTATACATGGGGGTTTGCGAAAATAGGGGACCCCTTATATAAAACCCCAACCAGTAGGAGTCCCTTACAATAAGGACCCCATACCCCTACTTTCGGATAGGGGGCCGGGGGGGGGGCGGGAAACGACTCTACCGGCCTCGGCCCGGAGCTATGCGACAAAAGCATCAAACCATCCAGGAGGGGCGTCCCAGCATGTAGGGTCTACCGAATTTTTACCAATGGAGTGGAGACAAATGAGACACGACGGTCCCTGACAAGTGTCACACCCCCGAGAGTCGTCGCAACATCCAGGGCTTGCTCACTTCACAAGGAATGGGAGACAAAGGAGAGGCAACATGTAGAGTAGTAGTGCCACGAGACATCCAAGGGAACGTTTCAGAAGCACTTCCTTAAACAGGACAAATGGAGGCAAAAGTGCGAGACAAATGGGAGCATCACAGCATCCAGCCTCGAAACAAATGGTAAATATTAGAGATACACATCGGAGATGGGAGACAAGTGGGTGACAAGAGTCCCACGGCATCTAAGGTTTGCGGGCTTCACAAAGGGAGACACATTGGAGACGGCAGTCCCGGATCGGCGGTTTTTTTCTCAACAAATGTGTGATATCGTGCGCCTGTCTGGGAGGTTGGTTGGTGTTTATGTTGTTTTTGCTTTGGAATGTTTTGTCCAGGTGGTGTTCCCTTTGCTTTCGCAAGCGGACTGGCTGCCAGAGTCTCAGCAATGGAGAGCTTTCGATTTGCCCCCACATGGAATGAGAAGTTGAGACTTGATATGCAGCTGGTGGAGTAGGGCATGTCATGGATATCAAATTATTGAAGCTGCCGTTCCGTGAACGTTGGGAACACCCATACTGGGTGCTGGCTGTGCGACATGCATCTGTGCACCAGTGTAGAACCGAGGTGAGCTTATGTAGAAAAGTGGAACATACCAGTCGTATCCGTGGCAAGAGGTGGCCCTGGGCCCTGTGCTCTCGAAACAGCACCCGGCATGCTTCAACACAGCTCAGCTACCGCAAGTTCTCAAGTTCTCCGCGGGTAGAGCTAACGGTACCTGAAGCATCCTCGGCCCGACGCCCTCCGAACCCCAAATCTGATGAAGCTGAAGTTCCCAGCACACCGCAAGAAAAAGATGCTCTTAAGGTGCACAGCAACACCGTGGTGGTCACCTACGGCGCAGGAGATCGCGATGCCAGAGCATTGGTGATGAGTCTGGACAGGCAGAGATTAGACCAGCATGGATATTGAAGTCGAGGGGACGTTGTGACACTGCTTTCTCGCTGCAGGCTTGACGAGATGTTTGCGTGCTCCACCTATGCAGATGATGCATGAGAGTTTTGTCGTTTTCCACCTGGACAAAGCATGGAAAAAAATCAATTATTGAGCTGTACAGGTTCCTTGCATTTCCTTGCAAAGCAAACGCAAGCAGCGGGGGATATCGAGCAAACTCGATAATCCCTGTGCTGAACAGGGCTTGTGCCCCGAGTCCATTCTGCTTTGGCAATGGATGAATTCAGGGGGATGGAGTGGCTGCTATGATGGCAGCCGCTCGCAACCTCACGGCAATGCACTCTTACAGTATAATTTTAGCTCTTGCGCCCAATGCGTAGACTGCCTTGCTCTGCATGTTTGTCATGGAGGCAGGGTTGCAGCAGGAGATGTCTGCGGCTGCTTGCACCTTGACAAGCAGCAAATGAATGTTGAACCTGTGAGGCGCAGCGACGCCGCGGATCCCTAAGGGAGTCTCAGCACAATCAGGGTCATATGGGTCATGACTTCCCAGTGAGTTACCTGAAGAATCGTCAGGGATTCAAAATGCCGCTCTCTCACAATCTGATGGAGCTGCGCGGACGCCTGTGATGCTGCTCCAAGGACGTAGATCATCGCAGCCTCGGTGATTTTGACGGCTTCAACACCACCAGGCGAGTCTTCTGCTCCTTGTCTAAAAGGTCATTTTTTTGTTTTTGCATGTTGGACCTTGGCCTTGTCTCAGAGGTTATCAGAGTGACCCCTGACCTTCTGCGGCCGAGGTGAAGCACAGAATCGAGTGAACCGACTGAGAAGGAATTTCTCCCCACGCCTTGCATTCTGTGACAGAATCTCGCGGTGGCACGGGCTACTGCTGCGGTCATAAGTGACGTCCGGTGCCTGATCGTTGGAGTGCCTTAGTGGCCTTCAGCCACTCGCTCTCGTTTCAGAAGTTTACCTCCGCTCATGCCCTCATGCACACACGAACAGCCTTGAGAGTTCTGTACCCGTAGCTGTACAATCAGCACGTGCAGGTTGATGTTGTGATTTCAGGATGCGCAGTATGGAATAGTTGCTTCGGAAACTTCCAAGCAATTCAGCAGGGGCCACTCGTGCCCTTGCTGACGCTGCCCAGTCAGCCCGCCTGCTACAAACGCAGTGCTGACCGAGCTAAACCTGAGAAGGCTGCATGCGGCCAACCCGAGAAAAGTACATGAGACACAGTGCTGGCCGGGCTTTGTGGACAGGATCGCTCCAGAAGACTTTTTAGTTTTGTTTTTTGATGTTGACGACCAATAGCACCTTGACTTAGGGAGTTTCGTGCAGGTGTAGGGTAGTGATGATGGCGTTTCACTGGGTCTTGAAGGTCCTGCTTTGCAAGGCGTGGACGATCAACACGTCTTCCGGAGCCAAAAAACAATCAGGGTCCAGCGTGTGGTTGAATCAACGCCTTCCGCTTGCGCTGGGCACTCTTGCGTAATCGAATCCCTCGTCGAGGAAGACGCTCGGGCTCACGAGGCTCGTTGGCGTCCATCAAGGGCTTAAAAGTGCAGCCCTGAACATACGAAACAACTTCAGGAGCACTATGGCCGAGAACCAGTTTTCTCGACGGAAACACCAGGTTTTTGAGGAACAGGACGCGACAAAGCAGGGGTCACAGCAGGAAGAGAGGAGAAACAGCCCCGCCATCCGTGAAGTTCGCGCAGCTGAGAGCGCGCGTTTTCTCACTTAGGATCCGGTGCTCATGCAAGCATTCATAAAGCAAAACAGGAACATTCCGACACAGTTTAGGACTTTACATTAGGCAAGATCGTAGTTCTTCAGCTAACAAAGTTATCGAGAATCTTTCGCAGCCAGATTGCCCGCCGGATTCTCAATTGTGACGCATGTTATGACGCATGTGAAAACACGTGAAACTCAAACGTTTTGGGCACCGCGCCACCTCAAGTGCTTAGGGACACCATACACCGGACCACTTCGTGGCTGTGGGCTTGTGTTTCGTCGACAGCTCTCAAGACAAACTCGTGTTACATGTGCGGGGCCATGCCCACGACGGTGCGTCTTGCGTTTTTTATGCACATCGTCATATCCTATGTGGCCGAAATGCTTCCTTTTTTGACCAATTGAAATTCTTGTTATAGACATCGTCGTCGGTGTCGTGCCGTGATGGTGCTGGCCTTGCAGGTCCCTCTGGACCTCCCCCTGCCCCCCTGTACTGATGACACCTGCCACGAACCGTCGTGCTGTGAGCGAGCGCAGAGTCGCTGTGTGTCCCGTTTATGCATGTTTATGCCTGCGTCATTACCGTGCTTACGCCGGGTCGGCATGCAGGTGAGGCGCTTTTGCCACACTGTCGATACGCTTCCTGTGAGGCTGCTGTTGCTCCAGGGTGCCACGCAGGTTCTTGTGAGCACTGCACGCGGCGTGGTTGCAATCGCGCTTTTGCCGCGCTCTGTAGTGGCTCCTCCGCCTTCTGCACCCCGGCTGTGTCGTGTGTGCGCAAGTTGGTACATTGCAGCTTTGCACCCATGACTTGTCGGCATTGCCGGAGAGCGTTCGTGCCTCGGCTGAAACCCTACGTGCCGGGGAAAAATAAGGGGAAACGTCAGCGACCTCCGTCGACACCGCCGGCGCGACGGCTTGCCGCAGCATTGGAACCTGGCGACGTAGATTGTCTACCTTCCAAATATGCGTCTCGCGAAACGTGCTCCTGGTCCACCAGCTTGATCCAGCTTGGAAACCATTGCACACTGCGACGATTGGAAAGTAGCCGCAGCCAACATTGGAAAGTGGAATGGTTGCCGCCTTCCTTGTCGCCCGCTCATCGTGCTCTTGTGCGTTCACAGGCTGGGCCCCACGCCGGCGCATGGCTCACAGTGACCCCCACACGACGCTCTCCCCGGAGATGATGCACATCGCACTGAGGCGACGCCTTGGCCTGCCGCTTCCGCTGGCCGCGCGGCGTTGCGTCGTTGATGAGCACGGCGACCACGCCTTGGCTTGCCCCCGCACGGGCTTGGGCCAAGTGGTGCCGCAGCAATGGCTGGACCATACCAGGACCGTCGACGCTTGGACCTCGTCGTCTACGGGGCGACCCGTTGGGAGGGGCGCTTTGCTGCGATGCCACGCTCGTCTCGCCGCTGGCGAGGGATGGCACGCCGCACTGTGGTGCCGCAGAACGCGATGGGGCCGTGCTTTGCACGGCCGAGCGGCGCAAACGAGCCACCTACCCCGAACTCGCACAGGGCAGCGCGCAACACCTCTGCGTGCTCGGTTGCGAGGTTGGGGGGCGCTGGAACGCCGAGGCTGCGCTAGTGGCTGCCGCGCCCCGGCGCCCCTGCGCGCGGCTGCTGGCATCGCCTGGGCGCGCAGGTGGTGGAGCGCGCCAGCAGGCGGTCGGCTCAACGGCGCTGGGGAGGGCAAGGGCAGTAGCGGGGCCGGCGCAAGACAGCTTGCCGACCCAGGCGGCCGTCCTCGCTGATGGTGACCCGGACGGGCCTAGTCGCCTGCCGCTGCGCTGAGGCCCGAGCCGGTTGCCACTACGGGCGTAGCTAGCCTGCGTAGTTTCTGTTTAGTTGCCGCTTAGCCGACCAAACGGATCAGCAGGCATAAAAGTCCGAGGAAAAAAAAGTTCAGCCCCAGCGTCTCTCTGCAGTGCCCAACCCCAGAGTCTCCCTGGAGCGCCCAGCCGCCCCAGAGTATCTCGACCAAGAAAGGGTGGGGATGTTCGAAGTGAAGTGATTTTGACGATCGGCCGCTCAAATGTCACGAGCTTGCAGCCGCTCATCAGCATGATCTTCCCAGTCGCTGTTTGAACGTGTGAGCCCGTAGATGACCATGTACAAAAGGTGAACTGGACATCGCATCTCCAGCTCTGATTGGCCCGCGATCCCTCAAGTGTAACGGGTCGACCGTGCATTTCTTCCCCCACAAGGCGGCCGTAGACGTCACGCACATTGTCTCTGTGCGCAACTATGCGAGCTTTGAACCAGGTGGCGGTAAGACGCAAGCGTCCGAGCCTGCCGAAATGTGGGGCCTGGCCTAGGGCAGTGGTGCCAGCGGCCGCTTGCACAGCGACCGACAGCACACTCCACCAGCTTCTGGCCCAGCCCGGCTGCCGTTGCTTGCCGGACCGTGGGGGGCTACTATGAGAAAGAGGAAGGTGTGACAGGGAGAGAGCGGTTAACCTGGCATGCGATTCCAAGGGTGTGAACGGTTAGACCAAGATATGAGAGTTCACGGGCTAGTACTTCGAGGGGTGGTAACAAGGATATGATTGGTGAAGTGACCGCCCGTGAAGACCGTTTCATCCTGGTTGTCATCGTGAATTCGTTTATTTCATTCGCTCGTTCACTTTCCCCCTTAATAATAGTATAAACGAAGGTAATGAAAGCACGCTTCGTTTATAATATTATTAGGGGCCCTTTAAGTGAATGCATGAACGGTGGGTGGGCGCTTTGGCACCGAAACAACCAGGTTACGACAAACAGATGATTTCAGGAGAAGCAGGGGGCGGAGGCGGGCCAGACAACACCAGCGCCGGCGTTCTCCGGAAGGGGTCGCAGAGTTGCCCCGGCCCGAAACGAGTGCTCGGAGCGTAGACGGCGGAGCCGGCGCACCCACCAGCGCCGCACGGCCTGCCGCGGGAGTCCCCGTTGCAGCGTGGGAGCAGCTGGACGCCGTCGACTTGCAAGAGGAGTTGCGCCACCCAGTCCCGACGCTGCAGGACGTGCCCCCGTTTATGCGCTCGTCGGTCCGCGGGGCTTTGGTCCTCGCTTTGAACCATTTGCGATCCGCTGGGGATGAAGATGGGGCGACCCTCCGAGCGTGGAAACTTTGTCTCCTGGCGCCACGCATGCTCCTGGCCCGGCCAGCCATCAAGCGCGGCCCGGGCGGCCGCGAAGAGCTCCCGCGCAGCGGCATTCCAGCAGGGCGAGTGGATCCGCTTGCTAAACCAGCTTGAAAATACACGATCCGCCTTCTCTCTTCCATGCACGGGCCGTCGCCAATCCTAATCCTGTTGGGGTTGTGTGAGTGGCCTTGTGCATGGCTGGGATGCTTGGCTGCCGGGGATCGTTTTCGGATAGACATGGGCACCTGGTCTTGTCATGCCCTGGCAAGTCCGTTCGTCCCTGCCTTTTCCGCTTAGTGCTGCCTGCTGAGTCCGGTTGCAGTAGGCTAGGCCTCCGACCTTGATCATTGGCCGATCTCGCGGGAAAAAAAAAAGCTTGCTGCACGAGGTGCGCCAGCTGCCCCGAGCAGAGGACGCGGCTCCGGAGCCCAACGCGGAGGAGGCCGACGCCCGGCGCCGCGAGCGGGCGTGCGCCAAAGTACGAATGGGCGAGCTCTCGCGCGCCAGGCAAGTCCTCACGGCTCCAGCTTTGGCCCCGGGAACAGAACAAACGCATGCGGCCCTCACGGACCCAGAGCGCAGGCCTGCCGTCCCACGCCAGCCCATCCCGCCGGACACCCTCGCACACGAGCCAGCCGAGCCCGTGACCCTGACGCCAAAAGCTGTGGCGTCCGCGCTGCGAGATGCGCGCCGCGGGGGCGCACCAGGCCTGCTGAGCACCTTAAGCTGCTGTTGCAGGATATCCCCGCGCAGGAGCTCCTGGCCCACGCCGCCACGCAATTGGCCCGGGCCCGTGTGCCCGCCGAAGTGGCCGCCGCCGTTGCCATGGCCCGATTGACGGCTCTCCAAAAGCCTGACGGCGGGGTCCGCGGCATAGCCACAGGCGATGCATTCCGCCGCCTCGTCGCGCGAGCTCTCGCAAAGCAGTGGGGAACCGCTCTCGACCACGCCACGCGACCGTACCAGTACGCACTCCAGTCGCGGGCGGGCACTGACGCCATCGTTGCGACCGTCCGAGCGGCGCTGGACTCGCGCGAGGACGTAGTCGTCGTTTCGCTCGATGGCCGCAGTGCCTACGATAGCATCTCGCGAGCGGCTTTCCTGGTCAAGTTGCAGGAAGTGGCGCTAGAACTGCTGCCTTTCGTGCGCATGTTCTATGGTCGCCCCTCCACCTATAGCTGGTGGGACGCGGCCGGCCGCAGGCGTGATGTCCACCAGGCCGAGGGCTGCGAGCAGGGCGACCCGCTGGCCCCCGCGTTATTTGCCTTGGGGCAACACGGTGCTCTCGCACGGGCAGCCGGCGACCTCGATCCAGCCGACAAGCTGCTGCGCCGCGCCAAAGTGGTCGAAAGAGCGTGGGTCCGGATCGCCCGGGAAGCAGTCGGGCCCGAGGGACAAGTAGTGCCCCAACAATGGTTGGGACACACCTCGGCACCAGGAGTCGCGGCAGATGACCGCAGGCGGCTGGACATGCTGGTTTACGGGGCCACGCCCATGGGCATCGCGCTGTGCTGCGACGCTACCCTCGTGTCGCCCTTGACGCGCACGGGGCAACCGCAACCATGCGCCGCCGACACGGATGGGGCAGCGCTCCGCGTTGCTGAACGACGCAAACAGGCGGCCTACCCGGAGCTCACGGGCGGCGGGCCCCAGCGGCTCGTCGTGCTCGCTGGAATGGCGGGGCCCTGCGATTCATGCGCGACATGGTCCGCATTCGCGCATGCCGCGCGCCGCCAACAGTGCGCCGCGCGGCCGCATCCGGCTGGGCAAGACGTTGGTGGAGCATCATCTCGGTCGCCGTTCAACAGGCCGTGGTCACTACGGCCCTGGGTCGTACGTGGCCGTCCGCTTCCACCGCGGCCGACGAGCCTGCCCCACCGCTTGACCGCCTCTTGGAGCCTGGGCCGCCCGACCCAAGCCGGCTGCCTTTGCGGGCATAACTACAGCCCGGGTAGTTTAGGAACAGCTTAGCCAACCGAACGGATCAGCAGGCGTAAAAGTCCAAAAAAAGAGATGATTTCATTCATTCACACACGCATGTTCACCTCGGTTCGCTCCTGGATGCTTCTGCATAGCTGGGGATGCTGAACGGCGGTTCGCTCCTGGATGCTTCTGCATAGCTGGGGGAACCTTGCTGCTGGAGGGTGTATCCCCTCTTTCTTCGGTGCAATACCTAGCTTAAATGGCTCCCCTAGCAGCAGATGGAACGCCCCGTGGGCCATGGTGGTACTCAAGCCGTTGGTGCTCAGACCGGCCATGACCAGCCAGCCTGTGGTTCTTGGTGGTGCTTCATGGGCTGGTGCTAGGATGTGTAGCCGCAAGCTGGTGGCGCGCTCAAGCTGATGGTGCAGACGTGGTGCGGCGACGCAAGCTGCGAGTGCTGCTGCTGCTGCTGCTGCTGCTGCTGCTGCTGCTGCTGCTGCTGCTGCTGCTGCTGCTGCTGCTGCTGCTGCTGCTGCTGCTGCTGCTGCTGCTGCTGCTGCTGCGACTGCCGTGGCCGAGCTGGTGGACGCAAGCTGATGCGCATGGCCAGGCTGGTGGTGCTACTACAAAGCAAGCTGATGCGAGCTGGGGGTGCTGAGACTGGCGCGGCTGAGCTGGATGCTGCTCCGTTGGGAGCAACTGGTGCTTTAGTGCTGCGGTGGCTGCGCATGGCCAGCTGGTGCTACTACTGGGCAAGCTGACGCATGCTAGGGGTGCTGAGACTGGCGTGGCCAAACCGGTGGCACTGCTGGTGGGTGCTCCGATAGGAGCTGAAGCTGCTTTGGTGATTTGCTGCTGCGGAGGTTGTGCGTGGTCAAGCTGGCGGTGCTACTACGGGGCAAGCTGACTACGGAGCACGTGGTCGCAAGCTGGGGGTGCGGAGACTGGCGCGGCCAAGCTGGATGGTGCTCCAGTCGGAGCTGATGGTGCTTGCTACTGAGCAGTTTGACGCATGCTGGGGGTGCAGTGACTGGCGTGGAAGCTAGTCGTGCTTTCGTGCTGTTGTGTTTGTCCAGCACAAGACCGGGCGAAGAATTATGTGCAGGACGCGTACATGTTCACTTTGACTGAGTCTTTGGAAGAGGGTTGGCTCATAGGGCCTCGCAGCTTCGGCAGGGCGGGAGGGAAGAAACTCATTTCGTTACAACGCAATGAGCCGCGCAATTAGTCGTCGCATCTGATTGTTTCACCGCCTGCGCCGTAAATGGGCCGCCTTCGGGCATCAGGCTTGACCTTAACCCTTGACCTCCTGTCAGCGACGCACGTTGCATTGACGTCCTCGCGAACAGCTTACCCTTCTGTCTGTCAAGGCCACGGCCTACATTTTGTCCCGTTCGTTGCCGAGGCCACGGGGCCCGACCCGCCGTTAAAGCGTGGAGGGAGTTCAGGGGCCTTTACGCTGCCCGCGTCGTGCCTTCGCTTACGGAACAGCTTCTAGATGCTTCTAGAATCCTTCAGTGTGGCGCTGCAAAAAAAGAGCGCTCGGGCTGTCCTCCGCCGTCTCCCAAAGGTCGGCGAGGAGGGCCGCAGGCCTCTTCCGCAGCCCTAACCGGCCAGCACTCCTGACACCCCCTGCCTACATGCTCTGGCACTTCAGCAATGGGAGCTGCTTGTGCGCGCTGCGCTGGTGCAGGGTGCTTGTTCGGGCGCGCCTAGGTCCGTATCCGTCTGAGGCCGCAGTCTCTCCACCAGGCAGCCACCGTTCTTGTGGCAAGTCCAGGAAACCTGGAAGCTGCCGAGAAAACCGCCTGCCAGTGGATCATGATGGTAGTGGATGCCAGTGTGCGGCCAGTGTGCTACCATGAGCGGTTTCCCTTTAGCGACTCCAGAGTTGCGCGCAAGGTGGCGGAGGAAGGAAGTGGCTTCGGCACAAAAAAAACCCCCTCCTACTTCGACCCCGACGACGACGCGAGGTACGTTTGGCGCCGCTTTCGGCGAGCGGCGACCTGCTCTGCTGCGCCTGGGCGGGCGTCGGCGCCCGGCTGCGGTCCTCGAAGTGCTGGGCCAGGGAGCGCAGGTTCCAATCGCCGGCCACGTCCACTCCGGGCTGCGGCACATCAGCGTTAGACAAGCGCAACGTGTAAAACCGAGGTGAACCACTCCTTTGACATGAAGTACTCGGCCGAGAGTAGAAACAGCATGAATCTGGCTTGTCTGGTTATGGTACATCTGATGCACAATCCAGATGATGTGACGTGAAACGCCACCGTGCTGCAAACTGTCCCAAAGAGCAGCCCAATTCACCCGATCAGAAACTTTGGATAAAAGCCAAGCTGATGATCCAAGTCGGCACGTTGCCAGCAAACGTTTAGTCAATCATCATATGTGGCGTCAAAAGGTGTTCTTCCACACGTCGCCCTTTGGAAAAACAGGTGAAAAAAAACCATTGTTGTTCATCAGGTTGGTGATCCTCCAAAGTGGCCTCAATGCAAGCCAGCTGCGAACACAAGTTTGCGCCAGGTGTTTATATAAACCGCCTTCAAGACATGGGGGGTGCATAATGCACCTGCAACAAGTTCGAACTCGTCAGATTCCTTCCCTGTGCTTCAAGCGATGAACTGCGGCAATGGATGAAGTCCAAGCGCCTTATGAAGGTCTATGGAATACGGGGCCGCGAGTGCAGATCAAGAAGGGGGCGCTTGGCGAGGGTTTGTGTGAAGTTTTTTGGCTCCTGTCAGCGCAGCAGGAATAGGGGCCCACCAGGCTACAGGCACCCTTACCTTGATCCATTGTATAGGAAGCGGTGGAGACCGCCCTATGAAGAATGCACGCGAAACTAAACGGGCTTGGAGTTGCAATTGTGCAGGCAATGTGCTGCTGGTTGACGGTGCTGGCCGCAGCTGTTGCTTTTGGCACGGCCTGCCACGCCCAGAAGCTGCGCCGCTTGGCCCTGCAATTAGTCTCTTCTTAGTGGGGCTACAGGAAGAATAGGGAGGATGATGGGGGTTTCTAGGGGAGAAGGTGGTGTTTGGTAGGTGCAAGTGAAGAAGAGTTGGGGGGCGCCATTTTCGGAGGCGGGTCTCCGCCTTCTTTGACATGCGATGCCGTGGCCCCAGCACACTGTTGCGCTGCGCTGCGCCACTCCGCCCAAACCCTAAACCTCTCCACCACTTCATGGGTGCAGGCCTGCCCATACGCAGAGGGTGAGCACGTCGAAGCATTGTGTCGTGGCCAGCTTTTGTCAGCTGGCACTTGCATCCAGCTGGTGTGCCTCAGCTGCGCAGTGGACGCTTCCGCAAAGCTCGTCATAGCTTTAGCCAGCACGAACCTCCGCGAGAAGCTGGACCCTAATTTAAAGCAACCCCATTTGAAGCCCTTAACCCCCTTGATCCCTTTCTTTCACGAATTTGCCGCAGAACTGCCACCTACCCTTGATCCCTTTTTCTCAGGTCTTTGCCGCAGCATTGCCACCTACGGGGCCCTTCTACGACGGCGAGGCCGACGTTGCTCTGCGGCGCGGGCGGCGGTGGCTTGCTAAGTACACTGAAGGGTGGCCATCTCCTCCTGACTGGCAACCTCCGTGCCACCTCTCTGCGCCTGGACCTCCAGCCCTCCGGCTGGGCAGATGCTGCAAGCTTCCATGATCCTTTCTCTCTTGGTATCACAATGTGAGGCCAACATCTATATGTTACCATACATGTGTATATATACTTCCATTCTATTATCATATTAGGGTTTAGGGTTTAGGGTTTAGGGTTTGGGGTTTGGGGTTTGGGGTTTAGGGTTTGGGGTTTGGGGTTTAGGGTTTGGGGTTTAGGGTGCTGGCAGTCATCAAGTCCGGTTTCAAAAGGCTTTAGTGTTTAGGGTCTAGGGTTTAGGGTTTAGGGTTTAGGGTTTAGGGTTTACTAGGTTTCTGCATCAAAAAATCAGGTTCATAGGCGCTGCCTCCCGAGGTCGCTGACGCTCGAGGATGCAGACGTTCAGGTGGACCACGGTCTGCAGGTTCTTCAGGCCCAAAGATTTGTCTACACACATATTGCACACACACACACACACACACACACACACACATATATATATATATATATATATAGACATATGCATATGTGTGTAATCATATGCATATTACATATGCACATTTTACGTTTATGTGTATGTTTCTTTACACAATCAACAAATAACTATGTACATAAATAAACAGGGTATAGAAAAATAATATATTCTGTACTATGTTATATTGCTTTAAATCTTTGGATAGGAGAATGAAAACACTGAGAACCAGAAGGTTGTCCACCCTAGGACATAGGCGCGTTCAATTTTTTCGGCCATACCTACTTGGGGGTTCAGGGTACTTATAACTTATAACCCCAACTATAACTTTACATAAAGCCCTAAGGCCGCTTAGTAAGTCATAGGTAGACTTATACTTGGCGATGTAGGTACCCATGAACCTCCAAGTAGGTGTGGGGCCAGATACCCTAAAGCCCAACCCCAAACCCCAAACCCTAAACCCTAAACCCCAAACCCTACACCTTAAACCCTACACCCTAAGCCCTAAACCCTAAACCCTTGCGAAACGGGTGGGAAAAAACCCTAAACCCTAAACCCTACACCCTGCCAGCGAGGAGGCCCCCCCGCACCACGGCGGCGCCTTCGTGGCCAATCAGACGTTGTTGCTTCGGAGGTCTGCCTTGACGGCCCCCTGGCACACAACGTGCCCGTCCGTGGGTTTGGGGTTTTGGGGTTTAGGGTTTGGGGTTTGGGGTTTGGGGTCTGGGGTTTAGTTTATAGGGTCTTCATGAAGCAGGGTTATTACATACGACCCCCCAAAAGAGTTTGAGCTGGGGAGTCTGGAAAAATTAGCTATCCCGAAAATGAAGGTTTCGTTGGGGCGTAAGCTAGAAGGTCTATTAATCTTGCCGCCTTGTGCCAGAGAATCCTGAAACCCGAAACCCTGAACCCGAAACCCCCTCTATGAGCCCGCTGTGCAGTCCGTCAGATGCCAGTCACTGCTCGCGGCCCTTCAAACTGCTTTGTGGGTGACTTGTGTTGAGGAACTTAAACAAAACTACCACAATATGGGGTTTCGGGTCGTAGCATGGGTTGAAGGTAAACAATATGTTTTCCTTATTGTAGTATTTTGAGCTCCTGAACAAGAGCTTGTTTTAGTAGCGAATGTTGGAAAAAATTCGGATCTGCATTTCAAGAAGAAAAAAACCTAAACCCATCCAGCTAGAAATGCCTAATGTTGACAAACATCCCAACTAGGGGGCCAATTCTTCTTCAAGGTTGCTCTGGGCCACATGTCATAGCCAGAGCCTGACCAGGCGGCCGAAATTAAAATAAGTCAGGGCTTAGGGTTTCGGATTCTGGGGATTGTGGTAGCACAGAGTATATGACGCCGACTTTGGTCACCAAGGAAGAGGGGAAGAGCGGGGGTTCGCGCGCAGGGCGCGCCTGTTTGCCGCAGGTTGCGAACACCAAAGCCGAATCCGGGGGCGCCTTCTACTGCCAGGATGTGACCCCTGGTCGGGGATGGTCATAGTTTCCATGCTTGCCGGGTTCAGGGCTCCTTGCTGAGTTTGCGCGTGTGGCCCTGCACCCGACAAACCTTCCCCTGGCAAAGTACCATAAAGCCCGAAATCCCCAGCTGGATGGGACTCAGGGTTGTTTCTTTGACACCTGACCAAAAAAGCTTCTAAGGAAGCTTCTGGAAGGCTCCAGCCTCTCGATTGTGAACAGCACTGCGGAGGGAGGCAGCGGCGGCGGCTTCTATGCGAGCGGCGCCGTCACCGTGGACTTGGGCTTGAAACTCTCCCTCTCCCTCTCCCTCTCTTCCTCTCTTCCTCTCTCCCTCTCTCCCTCTCTCCCTCTCCCTTTCCCGTTCCTGGTGCACTATACTGACACTTGTTCAAGACGTTTGAACAAGAAATGCTCACTCTGCCCCACGAGGACGCTTCCTCCATCTGGGTCCGGCACACCAGTGCCTCAGCCCAGGGTGGTGGCTTTCACACGATGCAGGGCTTGCGGATGACATCCGCCGCGCTACACATTGCAGACAGTGCCGTAGGAGGCGCAGGTGCTGGCCGCAGTTCGGGTGGTGGAGGCTTTTATTGTGGTGGCGGGCTGGACCTGGTTAACTCCAGCCTCCACATCCATGATGCCACGGCTCAGCCGCAGGGCTTCGGTGGGGCCTTCTTTCTTTCCATGCTGTACCCAAACGGCCCGCCCCTGGCCCGCCTCGCCCGCTCCAACGTCACGATACAGAACTGCAGAGCCGGCCTCCGTGCAGGTGGCTTTGCAATGCTGGACTCGACAGAGCTTCTGGTTGTGGATTCCAAGGTAAGAATTTCGAACGTTTCTGCCCCCGAAGGCAGTGGGGGATTCGAAGCTGGGTACCTGCGGCTTCTTGGCTCAGAGCTGCAAGTGCAGCATGCGAGGACGGAGAAGTTGGGGGGTGGCTTTCTCGCCTGGAACTTTCTTGCCAACAACTCGAGGTTGACTTTGTCCTACACGTCGGCGGCGTCGGCAGGAGGCTTCAGTGCACAACACAGTTTCCAGCTGATCGGGTCCAGCCTCGACATCGTGAGGGCCGATGCTTTCGGAGGTGGCTGCGCCGGCTTTGAGGCCCTGTGCCCCATCGAGATCAAGGAGTCGACGGTCCGCGTGAGCAGTGGCGAGGCAACAGGGGGCGGTGGTGGCTTTTGCGCAGGGGCAGTGTGGGTCAGCGGTTCCCACCTGTCAATCTCGGACTCCGTGGCTATGGGTCATGCTGGTGGCATGCAAGCACGTGGTCCCTTGCACTTACAAAACTCCAGCCTCGACATCCGACGATGCAGGAGTGGGAAGGACGGCGGGGGCGTGTGGGTCGGAGGGGACATGCTGGTCGGGGGTGGGTCATTGGTCTCGGTGTGGGACGCTGAGTCTTCAGGCCTGGGCGGCGGCCTCATGGTTTCGAAGTCTCTGAAGGTGAAGGACCGGTCAGAAATCCACATGGACAATGTCTCAGCCGGTCAAGGGGGAGGCATCCACGCCTACAAAAACATCAGCGCCGGCGGAGGGTCCTCTCTGGCCATATCCGGTGGCACAGCCCAGTCGGGACACGGCGGTGGGTTTGTTGCTGAGGGTGCCCTGCTCGTTGCCAGCTCCAGTGTCAGCATAGACGGCACGGAAGCGGCGGCTACCGGAGGAGGATTCTACGTCGGCTCAGCTCGCATTAGCGACGGCTCCGTACTGGTTGTTGCTGACAGCACAGCAAGCGAAACAGGTGGGGGTTTCCGCATCGGTGGCAGCAGAGTGGCTGGCAGCCTGGAGGTGTGGGAGTCGAACCTGACGGTTGCCGGGAGCGCCGCCGGCGATGGCGGGGGCTTCCACGCGGGCAACGTGTCGCTCCGGCATGCGCAGGTGAACGTGCAAGGGAGGGCCGGTGGCCGTGGCGGCGGCTTCTTGACGAGAGGCTTGGTGGTCCAAGAGTCCGAGTTGACGGTGGCCGGTGAAGCCGGAGAGGGCGAGGGTGGCGAGGGTGGGGGCTTCGTGTCCGAGGGCACAGAGCTGCGGGCGTCCAGGGTGCTGGTGGAGGGCACTGCCCGGCGCGGGGGCGGCTTCCGCTGCGGGTCCCTGATGCTGCAGGCGACGGTGCTGGAGGTGCAGCGCGCCGCGGCGCGCAGCGGGAGTGCCGGGTATGCGGGTGCGGTGCGGGCCGAGAACTCCCGCCTGCGGCTGCAGGGACTGCAGGGCCTGGAGGGCCTGCCGGGCGGCAGCGCCCTCGCGGCCGACTGCTTCGAGCTCACCCACTCCACGCTGCTTTGCGAGGCCGCCACAGAGACGGGCTTGTTCCTGCAGAACTCGATGTGCTCCAGCGCCTGCGGCCAGACCTTCAGCATCGATGCCGAGTCCGGCATCAACGCCAGCGGCGTGGTGTCGGCCCTGCTCTCCATCGACACGTGCGAGAACGAGTCCGTCCAGCTCGCCGGCATCGACTTCCGCACCCAGCACGCAGCAGTGGCCGAGGTCCCGTCCTCTGAGGTTTTCCTGGAGAACGTGACGGTGGAGTACACTCGGCCCATCCAAGACTCTGCGGTGATTCTTGCCACCCCGAGCTTTCATGCCGAGTCCGTGGCCGTGGCGTGCCCGGGATGCGCCCGGGGCGTGACCTTCAGCGCCGACCAGGATGGCCTCCACGCCGTGAGCCGCGGGCCCCTGAGCTGTGCGCCTCGGGCCACCCTGGCGTCTGGGTCCACGGCGCGCTGTGGCTGTGACGACCACCAGGTCCCCGACGAAGGCTTTGGGGAACTCGTGGGCTTGGAGCAGACGTTGAGCTACTGCACCTTCTGCCCACGCCAGTCCGAGTATGAGGGCGGTGGCTGCCGCAAGTGCCCCGTGTACAAGGCTTCGGTGGGGGTGGGGAGGGGGGCTTGGCTTGTGGCAAGATGAGAGGTTGTGATGCGACGTCTCATGATGTCTCATGTTGCGCTCTGCAGGGCCATTGTTTTATACAGTAATGCACTGTCACGTGAGCGCGGGGACGGCCAACAGTTGTAAAGCCAGGCCTGGTCGGAGGGCGCGCTGGATCGCTGCGGGTTTTGGCCCAAGGCGGCCGAGGTCCGCGCGCCGCTGCTGGTGGCGGCCACGCTCTTCGTGCTCTTGGCCTTCGGGGTCTTCGAGGTCTTCTGGACGCCCCTTTGGGTGGTGGACGCTGTGACCTCGAAGGGGAAGCTGGTCCTCACAGTGCAGGGCCCGATCGTCCATCTGCCCACATTCCTGGCGAGGCAAGTGCACCGGAGCCTGTCCTACACCGTCGAGGACACGGAGCTCTTCTGGCTGGATGCCGGCAAGCCCGTGGGGAAGAAGCTGAATCCCGTCAAGCTTTGCGGAGTCGGCCGGAACCTGCAGCTGGAGCCGGAGCCACCCTTTGACTGCGCCACCAGCAGGGGCACGCTCACAGCCACGCGCTACTGGCGCCCGCTCTTCTGCTTCTGGCTAGTGCTCTTCGTCGTGATCCTGCTGCCAACAGCCGTGGCCGTGGCCATCATGTCAAGAAACGGAGTTCGGCACGTGCTCCTGACGGCCTTCTATGCCGTGCTGCCCTTGAGCCTGGGCGCTGTGGCGCTTCACGGCCCCGTGGCCTGGATGCTTGGGAAGCACTACGCCAAGACCCCCCTTCAGGCAGCCTGTCAGGAGTACCTCCCGAAAGTGGCCCACGTGCCCAACCCAGGCCCGCGGAGCGACGGAATATGGGCTTGTTTGCAGGGGTTCCGGTTGCGTGAGGCTGGCAGCTTCTTCTGCAGCAGGGTTGCAATGTGTTAATGCGTGTTAGAATATGTGAATTTAAAGTCATGCAATAGTCATTGCTTCTCCGGCCCAGCTTGGTCGTGGCATGCGGACTGCACGCTCAGAGAGTCCCCAGACCCGTTCCTTCGGATTCCCCGGTCGTAGAGGCCCGGATGCCGGCCACCCGAAGAACCAGGGCCTCTTGGCAAACACGCTCGCGGAGCTCTGGGAGCACTTCCAGCGTATCATTTTGGAGCGAAACATGCATTTTGTGGTCGCGAACATCGTCCGACCGCTGACGATCAGGAAGCAAGTGTCCTTTGTGAACCTCTGGGGTGGCAGGCCGGTTGACTACTTTGTTAGCCACAGCTGGGGCACCAGCTTCCAGCACTTTGTGAAGTGCATCCGTCGCCATGCCGACTTCGTCGGTGCACCCAATGACGCCTATTGGATCTGCTCCTTTGCCAACAACCAGTGGGACATCGCGTCAGAGTTGGGCACCAGCGTCATGGACAGCGCCTTCGCCCGCGTCCTCCAGGCAGGCGTCAAGGGGGTCGTCATGGTGCTGGACCACGAGGTCCAGCCCCTCACTCGTACCTTTCCTGCACTGAGAGCCCGAACCCACCACACTGGGAAGGAACCCCAAACCCCAAACCCAAACCCCACTCTCGGGTTACTTGGCCCTGGACTTGCATCCTTGGCATGGCAGGCTGGGGGTGGAGGGGGGAAGGGGGACTTTTGGAGGGTCAAGGGTAGGCTTTGGATTGTGGGTACGCCATTGCTTGTATGTTGCTAGCTTGGGTGCTTCTTGTGGATGGTTCGGTTGTGATTGACTTACCCTGAGGCCTGTCCAAAGCAGTCCAACCTTTGAATCCGAACTTTGGCCATTGTTACGCCCGACCTTTTCCCCGTATACGCTTGCGACACGGGTGGGAAACAACCCCAAAGCCCCAAAGCCCCAAAGCCCCAAAGCCCCAAAGCCCCAAAAACCCAAAAAAGGCCCAAACCCCATGCCCCCCAAAGCCCTAAACAAAAACAAGCCAAAAGGACTCCCCAAGCTCGGCTCGCCGAAGGCGTATGGTGTCTCTTCGAGTTCCTGCTGTCGAGCAACCTTCAGCTGGACCTGGTCTTTGCTACGGACCTCGGGGTCCTCGGGGAGCAGGGCCCCGTGGCTTCACTGCTGCGCTCTCTCTCCCTCTCCCCCCCTCTCTCTCCCTCTCTCCCTCTCTCCCTCTCTCCCTCTCTCCCTCTCTCCCTCTCTCCCTCTCTCCCTCTCTCCCTCTCTCTCTCTCTCTCTATTGTATGTATATACATACATACATACATATATATGTATTGTTTTTTCCTTTATGTTGGGGTGGGGTGGGGTGCTAGGGTTCGGGTTTGCGGTTTAGGGTTTGGTTTCCCGAAGCGCCCGGCAGTCTCATAGGCCTGGATGCAAAAGGATTTTGTTCGGTGCTTTTGTTCCCGGTGCTCAGGTGCTTCGCCTGACACGGCCTTGCAAATCGGCCGGAAGTTGAAGACGCTCCAAGTGGCGAACTGCTACTTGCTTCTTGAGAGCGCACATGGAAGTTTCGGGTTGAGGGCTTAGGGCTTAGGGTTTAGGGTTCAGGGTTTGGGGTTTAGGGTTCAGGGTTTAGGGATTTGGAGCCTGGAGGCTACTAATTAGCGCTTGGGTTGAGAGTGGGGGTTGAGGCTATTGCTGAGGCAACGGTCCATCAGGTTTGGTTTCTTGGTATGCCTGCTACCCTACATCCAGGCTCCTGCAGGCAAGACACCCGGCAGTGGCTGTCCGGGATGCAGGATTTGGAGTTTGTGTGTTTTCGGGTATTGCTATTGCTACTGTTGCTGTTGCGATTAGTATAGTATTCTTGTTGCTGTGATTGTTTTCTTCTTCGTATTGTTCTCATTATTACTGTTATTGTTGATGGTTCATTTTCTTGCATTGATGTTTTAACGACTATTCTGCTTCTTCGTCTTCTTCTTATTTTTTTCATATTTAGTTCCTTATTTATTTGTTTATATTATGATTATGAATATTATGTATATTTTTATACACCATTATTATTGTTATAAATAATAATTCTGTTATTCTTAGTGTTTTTTATCGTTACTACTATTACTATTATGATTCTTGTCGTTATTGTATCATATTTTTGGGGTGGTGCAGGTTTGAGGCTTTGGGGGAGTTGGAGTTCGAATCACAACCTCTCCCAGAACGTGTCGAATGTTCCATCACTAGCATCCCAGTGATGCAGATGACCGCAAGAGCCCTCTCAATAGCAGAAGCTGGGGACAGGTCTTGCTTCCAGTGAGGAGGACAAGCGCAAGATCTTCAACTACATTGTCTCTTCCCTCGGAAGTCTCGAGAACATGGACAGTCAGATCAGGCAGCGGATGAGCACTATCCTGTCCCAAAATCTCCAGAATCTCGAGAGTGCTACCCTGGCATTGCTTGGCAGAATGTGATGCCTGCATGCACTAGGGGCGATTGTGCAGTCTCTGCACGTTTTAGGTTTTAAGTCGTGTCTTCCAACTTTTCCTTCAACAGACAGAGCGACAGAGCGACGTCGACGCTAAAGGGTTCGTGGGCAGCCGATTCCAATGAGCTACCTGACAGACCACAGCCATGCTTGTCACCCTGTCGACAGTCGCCTGGCTGATCCGTCTGAGCAGATTAAATTCATCCTAGAGGGGATGGGTTCAGGCCGTGTGCACACAAGTTGTACAAGCCACAGCCAAGCCTGACCTCCTGCCTCCGACCTGCATCCGACGCCACCCTCGGATCTGGCATGCGCAGGTTGCGAGAAGCAGGATGCCAGTGCAAACCGCTCGGACTTCGCGCGCGCTGAGCGAAGAGGCTCTGCGGTCTGCGGGTTTGGCGCCCCAGCTCGGAGCACAAGCCGGGAAGTTGGCCTCATCCCTCGCAGCATTTGGCACCCGAGAGCCTGGGAGTGCGCGGGAATGGGCACTAAGATTCCACCGGATTTGATCTTCCTAGGAAGAAGAACTAAGTAGAGCCTTCAAAGGCGCTTCGCGCAGCCCGAACCATGCCAGCTGCGCGCCATGGCGAACTCCTCGTCGTCGCGCTTGCGGCCCTCAGCGGGACCGGTTCTGCCGAGCTGTCCCGGCGGATTCCAGGTTCCCATGTTGGGCACCATTGGGGCACTCTGGGTACAGGGGGTGTTCAACTGGCCCCTCAGGACCCTGAGGCCCTGAGAGTCCAGGGAAGAAACGTGCGCGAGGTAAGAACCAATAGTATTCACATGAATAATATTCGCAGTATTTAGAATATTCATAATACGAGTCATATGAATAATCTTCAAAATGTTGCGAAATTCCGCGGAGGCCTAAGTTCCCGGCGCGCCCCACGCTCCTCCGCGGAGCGGGCGCTTGAGGTCGGCTTCGGGTGGAGTCGCTGGAGTCAGTGGAGTCAGTGGAGTCGGTGGAGTTGGAGTGTTTTTCAACGGCAGACTTGGGGGGTATGGGGGGTGATGGGGTTGGTGCGGCCTTGTTGGTTTTGGTGTCGAATGAAGCTTGAACAAGACCCATGACAACGACGCCTCATGACACGCCTACCCAACTCAAAAGTATTTTAAAACCTGCGGCGAAGCTGCAAAGAAAGCCCTCAGACATCATTTTTATCCCTTTGCCCCGCCAGAGGCGTGTGAGGTTGCCTCAGCTGAGCGCTTGGAGGCTCTTTGTCACGGCTCCCAGCTGTCACCCGGGGCTTGCTTCCAGCTGGAGTGCTTCGGCTTAGCTTAGCTGCCCAGGGATCCCAGGTGTGGAGCCTGGAAGCCAGGTTGCGGGAGTTCTGTCGCCCATGAATGACCCTATATGACTTTGGGGCCTGTTACGGAAGGGTTCGCAAGAAACACAGAGCGGAAGACGTGCTTTCAGACCTTCGAGGGATTGCGCGACGCTGCATCGAATACGGATCGAGCAGGTCATGAGTTTGACTTCAGTTGCGGGCTCTCATTTCTAGTATACGAATATAAGTTTTGTATTACTACTCCATGACATAGTACTATTGCTACTGTCTTCTGCTTCTTCTTATTGTTCTTCTTCTTCTTCTCCTTCTTCTTCTTCTTCTTATCTTGAGGTCAACAGGCCTGCCGCGGAGCTGCCGCTTACATGGTCCGAGTGGACCCACTTCCGAGCCAGCGCAGCTCCGCAGTGATGGCCGCACGCTGAAGGGCGGCGACCTTCTCCTGAGTGGCCAGCTTGTCATCGCTTCACTACGATTGGACCTGCAGTCTTGCGCCCAGACGCCCGTGCATTTTGATGTTGAATGGTATGTCTTTGCACTGCTCATACGTTGGGGTGGTTGCGGGGTTTCCTTGAGAGACCTGGATGCATAAAGGCCCGACTGGCTAGCAATGGGGGCTGTGGGTGGGCGCAAGCCGTGGGCTTTATTGAGGAAGACCAGCCATGGCCTCTTGGAGATGCTAAGGTCCTTGACTCTTGAAGATGCGCACGTCGTGATGGCGCACAATCAGACCACCGGGGACTTGCAGGACGGTGGCGTCTTCAACACCACCGGCAATGTGACTCTTCACAGGTCCAACCTGACCGCCCCTCAGCTAGTTGGCCGGGTGTTGTCTGAAAGCAGATCTTTGAGTCATTGTCAAGTCCTCACGCGTGAGGTGCGGGGTGCTGAAGGCATGCTTGGCGGCGGCTTCGTCGCCCTTTCGGGCGTGACGCTTGGCAGACATACCGTCCCCCAGCTACTGTTACTGGCAGCTGAAGCGGGAAATTAGGGACTGGGGTGGGCTCGGCGTCAATTCCCCATTTGCTTGTTTCAGCATGGGCGTTGGTTTGCAATGGTCTGCGCAGTTCTTTGGGGGCGGTTAGGCTTCTAATCTGAGAAAACAATCAGCAGAGTTCCCATCCGTGATTCCCTCTGAGTCCAGTCCGTCCTCGCGGTTCAGAACCTTTTTCGCCGCCGGAGACGGAACTGGAAAGCAGCCAATAAGTAACAACACACCTTCATCTCGACAACCTCCGCCCTGACCCCAAACTGGCCAATGCCTCCTTCACCTCTACCGAATGCATACCTCTGTATTCACCTCAAGCCTTTCAACTCAACCTTCTGGATTCGCTCTCCCGTGTTTTTCAGGAATCTGCTGCAGTCGAACTTGCAGATCTTGGACAGCCGGGCGAATGTGTCGGGCGGTGGTTTCGCCACCTCAGGAAGCTTGTTGCTCGAGGACTCCAGTCTCACTGTGGCTTGGGCTGCTCTTAGGAACGGGGGAAAGAGGACCCAGGCACTCTATCCAAGTTTCCCTCCCATACCCTAGATCCAACATGGCATGAAGCCCTAAACCCCAAGTTATAAGCCACTTAAACGCCAATTACTTCTTTTAATTTTAAGGGGCTGCGCCCATGGGCGGGCAGCGCAGGCAGAAGCGCGGGGCGAGCAGTTTCTAAGCATTTTGAGGCCCCTAATCTCTAAGCGTTTGAGGCTCCTCAACCCCCTCAAAGTTTCCAAGCATTTTCAGGCCCCTAAACTCCCTTCAAATCTCTAAGCGTTTGAGGCTCCTAGACTCCCTTAAAGTTTCTAAGCACTTCATAAGGCCCCTAAACTCCCTTTTTCCTAGCCCCGGGCTTAGACACGTCGCTTATGCCCGCCCTTTGGGGGGCATCATGCTCCTGATGCCCCCCCGCGGTCCCGCCCCGGGAGCCGCTGATGCTCCTGATGCGCGCCTGGGGGTCCCGGGCTGGACCCGCTGATGCTCATGATGCGCGCCCTCTGGGGGCCTCCGTGGCGACGCAAAAAACCACGAAAAAAAAACCGTTCACCGGCGGCACGCGGGGGTCGGCGGCACTGGCGTCCGGCCTAATTCTGCTTCGCAGAAGGCCAGAGGCCAGCAAGGCTATTCCCGGGACGACCCGGGCTAAAAGGTCCGCATTTGCTCGGTCCTTTGGGGACCTCGCGCTGCCTGATTTAATGGCCAGTGCCGCCGACCCCAAATTTTCCAAGGTGTGGGGGGGGGGGGGGGGGGGGGGGGGGGGGGGGGGGGGGGGGGGGGGGGGGGGGGGGAGGGGCGGAGCAAGCGGAGCGGGCGGTGGGCATGCGCTGGAGCCCTTTAAAGTCAGTTATGTGATCGAGTCTAGAGAGGCAAAGGGCCAGAGGCCCGTAAAACTGTGGGGCCATGAGCCAGTAGGCACAGGGCAGGGGACATTACGGGCATGGACCCATTGGGGACGGTGATGGTGAGGGAAGTGAGGGGGGGGAAGGGCGGAGCCTTGAAAGTCAATCTCCTGGTCGGGTCTGCCACAAGCCCGTAAAACCAGGTGGCCATGAGCCACTGGGCATAGGGCGGGGGGGGGGGGGGGGGGGGGGGGGGGGGGTGGGGGGGGGTGGGGGGCAGGGTGAGGGGATTGGGGGAGTTGGGGGGTGGAAGGCAGTGCTGGAGTGGGCAGAGCGGGCGTGGATTGGCAGAGATCGGTGAGGGGCGGAGTGGGCGGGAGAGGGTCGGCCTGCATGGGGAAGGGGGTGGGGGGGGGGCGTGGGGGTGGGGAGGGCGGAAGGGGAAGGGCAGGGGTTGGGGGGCACAGGGAGCGGAGCGGGCGGGAAGGGCGGAGCAGGCGGAGCGGGCGGAGCGGGCGGAGCGGGCGGACATGCACTGGGAGCCTTTCAAGTCATCTGCTCGGGTCTAGAAGCCTAGAAGCAGAGGGTTAGGGAACCATGGGGCCATGGGGTCAGGAACCACGAGGGGCCAGCAAGCGAAGCGGACAGCTGGGGGCAGGAGTCACGATGGGACCATGTCCATCCAGAGATGGGAGCGGAGCGGGTGGGAAGGGCGGAGCAGGCGGAGCGGGCGGAGCGGGCGGGCATGCACTGGGGCCCTTTAAAGTCATCTGCTTGGGTCTCGAGGCGGGATGGGCCATGAAGAGCGGCGTGGGGCGGGATGGGCGGAGCAGGCGGAGGGGGCGCAAGCGAAGCGGAAAGCTGGCCGTAGGAGTCAGGGACGACCTTGGGTCCTCACAAACGCGGATCATTCAAAGGGGGGCCGTGCATTTGGTGGCAGGATTCTGAAAGGGCTGGGCCATTGATGTGGAGGTTTGACTCGGTTTGACAGGTTTAGGGCCGTGGCCAAAGCAAGAAGCCCAATACGCTTGAAATCGGCAATGTATCTTCATTCCTGTCCCTATATCACTTCAGCCAGAATACAGTAGGGGGTATTGGGCTCCCTGGCAAGAAGAGTAAAATATATATAAAAAGAGTACTTCCAACAACAATCCGAATCACAGTGCCACTACTGTTACTGTTGTTCCTAACTACTACTACTACTACTACTACTACTACTACTACTGCTACTACTACTACTACTACTACTACTACTACTACTACTACTACTACTACTACTACTACTACTACTACTACTACTACTACTACTACTACTACTACTACTACTACTACTACTACTACTACTACTACTACTACTTACTACTACTGACGACGACGACCTACTAGTACTACTACTACTACTACTACTACTACTACTACTACTACTACTACTACTACTACTACTACTACTACTGCTACTGCTACTGCTGCTGCTGCTGCTGCTGCTGCTGCTGCTGCTGCTGCTGCTGCTGCTGCTGCTTCTACTGCTACTGCTGCTTCTACTGCTACTGCTGCTGCTGCTGCTACAACTACTCCTCCTCCTACTACTACTACTACTTCTACTACTGCTGCTGCTGCTACTACTACTACTACGACGACGACGACGACTACTACGACTACTACGACTTCTACGACTGCTACTCCGACTACTACGACTACTACGACGACGACGAAGAATAACAATAATAGCAATAAAAATAACAATAAGAATAGTAATCAGAATAATCAATATACTAATTACGAAGAATAATAATAAGAAGAATTATCAGAAGTATATCAATAAAGAACAAAATGCTGCTGCTACAACGACTACGACTAATCAGAATAAGAATAGAATATTAACAATAAGAGTGTTTTTTAGCTGCTACTAAAGTCCAATAATAGGTCCCCGATTGTGAAGTGCGCTGCTAAGGTCCGAGGTGCGTGGGCAGGAAAGACGGGTGGCGGCTTTATGGCCTATGGTGACGTGACGCCTGTCGTGGGTTTAGGGTTGATAGATAGGGTTGGGGTTTCGGGTTTAGGGTTTAGGGTTTCGGGTTTAGGGTTTAGGGTTTATTGAAATCATTCAGGGTTCAGGGAAAGTTTCGGTTTTTAACCTTTTGAATAATTTCAAGTTACAGGGGGCTTGAGGCTTTAGAGTTTAGGGTTTAGGATTTAGGGTTTAGGGTTCAGCGTTGAGCGTTTATGAGGTTTTAGGGTTTGGGGTTTAAGGCCTAGGCAGGCGGGGTGTGCGAACCGCACTGCAGGGCACACACACACACACGTCGAAAACGGGGCGCCCACACTTCTACCAGCCACTGTTCCAACGGCTGTTCCACCCTTGAGGCAACCTCCAATCCCAAGCGACCGTCCAGCCACCAGTTAGTTCTTGATACAACGATGCCTGGGCGCCGGGAAGCGCTGTAAAGTTGGAACGCTTCAAGCAAGTCGGCCACTGAGCTCTCCCTAAATCTTCAAGAAACAAGCTCTAAACACAGACTCCCCCAAAATTAACTCTTTTGCCTAGTGGCGAAGCAACTGATCTGTCTTAGTTGCTTTGTGAGGCGAACACTCGATTTAGGGAGAAAATCCTTTGGGATTTAGGGTTTAGGGGGCTTAGACGTTTAGCCCGGCCGATCAAAACGGCCCTCCACATCCTGAAAAAAGCTCTTTGAGACGGCCTTGGATCTCGCGCCCACGTACTGATCACGTCGCATCACAACACATGGGTGCGAAGTCAGGGAAGCGGTGAGGCAGCACAGTCAAAGCAGGAAGGTGCGCCTCCAAGCCCCCAAACCCCCAAACCAAACTCCAAAGCCCTACCCCCTGGCCCCCTGCCCCCCTCACCCCCCCCCCGCCGTCCAAAACCACTGAGCCCCAAAGCTTCATCCGAGGAAACTGCTGCGCTCCACGGTGCAGATTCTGGAGAGCCGGGCTCGAGTCGGTGGCGGCTTCGCTGCCTCGCAAGTGGTCCTTGAGGAGTCCAACCTCACTGCCCCTCGGATTTCTCAGGTTTTTGTTGGGACTTAGGGCTTTTCTAAGGGTTTGAGAATCAGGCATTCGGGTTTAGAGTTTAAAGGTTTGGGATGTAGCCGTGAATTGGAAGGCTATATTCTGGGGCTAGAGATAGGAAAGCTAATTCTATCCGCAGAGCCGCCGATGCTCGGCAGAAGCCGGATGACTCCTTGGACCACTGATCCAAGGAGGTGACTCCCGAAACTAAAGACCCCGCAGTCCTGTGGCTAGACGGGTGGCAAAAAACCCTAAACCCTACATCAGGCATCGGACACAGTTTTCCCTCAGGTCTTTCCTTCATGAACCAACTTTTGGACCATTCCCGCGTACTCAGTACAACAGACGGCCCGTTCTGTCCCTGAACCCTATTGAAAGCGCATCGCAACAAGTATGATGCTACTGATGCTGAAGCTTTGTGGCGTACCCATCACAACGATCGAGCTGACTTGCACGCTAAAGCTGTCTTTCTGCATCTTCCCGAAGTGATCTCTTGTGCTCATAGCCTCATGCTGACCCACATCAAGCTGCAAACCCAACGAAAGCTGAGTGCCGCCCTGTATTTACGTTCCGTCTTTGATCAGTTTCCTTAGATCTCCAATTGTCTGCAAGTGCAAGATGGTGGTTTCACGCTACCACCAAGCCGGACTCCACCACAATCAATCGGTGGCCTAAACCTAAACCCTGTAAACCCTGTAAGCCCTGAACCTGAGGGCCCACTGGAATGCTTGGAAAGCCGAACCGCCACCCAAATCCCATGTAAACGGTATACCTTATGTGGTTCCGGGTTTAAGTCGTAGTTACCCAAAGTTATCACAAATCGGAAGCTTCAGCCAAAAACATAGTCTTGCATGGCGAAAGCAAAGTACTTGGAGAATCATGGTGCTTAGCAACCGATCATAACTGTACTTAGAATTGTACTTATAACCATATTAGGGCACTAGTTATCATGTTTTAATAAGTACCATGAACCTCCAAGTATGCCCGTTGACAAAGCGAGGTCCATGGAACGAGGGGCCTGAGAGGTGGCGGGTTTGTTGCAGTCTCGGACGTGACGCTGGGCAGACATCATGGGGCATAACTCTCCCTCGAACTTCTTCTTCTTCGGTTTCAAAAAGCCTTAAAAGCCTTGTGCCGAGATTTAGAACTCCTCATGGGCCCGCCTCTCCCCCATGACAATGAGGAAGCTGCTGCGATCGAGCTTGCAGATTCTGGACACCGTGGCAGAGCAACTCAACGGTGGCTTCCTCACCAAGGGAAGCTTGTTGCTTGAGGAATCGAACTTGACGGCCCCTCGCTTGGGACTTTGAGCTCCGGGAGGGTGTGGGGTAGCCATGGCGGGGGTCGCTGATTCTTAGACCCGAGGCCCTAAACCCGAAACCCTGAACCCTTGTGGGGAGCTGAAGTGTATTCGGGGTTGTGCTGTGGCATCTCTCAGACCCTCCCGATAGGCTCTGCTCGCTTCTGTACCATGGTGGCTTTCCCTGTGCTTTATGTAAGGCATGGTGCTAGGGTCATGCAGTCATGGAGTCACACAGCTGTAGCTCATGGAGTCTTTCGACACAGCGGCTACTCCACAGCCGAATAAAGGGTCTTAATAAATAGAAGAGGGTTTGGAGAGATTTTATAGTAAGGGATACCATTGCTAGTTGTTCCGGCCCCTGTATTTGTGGTGCGGACTGCTGTTTATGGCGGCAAGGCCCAACGCACGCGGGCTGTAAAGGTTGGTGCCTTCGAGGCCGATGGCGACGTGACACCCGGCGTGCAACAACTTCCGCTGGATAATTGGGGTTTTGAGTTTAGAGTTCTAGGGTTTACCGGGATGTTGGTTTATAGTAATTTTATAGTGGAGCTCGGCCTCAACTAAGAAGGTTCTTGTATTGTGCCGGATGGGAAGTAGGAAGCGCCAACGGACAACCAGCAGGGATTGCAAGAAAGCCAGCCTACGTGGTGTCGATGGCATGTTCTAAGGAAAGTGACGAGATCGAACCTGAACATTCGGGACAGCACCGCCGTGCAAGAAACTGGGCTTTTGTGAAGGAACATGAACTCAGTTACAGTAATCTGGGTTCATTAGGGCATAATATTAGGGCTTCCTTACTATCGTAGTTGTAGCTTAAGTGCTGAAGTTTCTCAGCAAGAACCCAGGGAGTTGGTGGCTTCTTCGCTGCTGGAGCGCTCCTCGTGGCTGCCCAGCTCAGTTTTTGCGATTTGGGCGTCCAAGTCGATTCGCATGACCCAATATACCCATCTCCTCCCCCCAAAGTGTTTGTGACTCCCCTCTCTCCCGCCCTCCCCCCCCCCCCCCCCCAAAAAAAAAACAACAAAAAAACAACAAAAGAGCTGAGCACCCTGGATCTCGGCCTCTTGGGTGTGTCGGGTGCGATCCTCTAAGGACACTTCCGCGGTCAGTCTCTCCGAGGTGGAAGCCTTTTTCTGCGGCGGCTTCACCGCCACGCGCATCGAGGTGAGGAGCTCGAGGATCGACATCCGGCACGCGCGGGCGCACCAAGCCTTCGGAGCTCTTCTTTCTCAGGGCGCGATTGATGCCAGGCTGTTGGGATACGTTTTTTCCCTTGCTTTGCGTACTGAGAGTGGTATCTCGGAATACGTGTGAAGAGGGTACAGAATGGTACAGAATCTACCGAGGATGTCACCGACGGATCCGTGCTGCGGATCGCTGACAGTTCCGCGACCCTCCAGGCCGGGGGATTCTTTGCGAAGGGCGCCGTTCGCGTGGTGAACCAGTCGCAGATCCGCATCGAAGATGCCTCGTCCTTGAACATTGCCGGCTTCTTCACGCAGAGTGATGTGATCCTTGCCCAAAACTCCTCACTAGCCATCTCGAACCTGGACTCTGAGGAGTTCGGGGGCTTCCGAGCCGAGAGCTTGCAGGTGCTCAGCGGCTCTGGTGTTCCCTGGCGGGAAGAAAGGGGGGGCCCTCAAAGGGCTTCTAGGTTTGGATGTGTTTTTTTTTTGTTTTTTCTCTCTCTCTCTCTCTCTTCTCTCTCTCTCTCTTTTTTTTTTTTTCGCTCTCTCTCTCTCTCTCTCCTTCAGAACATCTATCTTTTGTAAGCCCAAAAATTGGAGCACTTGTAGGGGCCCTGCAAAGAAGTAGGGTCTGGAATGATAACGCCGATGGCTTCATAAGAGGCTTTCGTGCTGGAAAGCATCTCCTCACAACCAACTTTTTGCAGTTCACTTCGTTCCACCAGGTCAGCATCGAGAACGCAACCACCCGGAAGAATCCGGGAGGCTTCGTGGTGTCCGAGCTCCTGGTGTCGGAGAGCTCCCTTGACCTTCGCAACGCCACGGCGGTCGAAGGGAACGGGGGCGGCTTTTGGGCGAAGGGGGCTGAGGTGCGCAGCTCCACCGTCCGCATCTCGGGCGCGCATGCAGAGAACGGCGGAGGCTTCTTCTGCGAGGAGAACTTGAGGGTGCTCGATGGCTCCATCATAGAAGTCACCAGCACTTCGGCCTCGAGCCAAGGGGGCGGGCTTCTGGCCGCAGGAAGCGTGGTCGTCAACGCATCTCGCCTGAGAGTGGCACACTCTCGTGCAGGTGGTGTCGGAGGGGGCTTTTTTGTGATGGGCGGTCTGGTTCTTGCGAGGAAGGCGGAGGTTCTGCTAGAGGAGGTGACCAGCTCTGGAGACGCCGGCGGCTTTGCGTCGTCGAGCGTGGACGTGTCTGGGCAATCCCTCCTCAGCATCTCTGGTGCTTCCGCCTCGCAGGGGGGTGGATTCTGGAGTCGGGGGATGCTTCAGGTCACCGAGTCGCTGGTCCGCATCCGCCGCGCCACGGCTTCGAAGCACGGCGGCGGTCTCTACTCATGGCAAAGCGTCCTCCTTCGCAAGGGATCTGTTCTGGACATCTCCGATTGTAAGGCGGGGGGCTCAGGTGGTGGGTTCAGGAGCGAAGGCAGCCTACAAGTGACGGGAGGTTCTTCGGTGCAGGTAACAGAGACTACCTCGGGCATGCACGGCGGTGGATTTATTGTGCAGTCAGAGGTCGAGATCTGCAACTCCACTCTCCATCTTTCCCAAACTTCAGCTGATATGGATGGTGGGGGCTGCAACGCGCAAAAAAGCTTGACCGTGAGAAATTCCACGCTGAACATAAGCTATGCTAAAGCTGGAAGTCACGGAGGAGGGTGTAGTGTCCTGGGTGACATTCTGCTGTCCGCCTCCATGGTGACAACTGCACACACGGCCTCGGTTGGTGATGGGGGAGGACTTGTCCAAGGGGCACTGCGTACAACAGATGGCACTGTCCTCAAGATACAGAACGCAACAGCTGGGAGGAAGGGAGGAGCCTTGAATGTCCACGGCGTCTTGGAATTCGGCATGTCCGAGGCCACGCTGGAGGCCACCGCTGGAATAGACGGTGGCGCTGTCTGGGCTGGCAGCTTGGAAGTGTGGGAGTCGAACCTGACGGTTGCTGGGAGCACCGTGGGCGATGGCGGGGGCTTCCACGCGGGCAACGTGTCGCTCCGGCATGCGCAGGTGAACGTGCAAGGGAGGGCCGGTGGCCGTGGCGGCGGCTTCTTGTCCAGAGGCCTGGTGATCCGGGAGTCCGAGTTGACGGTGGCCGGTGAAGCCGGAGAGGGCGGGGGCTTCGTGTCCGAGGCCACAGAGCTGCTGGCATCCAGGGTGCTGGTGGAGGGCACTGCCCGGCGCGGGGGCGGCTTCCGCTGCGGGTTGTTGATGCTGCAGGCGACGGTGCTGGAGGTGCAGCGCGCCGCGGCGCGCAGTGGGAGTGCCGGGTATGCGGGCGCGGTGCGGGCGGAGAACTCCCGCCTGCGGCTGCAGGGACTGCAGGGCCTGGAGGGTCTGGAGGGCCTGCAGGGCGGCAGCGCCCTCGCGGCCGACTGCTTCGAGCTCACCCACTCCACGCTGCTTTGCGAGGCCGCCACAAAAACGGGCTTGTTCCTGCAGAACTCGAAGTGCTCCAGCGCCTGCGGCCAGACCTTCAGCATCGATGCCGAGTCCGGCATCACCGGCAGCGGCGTGGTGTCGGCCCTGCTCTCCATCGACACGTGCGAGAACGAGTCCGTCCAGCTCGCCGGCATCGACTTTCGCACCCAGCACGCAGCAGTGGCCGAGGTCCCATCCTCTGAGGTTTTCCTGGAGAACGTGACGGTGGAGTACACTCGGCCCATCCAAGACTCTGCGGTGATCCTTGCCGCCCCGAGCTTTCATGCCGAGTCCGTGGCCGTGGTGTGCCCGGGATGCTCCCGGGGCGTGACCTTCAGCGCCGACCAGGATGGCCTCCACGCCGTGAGCCGCGGGCCCCTGAGCTGTGCGCCTCAGGCCACCCTGGCGTCTGGGTCCACGGCGCGCTGTGGCTGTGAAGACCACCAGGTGCCCGACGAACGCTTTGGGGAGGTCGTGGGCTTGGAGCAGACGTTGAGCTACTGCACCTTCTGCCCACGCCAGTCCGAGTATGAGGGCGGTGGCTGCCGCAAGTGCCCCGTGTACAAGGCGCGACGTCTCATGATGTGTCATGTCATGTTCTGCAGGGCCATTGATTTGCACAGTAATGCGCTGTCACGTGAGTGCGGCCAGCCAACCGTTGTGGCCAGGCCTGGTCGGAGGGCGCGCTGGATCGCTGCGGGTTTTGGCCCAAGGCGGCCGAGGTGCGCGCGCCGCTGCTGGTGGCGGCCACGCTCTTCGTGCTCTTGGCCTTCGGGGTCTTCGAGGTCTTCTGGACGCCCCTTTGGGTGGTGGACGCCGTGACCTCGAAGGGGAAGCTGGTCCTCACAGTGCAGGGCCCCATCGTCCATCTGCCCGAGTTTTTGGCGAGGCAGGTGCACCGGAGCTTGTCCTACACCGTCGAGGACACGGAGCTCTTCTGGCTGGATGCCGGCAAGCCCGTGGGGAAGAAGCTGAATCCCGTCAAGCTTTGCGGAGTCGGCCGGAACCTGCAGCTGGAGCCCGAGCCACCCTTTGACTGCGCCACCAGCAGGGGCACGCTCACAGCCACGCGCTACTGGCGCCCGCTCTTCTGCTTCTGGCTAGTGCTCTTCGTCGTGATCCTGCTGCCAACAGTCGTTGCCGTGGCCATCATGTCAAGAAACGGAGTTCGGCACGTGCTCCTGACGGCCTTCTATGCCGTGCTGCCCTTGAGCCTGGGCGCTGTGGCGCTTCACGGCCCCGTGGCCTGGATGCTTGGGAAGCACTACGCCAAGACCCCCCTGCAGGCAGCCTGTCAGGAGTACCTCCCGAAAGTGGTCCACGTGCCCAACCCAGGCCTGCGGAGCGACGGAATATAGGGTCGTTTGCGGGGGTTCCGGTTGCATGAGGCTGGCAGCTTCTTCTGCAGCAGGGTTGCAATGTGTTAATGCGTGTTAGAATATGTGAATGTTAAAGTCATGCAATAGTCATTGCTCCTCCGGCCCAGCTTGGTCGTGGCATGCGGACTGCACGCTCAGAGAGCCCCCAGACCCGTTCCTTCGGATTCCCCGGTCGTAGAGGCCCGGATGCCGGCCACCCGAAGAACCAGGGCCTCTTGGCAAACACGCTCGCGGAGCTCTGGGAGCACTTCCAGCGTATCATTTTGGAGCGAAACATGCATTTTGTGGTCGCGAACATCGTCCGACCGCTGACAATCAGGAAGCAAGTGTCCTTTGTGAACCTCTGGGGGGGCAGGCCGGTTGACTACTTCGTTAGCCACAGCTGGGGCACCAGCTTCCAGCACTTTGTAAAGTGCATCCGTCGCCATGCCGACTTCGTCGGCGCACCCAATGACGCCTACTGGATCTGCTCCTTTGCCAACAACCAGTGGGACATCGCGTCGGAGTTGGGCACCAGCGTCATGGACAGCGCCTTCGCCCGCGTCCTCCAGGCAGACGTCAAGGGGGTCGTCATGGTGCTGGACCACGAGGTCCAGCCCCTCACTCGTACCTTTGCTGCAGAAGTCTGAAAAATCCAGTGCGCAGACAGGAGTGACAGTGGCAGGCTAGGACTATCTACGATTCGAAAGAGCTGTCAGGCGTGTGGTGTCTTTTCGAGTTCTTGCTCTCCACCTCTCTTCACTTGGACTTGGTCTTCGCCACCGACTTGGGCATTTTGGGGGATGATCAGTGCGACTCCGTTGGCATTGCCTTGGAGATTGGAAAGAAGATCGAGCCCCTTAGCGTTGAGCGGTGTCATGCCTCTAGTGACGAGGACAAGCAGAAGATCTTCACCTACATCAGATCTCAGCTCGGTAGCCTCGAGCGCATGGATGAGAGCATCAAAGCCATGATCAAGGAGACTTGGGCCCAATATGGTACCCCTTTTTTGCCGCTTTGCCCCCCTTTTTGAGTTTGGCTTCGTAGACATGAGAACAGGGTACCCTGTAAAAAAAACAATGTGCAGTAGTACGTTTACTGGGCGGCAACAAGGAGATGTTGAGGCGAAACCTGCAACATGCGAGCACGGCCACCGCCAACCTTCGCCAGGAGCTGGGATACAAGTGAGCCCTGAGCTCCTGCGCAGCCGTGTGGCTTTCCGACTTGGGGGTTTCCGAGAATAGGGGGTGCCCTTTTTGGGGGTCCCTCTTGAGGGGATTCTCTTCTGTTTGGGGTAGAAGAGGGGGTACCCCTATTTTGGGAAATGCCCACTTCGCCTCAGAGAATACCAGTTTTGTTCCGTTTTCCTACCGCCCTCGCAGGGCTGCAGCTTTTAATTCTGTTTTAAGCTTGCCTCCTTCTTCCGGAGGGGCGCTCCTGGCCTCCCTCTCACGCAGCCCGCCACAAGCTGCTGGCTCGCAGACCGCCATAAGCGCTGGCATAGCAAGATTATGCAAGATTGCCACCAAGAGCATCGAAATGTCCCATGTGTGGCTACAAAACAGGTTTAGATATCATCTAGTGATTGCAACGCAAGAATGCGGAGTTACGCTCATGTCCACGCCAAGCGACAGTAGAGGGCTGGAGGGCTTGCAGATGCAACGGTTGCTCCGCTTCAGGTTTCTTATGTTTTCCGACACTTAACCACTGAAAGAACTGAGAGGGATCTCGAGTTGTCGATTCGCAGCATTTTTGCGGCTTCAGGAGAGACCACGACATGGACAATAATCTGAGAAGTGACGTGAAACAGGACATCAGAGAACCCACGTTTGGAGACCCGAGAAAGTTCGAATGACCCTGCGGATGTCCCTTTGACGAGCCAGAGCAATATGCGGCCGCAGTCTGTCCCCGTGCCGAATAACAAGAAGGCTGGCCAGGCGGATTGGGGTTTGGCTCGTCGAAGTTTTTTTTTGGGGGGTACCGGGAAGATACACCTGGACGCCATTTTCACATTATTTTCACCATGGCACTAGCACACGCTTGACGTCACAAGGGCCAGGGCTGTTGTGCATGCAAGTGTTCATCTAGCAGAGGCAGGCGCGCGTTTTGACATTCCAGTTGCTAGAATTGATTATAATGGTGTGGGGGGCAGGCGGACACGTTCTACGCCCGTGCAACCGTAATCTCATAAACAACCTCGGGCAGCTGGACCTTTGCATGCCGCAAAATTGAGGCGCAGCGCAACCGGCCCCACTCCGTAGCAGGCGGCCGCGGACGGAAGCATCGGCACCAAGCAGGATGGAACCCGAAGAACTTCCGAACCTTGCAACCCTGAACCCGAAACCCTTATCATCCCTGATTCGCTGCATAGAAGTGCTTCTGTGTTCAAAGCCAATTTCAAGTGTCGCAAACTTCCACAACAGAATTCCAAGAAAGACTGCCATCTCCCGGTTTTGTTTGGACGTAGGGCGAGACCTTGTTGGATTCGGTTGTTGTTGCATTGGACGGCGTGCGCAAAACCTGTGGTGTGCGGATGTCGGGCAGATCTTCCAGACCTGTTGAACCTTCTTGACACATTCCGTTTGGGATGTCCCCCCTTATACTAATAGGGGGTACCACAATCCCTATTTAAGGACTCTTAGTATAAGTGGGAACGTCCCAACATTCCGCAGTACAGCCGGAGCCGCCTGTGGATGACTTCGACGCTGAGAAGATCCTGTTCGGGGATCCCTTGGGGCGGTTCCGCGCCGCCAAACGCAACCTCGCTGCAACAACCATTGGTTTAGGGTTTGGGGTTTAGGGTTTAGGGCCAGTTTAGGGTTTAGGGTTTAAGGTTTAGGGTTTAGGGTTTAGGGAACCATTGAATTGTCTCGGGATTTCTCTGCGAGTTGATCTGAAGTGGGCTGCATCGTTCTCGTTGTGGCACGGGGAGACGGTCAACGAATCTCTTGGAGCTTTCCAGGCATTTCGGGTGGCTATGCCTAGGGTCCGCAAGAACCGGAAGAAATCTCAACACCAGCAGCCTTGCGAGGGTTCAGCCTTGGAAGGTGAAATCAAGCACATGGAGGAGCGCCTGGCAGCCACGCAAGTGTCCTTTCAAAAGCCACCCTTGGCGGCCTACATGGCCAAGAAGTGTCTTGACGTTGGAGATGTTTGTGGTTTCCAGACCCCAACCTTCGGGGTTCCAAATCTGGTGTTTGTGAGGCTTTGACGACCTTCGGCTTCGGGTTTGGGCTCTGGCGGATATCCAGCTACAACTGCGCCCGGGCAAGTGTGCGGCAACGGATGCAGCGCTAAGGAACGACCCGGACCGGAAGAAGTCCTTGCGTCTCGGATGTGTATTCTCGCAGGGGGGGATGTCCGAAAAAGCTTGGGGGCTTTGTGTGTTTTGAAATGCGCGCAGCGCGATGGCGGGAGTGTCTCGGATGAGGGTCTTCCTCACGTCGCCTTTTTAGTGGCACAGGATAGCCTCCGAGGGTTGTTGGAGTGTGAATCGACATGTCCGACAGGTATGAGAAGTACAAGGAAGTCAAGGATGCCAACGACGTTACGGCGCAGGCTCTGGTGCCGTGGAAGAGGGGGGGTTCGAAACACACAAATCTTTGCTTAGATCTGGGCTGTCTCGTGCATCATGACAGCCGGAGCCAGAGAACCAGTGGGGTGAGGTAGTTTGCGCGAGCTAAACACCCCAAAAACCCTAAACCCAAACCCTAAACCCTACCCCCTAACCTCTAAACCCCTAAGAGCTAGACCAGTGCCCTCCCCCAGGCCATGCGGGCAGACCGGCTCGAGCGATGGTTCCAGGACTCGGCCGTCGTTGCCATGACGGCGCCTTGGGTGACGGTGTTTTTTGTAATCTCGGGGACGTGGTTGGGTTTAGGGTTCAGGGTTTAGGGTTTAGGGTTTAGGGTTTCGGGTTTTAGGGTTTAGGGTTTAGAGATGTTGGCATCTTGTGGCCAGTATCCCTGACTTCGGGGACCCTCAGTCCCAAAGCTCGCCGGGGCGAAGGTGCGGGGCGTCCTCCGCATCAACGACGACGACACCATCTCCAGGGTGGGGGGGGCTTTTGTGAGAGTTTAGGGTTTAGGGTTTAGGGTTTGGGGTTTAGGGTTTAGGGTTTAGGGGGGCCGTTCGCTGTTCGGGCTTCAGATGGTCTCCAGGTGCGAGCCTGGAGAATCGGGCCTCTCCAGGCGGCAGAAACATGCAGAAACCACCTGAGCCCAAGATGCCCATATAACAGCCTTGCTCTCCAAAAATCCCCTCCAACAATTCGGTTCCTAAGTGACTTGACTTGACATCGCGATCTTCGAAAACTCCCCCAGGTCCCAAACTCATCAAACTCCCAGAGAGATGGAGACTAGACAACAACCGGTTCGCCCAAAGACCCTGCGCTGCCAGTCCCGGCCCAACGAAGTGCGGAGGGCCTCGGCACTGGCCGACGCCGTCTTCATGCCGCGGGCTGAGATCGGGCCCTTGGAGTTTTGGGGGCCGCCCTGAAAAGAGCGCGGCATGTGGTGATGTTGGGAGCTTCTGAGTAAAGCCCCCCTAGGAAAAAAACACCCAAAAAAAAGGAAGCGACTGAATGAAGAGCCTTGCGCTCCGAAGCCCAAGGATGGACAATGCCGATGCTCTCCTGGAGCCACTGGACGCTGGGCAGATCTGAGCCGGGGGAGTGGGCTTCTGGATTTCCACTCTGGGTTCTTTCCTTTCGTTCTTGTTCTAAATGTCACTCTCTATCTATCTCTCTCTGACTATCTCTCTCGTTTTCTTGTTTTGGTGGAGGATGGTGAGGTCCACCGTGTATCCGGGGCGAGCGCGATGCGGCAACGATACTGATGAGTAATTCGGGTTTGAGCCCTTGTGTGTTTGCACTGGAGTGCGGAATGCCTTGGTGTGATAATGCTCGTCGTACGTACCGAATCCGTATGCGATGTGGGCCGAAGACGACCGAAGCTTCTCGGATTCCGAGTCTTTCCTTACCCTCCCCCCTCCCCCACGACAACAAGAAAGACAGGGTGCCGCGATGATAAGACCATGGCAACGTATTGATTCTCTGAAAAAAAGGAATGTATTTGCAACCAAACTGCAGCTCAGCAAGCAAAAAAGGAAGCCTGCAGACAGATTTTTGGAACACCCCGGAAGATGTTCTTTAAATCTGGTGGTATTTCCCCGTACGAAAATTTACGAAAACCCCCGTAATGGAAAGTAGTCTTGCAGCCGGATTTTCGACTCATTAAACGCGAAGGTATTAATTAAGCAGATGCTCGGGTTTGGTAGGCTGGTGCAGCTGGGCGTCGCTGTCAGTGGCAGTGCACTACAAGTGGACAACAAAAATTGGAACTGGAGCAGTTGTCGGTCTTTTTCGCACTCCACGGTCAGCGTAAGCCCTAAACCCACTCCCTGCCAACGCTCGCCTAGCTGGAGGCCGGCAGAAATTTCACTAAGTCACGGTCAGATGTCGTGCTGCGTTCAGCTTTCAAGAATTCCTTTGCCTGCGCAACGAGGACAAGCTGAATTTTGCAGGCCTGGCGAGGGGCTGCGGGGTGCTCTTTGTTAGCCAGCTCCAGCACTGTTCCGAAAGGTAGGGAGGTTCTCTGAACAATGCTGCTACAGATCTTAGGCCCACATTGTGTCTTGACTATGATTTTAATTTTGTTTCGAGCATGAGAATATCATTGTCTTGTATGTAGTAAGAGGTGTCATGTTCTGGGCTTGAGGTTTGCCCTACTGTGCAAAAAAGTTGTGGTGGGCCATATGGACCCTCTTTCTGTGGATATCCATCGTAAGGCTCCATATCAGAATAGGAGCCTTCCAAAACACAACGTCGTAATTTAGCCAGACACCAGACAGTCAGGGACAAGCCCGACACCCGAAACCCTAAATCCTAAACCCTTGCGACACGGGTGGGAAAAAAACCCTAAACCCAAGAACGGGTCCTCAAGCAGTAGACTTGTATAGTAGAGGATTCTCATTCTGAAGGTGTCTTCCTTGGGTCACTGGGCCCCTAAACCCTAAACCCTAAACCCTAAGCCCTAAGCCCTAAGCCCTGAGCCCTAAACCCTAAACCCTAAACCCTAAACCCAAAACCCAAAACCCAAAACCCTAAACCCTGAACCCTAAACCCTAAACCCTAAACCCTAAACCCTAAACCCTAAACCCTAAACCCTAAACCCTAAACCCTAAACCCTAAACCCTAAACCCTAAACTGAGTGAGCGCGGGGCCGTCGAGCAGGGCGAACGCACCGAAGCCGGCAGGCGAGGCAGCTCCGGAGCCAGAAGCCCTCCGGCGGGCGACAGAGCTCCAGTCCCGCAGGCAGCCGCGGGCTGCGCGGTGGACCCGGCAGGTCGCTGGCGAGAAACCCGTCAGGTCGCCCTAGAATAAGATACCCCAAAACCTTCGGGTAAAACATGGCAACCGCCAAGGCCCTGGCCCTGGCCCTGGCCCAGGGCCCTGGCCCTGGCCCTGGCCCTGGCCCTGGCCCTCGCCCTCGCCCTCGCCCTCGCCCTGGCCCTGCCTGGCCCTGGCCCTGGTCCTGGCCTGTGGCCGCCTGGCCCTGGCTGGTGTGGGAGGATGTGTGCTTACCAGAAGCTTTTAAAAGCAAGCCTGAGGTCTTTTGCAAGGGATCCAGATCCCCAACCAGGACGCAGCATCCAAGGGCGAAGGCGGCAACCAGCCCCAAGCCCAAACCTGCGGGTTTTTGCACGTTTAGACAGAATTGCTGGGAGGCTGTGAGCAGGCCTTGGCCTGAGGCCCCTGGCCCTTTCAAGCAAGGGATCCAGATCCCCAACCAGCACGCAGCATCACCAAGGGCGGAGGCGGCAGCCAGCCCCGAGCCCAAACCTTTGCTTTTTTGGCACTTAAAAAGACTCACAAGGCCACCACGACTCCAACAAGGTCCAGCTGCAGCATCAGCGAAAGCGAAGGCAGCAGCAACCGCCCATCCCACCCCTTTGACTTCAGGCGCGAAGGCGGCAGTCCCAGAAGCCCTCGAATGATGCAAACCTCTGATTTCACGCCCTTCCAGCTTCAGGGTAGTTGATCTGCATCGATGCCGAGCTTCTAAACCCAACCAATAGACAAGAGAAAAATATCAAAAGCACGATCAGAGTTCAAAAGAACCTTAAACCCGTAGAGGTTAAGGCGAGGGTGGAGCGCCAGCGGGGGTGGGCTTATGCAACGGGGCGCGCGCCTGGGTGCTTTCAGCACCAGCGCGCCCACTCATTGAGACACCCTAAACCCTAAACCCTAAACCCTAAACCCTAAACCCTAAACCCTAAACCCTAAACCCTAAACCCTAAACCCTAAACCCTAAACCCTAAACCCTAAACCCTAAACCCTAAACCCTAAACCCTAAACCCTAAACCCTAAACCCTAAACCCTAAACCCTAAACCCTAAACCCTAAACCCTAAACCCTAAACCCTAAACCCTAAACCCTAAACCCTAAACCCGAAACTGCCGAGAGCGCCGCTGTCCATATGCATGGGCGCTCGAGGCTTCGACCGAGGTTTTTGACCGAGCGTCTCCACAGAACGGTGAGGGAGGGTAAAGCCTCCCGGTAGACGAGACGGCAGTGACTGGCTACGCCTCAGACCTAGGGCGTCAGCCCTAATATAATAAGGACCCCAAACCTACGACCATTGATGTCTTTTAGTGTTTTTTACGGGGGTCAGGGGGGTACCCCCCGGGTGGGACCCCCCTGGTGGGACCCCAGGGGACCCGCCTGGGACCCCCCTGGGACCCCCCTGGACCTCCTGACCTCCCTAGAACCCCCCTGAAAACCCGCCTACACCTACGCCCGGAACGGACGGGCCTTTCTGGGACCCCCTCCCGGGACCCCCTTGGGACCCCCCTGAGACGCCCTGACACCCCCTCCCAAGGGTTCCCGGACCTCCTGAAACCCCGCTCGGTTTTGGTCAAAAATCCAGAAAACGAGAGACCACCCAGAGCCGTCGATTTCAGTACTAAAAAATCGCATTTTTAACTGGGATCCGGGCCGATCCTGGGGTCCCCCTCATTTGGGGTGTTTTTGGAGGCAAACTTTCCCTTTCAAGGGGGGGTCGGAGTTTGAGGCTAGGGGGGGTCTCAGAAGACTATTTTGCCTTTAAAATTGAAAAACACAACCCCCCCTTGACCAAAACTAGGCTGTGAAAAGGTGCGGGGGCGGCCCTCCATCAGAATTGAGGGTTACAAACTCTGAAATATCCTGAAAAACATTGAAAAACCTTAAAAAACACTGAAAAATTCTGAAAAACCTTGAAGAACCTTGAAAAACTTGAAATCCCGAAGCCGGTGAAGGCTCGGTTTTGGTCAAAAATCCAGAAAACGAGAGACCACCCAGAGCCGTCGATTTCAGTACTAAAAAATCGCATTTTTAACTGGGGCCCGGGCCGATCCTGGGGTCCCCCTCATTTGGGGTGTTTTTGGAGGCAAACTTTCCCTCTCAAGGGGGGGCCGGAGGGCGCAGTTTTGGATTTATGAGCCCACCCGCCAGGCTAGGGTTCCGGCCTCCCAGAGGGGCCTCCTGGGGCCTGAGCTGACAGGGTCTCATTTGCCCAGACGCGTAAGAAAATGTGGGTTTGTTAGTATTGCAAATCGACGGTTTTCCATTTAAAAAAGCAGGGCCGGCCGAGGCCCTGCTACCCCCGACCGTTTTTGCTGCCCTTTCAAGCCCGAAAATGTGGGTTCTTGGTATTGCAATTGATGGTTTTGGGCACCTTCCATTTTACTCCGTGAAAGCTCCAAGAAGCCTACGAGTCACTGACAGGCTCCATGAAGCTCGGGAGACCCCGCCCTGCTCTTTCTCTGTCAAAAGCAAGAAAGCCCCCCTTGAGGGGGGTTTGGGGGGTGAACCCTAAACCCTAAATGAGAATAGTTTGGGTGGTTGGGGTGGGACTACATGCTAACGCAAGCGAGCGGCCCGGGTGCTTTAAGCACCAGCGAGCTTCCCTTCTATACCCTAAACCCTAAACCCTAAACCCTAAACCCTAAACCCTAAACCCTAAACCCTAAACCCTAAACCCTAAACCCTAAACCCTAAACCCTAAACCCTAAACCCTAAACCCCCTCAACCCTACTAAACCCTAAACCCTAAACCGTAAACCCTAAACCCTAAACCCTAACCCTAAACCCTAAAACCCCAAAACCCTAAACCCTAAACCCTAAACCCTAAACCCTAAACCCTAAACCCTAAACCCTAAACCCTAAACCCTAAACCCTAAACCCTACACCCTACACCCTACACCCTACACCCTACACCCTAAACCCTAAACCCTAAACCCGAGCCAGGCCACGGGGCGGAGGCGGCCAGGGAAGCCAAGCAGCAGGAACAGGCCGCTTAGAGTTTTTGGGGCTCTTGGGTTTTAGGGGTTTTTGGGTTTGAGTTTTTTTGGGTTGTTGTAGGGTTTTAGGGTTTCAGGTTTCATGAATTTAGGGTTTCAGGGTTTCAGGGTTTAAGGGTTTCAGGGGTGTTAGGGTTCTTTTCGCGCCTTCGGCGGCATGTCGGAGTTCTGGCAGCTTGACGTGGCTCCAGGGCCCGGAAGGTGATTTCTGCCCGCACCCAAAACCCTAAAGCCTAAACTTAAACCCTACCCCATAAACCCTAAACCTTAAACCCTCTAACCCCCTTTACCCCCCCCCCCCACCCCGCCCCCCCCCCAACAAGTGCATCGGGAGAAGGCGGGGGCTTTTTGGTTGCAGTCCATCGAAGGGCCCCCCGGAATTCTGAGGGTGTTTAGGGTTAGGGGCCCCTAAACCCTAAACCCTCAGCAGTCCTGGGTTCAAAAAACGGGGCTAAACGGGGACTTTCCAGTGGCTTCCGTGCGTTTCGGGGCGTCAGGCTCGTCAGGAGCAGATGGCGGAGACGCAAGCAAAGTATGGCATACAGAGCCTTGGCTCATCAGACTTGTGGGGGGGTTTAGGGTTTAGGGTTTAGGGTTTAGGGTTTAGGGTTTAGGGTTTAGGGTTTAGGGTTCAGGGTTTCGGGTTTCGGGTTTCGGGGCTAGGGTTCAGGGGTTAGGGGTGAGAGGGGAAATGGGTGGGATTTCCTGTATAGGACTTTTCAGGTGATTCCTTTGGCGATCTGAGCAGATTACCACGGCCCGTTTTCGCTATCGGGACCTTTCACGTGTGTGGGGTTCGGGGTGAGTACGAAGACTTGGCTTAAATTTGGGGAGGGGTGCTGCCCCATTCGGTAGCGGGAGCCGGCACAACATTGTGGGCCCACACCTCAAAAAAACTCTCCAGAGAGTGCCAGATCGGGTATTTCCCAAAATAGGGGTGCCCCTTTTGTACCCCAAATAGAATAGAATCCCCCAAGAAGGGCCCCCCCCCATGTTGGGAAACCCCCCTAAAAATTGCCAGGAAAGTCTACATCCCGCAGGCCAGGTTCGGCCCTTGCTTGTTGGGCAAAGGACGCTTATGTCCACGCTCGGAGTTTCGTGCGTGGGAGGAGTGCGACGCCTGAAGCCTCACTTAAGCATTCCACAATCGCGGCTGCACGAAGCACCCTGACTCGGTGACCTCCAGAGCTCCCAGAAGCCAGGAGAAGCCGAAGAAGAAGGCGAGAAAAGCAGAGTTTTTTTGCCTTCAGGGCGCTTTTAAGGAGAGGCTTTGGGACTCGGCCTGCTTTTCCTGGGGATCTTTCGACCTGCTGAAGATTCCGGAAACCCGAAACCCTAAACCCTAAACCCTAAACCCTGAACCCTGAACCCTAAACCAAACCCTAAACCCTAAACCCTAGTTTCCTTCAGTTTCTTTTTTCTCTGCTTCGACTGGGATCTGACACTTTCCAGCCTCGTTAAGGAAAGCAACCTGACTCCCCAGGAGCTCAGCATCTGATCCTGAATCCCCATGAGGCCCTGGACCCTAAACCCTAAACCCTGAACCCTAAACCCGAAACCCTAAACCCTAAACCCCAAACCCTAAACCCTAGAGGCTCGGGGCTCAGGGGGGGTTTCAAGTTTCTCAGACAGCAAGGCGCCACCGACTCCGCAGCAGCGGCAGCAAAAAAAGAAGGAGCAGGCGACCGCGAGAACCCTGAATCCCACCCACTCCATCAACATCATGCCATGAAAAAGGCTTGGGCTCTTTCAAGATTGCGACGTCAGCCGCAGCTGAGCATGTGAGATAGAATCAGATAGTATGCATGATTTCTAGTAGTAATACTAGTGCATGATACAAACAACCGTAATATTGGCAATCGATAGAAGCTTTTCAAGAGCACCGCAGGAAGAGGTCATCGTTTTCGATCAGCCGCTGTCTGTTGCGGTGGGCCTCTTGGCTAGAAGGTGGTCCCGGAAACGAATGCCAGCACAGAAGGATGAACGCAACCCACACCCCGCGCCACCCTAAGAGGGTGAAGCGGCGGCTTCGGGCGAAGCTCAAGGTTTCTTGGCCCTAAACCCTAAACCCTAAACCCTAAACCCTAAACCCTAAACCCTAAACCCTAAACCCTAAACCCTAAACCCTAAACCCTAAACCCTAAACCCCAGGCCCTAAGCCCTAAGCCCGAAACCCTAAACCCTAAACCCTAAACCCTAAACCCTAAACCCTAAACCCTAAACCCTAAACCCTAAACCCTAAACCCCAGGCCCTAAACCCTAAGCCCTAAGCCCTAAGCCCTAAGCCCTAAACCCTAAACCCTAAACCCTAAACCCTAAACCCTAAACCCCAAACCCAACTTGGGCCGAGGCGAGTTCGATCGGTGGATGCGGAAATACCTGCGCCGCCTGAACGTCAACTGGCCAGGGATGGCAAGGGGGCGCGCCAGCTTTGCGGCCTGAAAGTTTTGTGGTTCAAGATCAGGTCCCCTCCTCTCTGTCTCTTGGGCCCATGTCCATACTCTGTACTATTTCTGCCCCTTTTCGTACCATTACGTGCTATCGTGACTCCCATGTCTAGTGCCAAAGGAGGCCTGGGTCTGGATGTTGAGCCTTGTACAGATTGCATGAACCGGGATCTTCAACATCTTCAACCCTTGTGTTGGAGTTCGTTGCCAGTAGGAGGTGCAGGGATGCTCAAAGCATTCCCTTGCGTCCGGCAGCCAAAGCTGAAATGCTGCAATTCGGGCCCTGCCCCTAGGTTGGGAACAGCTTCCGCAGCTCTGTTTGAGCTTGCAAATGCATGGCGGCTTTTGCGTGAAACAGGCCGTTGGGGCGCTTTTGCCTCGCGGGCTATGGTTGAGTTCTGAGGAGCCCCAGTGAGTTCAATGATTCGCTCTGACATGTAACCCTATGGTCTTCTAGTTCTCTACTGTTCCCGAGTACTCCCTAGGCTTCGCCAAGGTTCCCTCAAGGCTTGTGTCTTTTCCTCCTTTGCAGTTTTGTTCTCGCACTGCCCTCACAGGACATGGGCGAGGTCTCAGTTACCCACCCTCAGGCAAATACCCGACAGGTGGAGTCCTTCCATCCTGTGAAATTAGGCAGGGCAGGGGCAGGTCTGGGTGTGCTGAGGGTTCCGTGTGGGGCTTGAGGGAAAAGTTCGCAGTGCTTGCGCCGTGACTCTCGCGGTGCTCGCACCCAGGTGCTGTGCGATTTCCAAAGTGCCCTTGACCCTTTTGTCAGGGGGCCCGGCGCATTTCAGGGTGTGCAAACATGAAGAGCCGCCCCAAACATCCCAAAAGAGCAGGCTTTTGTTGCCTCACATGAAAAACTTTCCGCCTTTGCACATTCCGTGCCCGAAAACGTGCTCCCCCGTTCGTTGGCCCCGCGTGGCGGATATTGACATCAATTCGGACTCGTGCCCGGTGCACATTGCCCAGCTCGAAACTGCTCGAAGTCGTGTTTCCCGGCAAGGCACCACTTGCTTGTTAAGGCATTGTGCCGTGCTGCCAAGGTTGGGTGAACGTTGGCGAGGGCTGTAGGTTAAGCCAAGGAGCTGCCGGACGTTTAGACATCGCAGCAGTCCCGTTGTGCTCGCGGCTCTTGGCAGGCTCTTGTTTTGGGATCTACGTCGGCATAAAGGATTTAGGGTTGATCAGCAACCTCTCTAATGACAGCGATATGGGCTCAATGGGTTGGCATGTCGTTGTCAGTGTTCAGGAAGACCTCATCGCATCGACTACAGCCTAACTCCACCCGAAGTTTGTACCCAGCCGGGCTCCTGTCCTCTTGTACCTTGTTCGAGCGTCGCGGTGCAAGCAATGCGCCGTCGGGTGATTCTCGCAGCAGTGGGAGCCTTGGTCCGGCTTTCTTTGAGACACGGATCATGCTATGCGAACCTTTTTTCCCTTTTTACGAACGTCTTGGAGGTGCCGTGTGCGGAGCCGAAGCCACGCCCCACATGTCCTCTTGATTCTTGCAGGTCCAGCCTGCCTGGAGCACGTTTTGCAAGCATGTGGGGCCCTCTTGGTACGAAGGGCTCGTGTAGTGTTCCTTTTCAGGGAGACCTCGGAACCTCAAACTTAAAACCCTTAAGCCCCAAGAACCTCGAAACCCCCGTGAAAAAAACCCCCAAAACCCGGAAAGGCACACAAGGCACCCAAAGACTCCATCGACCTCAGAAACAGTGCCTCAACACCCCTAAGCCCTACCGTCCCAACCCCCTCCCCAACTGCCTCCCCAAAACCAAATCAGAGCCTTCTTCGAAACCCGAAACCATAAACCCTAAACAAAACAGCAACAACTCAGAGTCTTCTCCAGGTCGGGCTGGTTCCTGTGGCGGCCGTGACAAAGTTCAACTTCGAGGTGGTCTCCCTTGCGTGGCTGCTTTTTGGCTTTCGGGCTTGGTGTCTTTTTAAGGAGGTTTTATGGTCTAGGGTTGAGGGTTTGGGACGTCATGTTTAGTTCACTGTCTGTGGGTTGTTTGGGCCGGACACACCTAAAGTCAGGTTTCGGCCCTTGGGGCCCCAGGCAATTGACATTGACGTCGCTGTGTCCTTGAAGGTCTCCGCCGAGTACGACCTATTCAACCAGGGGACTGCTGTGAAGTATTTCGAGGCCTTCTGTGGGCTTCTGGGTGTCAATCAAGCAATCTGCAAGGGGGCTTCGAATGTACTGTAAAAAGCCTGAAGCCCCAAAAATCAGAACCCACAGGATCTCTTCTACGAGCCGACGGAGGGCCAGAAGAAGCCCTCCCTTAACGGCTCCCAGCTAGAGGAGGTGGAGACGCTGCGTGGCGAGCTCAGTCGTGGGAGAAACGGTTTATGAAAGTTTTGAGTTGCCTTGCCCTCAGACTCAGTCCGTGGTTAAGACATGTTAATGGTCTTCGCATCTCGGGCCCAGTGCTGGCGCGGATTTCAGGACCTCACTCTGGGGACATTGCGTCTTGCTGGTACTGGAGTTTCTTGAGCTGCTGCTGTACAGCTGTTCCGCGTCTTTTCCCCTACAGCCAGGGTTTTGCCTTCGCATCTTGCGCGCCCCAACTGACTGCTTGTAAACCGCCCAGCTGCCGAAGAGTTCACCGCTGAGGCCACCAGGCGTACGCCAACCCCGTGCTGGCGCTGGCCGGGGCTCAGGCCGAGGGGGGGGGTTTAGGGTTTAGGGTTTAGGGCCCGGGCTATTTTTGATGGGAACAAATTCCGGGCTTTTGATGGACATGTCGAGTTTGGGGCTCAGGGGTTCGGGGGGGCCCTTTTTTGTGGAAACACACCGAGAAACCGTTACCATTTATAAGCCCATGGCTTTGACAGACTGCCAGAAGGTCCTCTACATGTTCGGATGGTTCCGGAGCACCGGGGAGCTGATCTGGGAGAACATCCTCTCGTCGGCGGAGCTCTTCGAGCGCAGCATCTACGTCAGCGACTGCAAGCCCGAGCACTCCTACGAAGTCTGGCACGACAACGCCTGCGCCACTCAGATTGCACGGAATGACCTCGGGGTATCTCGGGGTTTGAAGTAGCCTAGTCAGAAGATCTGAGAGAAGGACATCCGGTGGACGCACGCGATCTTGCTGTACCACTGGCTGGCCCAGACCGACACCACGGCGCAGCAGCCTGCCTACCAGAAGCTCGACTTGCATTTTTTTCTGCCTTAGCTGCCGGCGTTGGCACAGATGTGTACGGTGGGTACAGTGTACAGTGCATCCTGCCCTTGGACCTGCTTGAGCCTCCTTGAACCCTCGTGTAGCAGCTTTTTGGATCCCCATATTCCTTTTCATTCCTTCTCCTTTGGCCTCAGAGGTTTTTTGAAGCGCATCCTGTGTGGTTCAGACTGCGGGGGGGGCGTGGGGCGTGTGGGCACGCGCTGGGTGCACCGTTCAGCATCCAACTGCAGGCAAAAGGCGCAGCAGCTGCTTGAGGGCATCAAGCGCGTGAAGAAGTACGAGGCTGTCTCTGGGGGCTGGACCTCCCCGGGGCATGTGACTTGGGCACAGGGAGAGGGGTAGAGCCCTGGAGATTGTTACCTGAAGATCTCTGAGCATACGGGTTTCCGAAAGTATTTACATCCAGGGAGTAGGGGGTTACCTTTTTGGGAGCCTTTTCAGAACTATTTGGGCCCTTATTATAAGGGAATCCCCTTCATTTTTTGTAATCTCCCTTGGGATCCTGATTCTAAGGGAATCCTCTACTATTTGGGGGGTCCTTACTATAAGGGAATCCCACTTCTTTTTTCGTAAGCTCCCCCCCAAAACCCTAAACCCTAAACCCTAAACCCTAAACCCTAAACCCTAAACCCTAAACCCTAAACCCTAAACCCTAAACCCCAGGTGAACTTCAACTCCATCATCTTCGCCGGCAAGCCCTCACGGCCGATCTGGGACACCAGGGAGCTTCCGATAGGCCAAAGGGTTTAGGGTTTAGGGTTTAGGGTTCGGGGTTCGGGGTTCGGGGTTTGGGGTTTAGGGGTGCGCTGAGCCCTTTTTAAAGCCCTCTTAGGCCTTTGTAAGACCCCTAAACCCCCCAACCCCCAACCCTCCCTCAAACCCCAAACCCCCAAAGAAGCCCCTGAACCACGAAACAGGCTGTCGCGTCCCACCCGGACTCTGTTGCACCCCAAAAAAGATAACCGAAACCGTCCGAAGACCTGAAGCTCAAAAAAAGAGCCCTTGAGGCAAGTGGCTGGAAGAGCACCACCCCATCTTCAAGGCTGAGCTTCAAGCGATCCTGAACGAGCCAGGGGATGTGTGGCCTGCTCCCTTTTTTAGAGTTTTTTGGGGTGGTTTGGGGCAGGCCTAGGGTGTTCAGAGAGAGGTTTCAGGGTGTTGAGGAGTCTCGAGCTGGGGGGGTGGGGAGGTGTTGGGTCTGGAGTTCTTGCATAAGAAGGGGTGTTTTGGGGTTATGACAGAACCTCGGGACCCCCTACTTCAAGCCCTAAACCCTAAACCCTAAACCCTAAACCCTAAACCCTAAACCCTAAACCCTAAACCCTATAAACCCTAAACCCAGGTATGGGCAGCTCATGAAGATCGACCCCTCCCGCGAGCACCTGGCCACCCCGGGCGGCTGGGACACGCTGCGCATCGTCCGGTACCACAACTGGTTCGAGGCGCGGAACCTTTTGGGAGTTTCAACCCGAAACCGCCTAAACCCGATAATCCCTATAATCCCTAAACCTTAAACCTTAAAAAGCCCTAAACCCTTAAACCCCCAAAACCTCAAACCCAAAGCCCTAAACCCTTGAACCCGAAACCCTGCATCCCTGAGCTCCCACTTTTCTCCCAGATATCCCCCCCCTCCCCTCCCCCTCCCCTCTCCCAAAGACCACTGTAACGCTTTGTAGCCCAGTGGTACCCCTTTTTACCCTTTTGTTGGTGCTGGGCTTCTCTTATAAAGAGTAACCAACCCAAAGATGGGTGCCCTTAAAATTTGCCATGGTTACTGGGCTACTAAGAAGGGGGGGGGGGGGGCCAGTCCTGTCCCTTGGAGGTCTTCTGCCAGGTCGCCCCCATGACCTGCGAGCTCATCCGCACGCGGCCGGAGATCAACGAGTGCAAGTTCATGAACGTGAACTACGCGCCCTGCTTGGGTTTAGGTTCAGGGTTTAGGGTTTAGTGTTTAGGGTTTAGGGTGAACTACGCGCCCTGCTTGGGGGGGGGAGGGTCTTGGAGCTTGTGGCTTTCCGTTGGACTCGGGGCCCTGAACTCACCGCCAGCCCGAAGCTCTAACAACCCCAGCCTAGAAACCCTAAATGAACCCCCTTATACTCCCCGAGGCCTTCAAACCCGAAGCCCCGTCGACCCGAATCTCTCTCAACCTTCCCAAGCTTCAGCGAGCTTTAACCTTTGTAGGCTGTAGGGTTTAGGGTTTAGGGTTTAGGGCATCCCACAAGGCCTTCAGAGCGCCCGAAACCCCCCCAAAAATCACTCAGAGGTTCGCCTCAACCCGGGCACACACCTCAAGCCCCACTACGGGAACGGCCCGCGGCTCTCAGCGCACCTTTCAGCTTCCTGGACACAGAGAGGTGTTTTTTTTTGGGGGGGAGGGGGTGGGGGGGGGGGGGAGCGGGCGTATGTCTGTCCTCTTCCGCTTTCCCTTCCCTCTTCCCTCTTCCTCCTTCCCGCTTCCCTCTTCCCTTTTCCCCCTTCCCCCTTCCCCTTCCTCTTAGACTCTTCTTCTTCTTCCTCCTGAGTTGCCTTCGGCTATATAGGAGAAGCTTCGGGATTCCATGGGACCAAAGTAGGGAACCCACTGATCTGCCCCAACCCCAGAGAACGAGATCGATAGGCATACAGACAGATATATTCACAATAGACCTTCAGTCCCCCAGATATTTCATGTTTTTGAAGCCCATCAACCGGCAAAACGCACAAGGTGAAACCCCCCGGCCACAGCCCGAACCTCAGAGTTTAAGACCCTTCCGAGGTGATCGCGCCCGAGCCAATGAAGGCAGGCCTCACCGCTTCTCGGAGGGATTTCGGTCTCATCCGCCAGAAAAAAGGTCACCAAACATACCGGAACCCGCAAAGAAGCCGCAAGAGCGCGTAAACCAGCGCCCCAAGAGCCCGCAAACCAGCCTCCAGGAGTCCGTAAATTAGCCTCCAGGAGCCCGAAAAGCAGGGCCCTCTGGGATGCGAGGTTGCCGACCAGAAGCGTCTCTGGGTGGAGGGAGAAGCCATCCTCTTCGATGACACCTACCCTCACATGGTGACCCTTGGCTTGGGGCTCGTTGAATCTCATGGGGTTGTTGGGGTTTGGGGTTGGTGGGGGAGGAGTCGGCCTTGGGGTGACAAGAAAGGGTTTCGGGGCCCTGACCCTGAACCTGAGCCTCGCTTTGGGGTGTTAGAGTTTGAGGGTGGGGCGTTGGAGCGGTTGGGGCTGTAGATCTTCTTTGCTTTGGGGCCTTTTGGCTCATGGGCCTTTGGAACCGTTGGAGCTCTGAGGGTCTATAAGGCAACAGCAGCAGTCAGACAGACGAGGCATCCTTTTGACTGTGGACCGAGCCTTCCGAGTGCACTACCCAAGAGGTCTTGAAACCCCAAACAGTCTTCTACCATGGTCTTTACACACATCTCCACTCTGGTGCCTGTGTCCTTAAGGAGCCACTGGGGCAACCAGCCCCGCTACGTGATCTTGGTCTGGTTCTGCCATCCCTGCGACACGAGGAACGCACACAACCAGACCTGCCCGACGGCGTGAGGTTGCGCTCAGCGCCGCGGGCGCTGGGCTCGAGCCTGGGGTTTGGGGGCCGGAGATGCTTAATTGGCTTTCCTGAAGTTGACTTAAATGAGTAAGCTGTTTTGGAGGTTGGAGGGCCTTCGATGCCCGAACAGACAGTTGCAGGCTGGGTTTGAGGCCCAAATCTACAGTAGAAGTATTTGGAGCACAGCGTGCCAAGCAGATCGAACTACGACAACAACATTATACAATTATACAAGGTTGTTACCGCGCACGCCTCCCCTGTTGCGCTCCTTACAAGTATTCCCTCAACTGTTCAGGATTTGGGTTTCTCTCTGCGAATTTATCTAATCCCCTGCAAGGCCCCCAAACTTTCTCGGAACTGTTTAAGCAGAGCTCGTGAGCCCGGAGCACATGCTTCGAGCCGTTCCCCGGAGTGGGCGGAAGCTCTTGCCAAGCGCCGTCCAGATGATGTTTTTCCTATTCGGATACATTTGCGTTCGGGTCTCCCTGTTCTGGCGTTCGCTACGCTGCATCCAAAGGGCAGACGGCTAAGTACTTAAAGGCTGGTTTCTTGAGCATAATCATCGCGAATGGAAAAGCAACTCGAAGTAGCAACTAGACTCATCGCGTTAAGTCTTAAGTGAGAAGCAGGGCGAGCCAGCTCCAAGCAAGGTAGCGCGAAGTTGACGAGAACTCCATTGCCCAGCCGGCAACGGCAGCAAACTCCATCCCAAGGATCCCCACAGGAAACAGGAACCCCCGTAACTCTCGTTTCAAAAGGGGATCGTGAGGGACAGACTTGGCATTTGCAGCGCCCCTTCTGTGTAGATGAGCTAAAACCTCCTCGGCAGAGTTGTTGAGGTGGGCTGGACATGCGAGCTGCAAAAATGTTTCCGTGGGAGCGTGGTGGGTCTTTACACGAATTCGGAATCAGGGTGTTCTGAGACTTTAGATAGCGGCGACAGGTCGCCAGCCAGCAGTGCAGACGAGCCAATATCTGAGCCCACACTGCTGTTTGCACATCAACTTTGTTTGCGTCATCTGCACCCCCCTGCACCTGACTGGGCATGTGGGCCGGCAGATTTCCACGCGTTCCGCACACCTTCTTCTTTCATGCGTGCCGTGAGCCTAAGCCCATGACACTCCTGCGTGAGAAACATTAAGGATGTGCTGTAGCCAGCGAACAGTCACGAACACAGAATACGGAACCGCGAGCCATTGCATGAAAACGCAAGTACAGCGCAGCAAGTCACCAGCACCTCCGCCAGAGCAACCAGAGCTTGCTCCATGGCTGGTAAGAACCTTCGGCAGATAGTGGGGGGGGGGGGGTTCTCGTATTTGAAAACATCCCCTCTCTTGGGTCTCCCATGCGGGAAGCGTGAGGTGTGCCTCTGTGCCAGAAGTTCTAAACCGCTGAAAGAAGGTGCTCCCCAGTTCCGCCGGAGGGGTTCACATGCGCTGGTTGCGGCCGTCCTGGCAGCATGCTTGTTTTGCGGTACGACGCCGAGCAGGACACGCTACATGGTCGATACACCGCATGCCGAGCCGGTTCATGTTCGACATGTTGGAAACTGAAGGCAGCATGGTTCAGCATATGTCAGGCTTCTGGGACCCTGAACTCGCTGAACACGAACTTGACATTTTTCAATTCACCGAGAATTTCGGATGCTGGTAGTCGCCTGTTACGGCCGCCTGTTGATGCTACTGTACACTGTAGCAGGTCCATGTCACGTGCGTAAACGTTGCCGGATATGTGTTGTTCCAGGGCAAAAACACTTTGTTTTCGAACGTCCTACAAGATGCTGGCTGGCTAAATCTTTAAGGGGCCAAAAAACCACAAACATAAGGATCCTACTATTGGGGTATAAGGGCCCCTATCCCCTAATCTTGCACGCCACAGGGTGGCTCAAGTGCATCCTGTCAAGAGTGCTCGTCATGTTGGCGGATTCTTGGTCTGCATTGGGGTAAGCTCTTCTGGAAGGAAAGTGGTCTCCTCAGCGCATGCATTCGGGCACCCGCGCGTGAAAACCATCCAAGATCCTACGGCCTTAAGCCTAAACCCTAACTACAACCCGAAACCCTGCAGCCTGAACCGGGAGCTCTAAGTGAAGAACAGGACCCAACATGACCGACGACGGCGGCCGCTTGAAACTGCGCGACTACCAAGCGGCCTGTGTAGAGAAAGCCGTTGGCAGCTTGGGCTTCTGATGGTGTGTGTGGGGGCTTCGGAGACTCGAGTGCTTCTCTTTAAGTAAGCTCTGGGGCGTGGACTTTTCCTGCATCTTCAACAGCGATCAATGGCCTTGCAAGTTTTGGGTTGCCGCTGTAAGTGACGCTAGACTCCCAAACTAGCACTGCCAAGCACAAGGCCAGAACACGATCGTCTCGCTGCCCACCAACTTTGGGAAGACCCTGGTCGCCGTGAAGGTCATTGAGCCTCTGCTGGAAGTTTCAGACTTCCCGGCTTGTCCAAGTTTCGAACCAGCCTTGCGGCGATAGTCTGTGATGCCCAGTCGACCTTGACATCCAAATTTCGCTTCGTGGGCGCTGTCTGCCTTCAAGGGCTGAAACTCGTTGTAGCCCACCAAGGATCACTTTCTCGAGCACCCGAACACGCACAAGAAGCATGTGGTCTTCATCGTGCCGAGGAAGACGCTGGTAGGGCAGCAGGCGTCATATTGCAGGAAGCACTGCGACCCTCGCCTAAAAATTAAACGGACGGGGTTCGAATTTAGGGTTCCGCAGCCCTAGCCAGGACAATGTAGAGCATGGGTACAGGGATTCCCGGAAAAAAAAACCTGAAACCCCACGAAGCTCTGAGGTTGGCGGGCCTGCTGTGGAGCCTGGGCATGCAAGCGCCAAGAGCGTGGGTTTAGGGTTTAGGGTTTAGGGTTTAGGGTTTAGGGTTTAGGGTTTAGGGTTTAGGGTTTAGGGTTTAGGGTTTAGGGTTGGGGGGGGAGGGGGTGTGGGCGGGGAGGTGGGGGGTGGGGGCGGGGAGGGGGTGGTGCTGCGCTGCGCCCTGTAATGTCTCTTTGGGTTCCTCTTCTACTGTATCTCCCCACCTGTTGAATCACCCATTCGAGCGGTGCAGAAGGAGAAACTTCAAGATTGTTGTGCCTGGCTGTTGGGGAAGTGAGTGAAGCACTGCTTTTCAGAAACCTTTGACCTTTAAAGCCCTTGACGCCCCTTTGTGCCCCTGAACGAAAATCGCTCGGCAAGCGAATTTTGAGGATGAGCTGTGTGGCATGGAGAGCCTCGGCTGCCAACCCCTGGGTCGAAGAACTCGGGCTTTCGGGGGGTGTCATGAGGGGTCCCAGTACAGTACCGTGTTGAGGTCGCAGAAGGCCCAGTGCAACAGGGTCAAGGTTGAAGGTTTGCGGTTCAAGGCTTTTAGGGCCTGACTGCATGCCGGCACTTCACGTGCCTTAGTCGTGGCCAGTAGCCAGGAAATTGGCCGAAGCCCTCCTGAAAACTCAAAACCCAAAGCCCCTTCAAGATCTGGTCCGGTGGACAGTTGGCTCGTCTCGTGCAAGTGTGAGCATCGAAAACGGGAAACTGAGGATGGAGAAGTGGGATGAGCTGAAATGGCAGAGTTGCCTGCGGAAGCACAAGGTCAGCTGCCGGCACGCCCCTAGAAGCCCCAGCGCGGCGATGGCAAATAAATCTGTAGATGTCGCTGTTGCCGGCGCTAAAGGTTTGCCCCTAAAGCCCAACATTTTGTTCTTGCTGAGGGTCGATTCACACTTGTTTGGTCTTCTGGGGTACGAGTGAGAGCGCTCTAGACTTGTGCTGCTGCTGCTGCTGCTTCTGCTCAGGCCACCCTAACTTTCCGAAACTTCATCCCCCCAACAAGCAGACCAGATCACGACGGCTCGCAAGCCAGCCAATCAGTGATCGTGCTGTGCCATAGGGTCCTATGCATAGCCGTGACCTGTGAGAGTCGACATGCCCCTGAGCCCCGAAGGGCAGAACCGCCCTTAAGCCCGCAAAGGACTAAGAGCCTTTAACCCTAAAACCCTCCAACCTATGCCTTGCCGGCCTTGTGCGAGTGTGAGAGTCGAAACCCTAAACCCCAAACCAGCAGCCTGGAAGGTGTTGGTTGGCACGCCCGAGATCTTCCGGCGTGCCATGGATCAGGGCATCATCGAGGTATCGCAGCTGCCGCTGGGCTCCAGGGGTCACGATTGGCTCAGGGTTTAAGATGCTTGAAGTGTTGGCTTTTAGGTTTTGGGTGTTGAGAGAAGGGGATTGTAGGGAAGTCTTACGGTTAAGTTCTTGGGTTTGGTCTGCCTCGCGCCAGCCGAGGTCGCTGCTGATCTTCGATGAATGCCACCATGCCAAAGCGCCTCAGCCGAGGTTTCACAGGGTGTTACAAAGGCGTTTGGAGGGCGAAGATTCCCATGACGCAGACATGAAACCCAAACCCCAACTCCCACGGCATGACGAACAAGGAGGAAAGCAAAGCATTTGTAGCATCTAGATGCATCTAGGCACTCGTTGGCCTTTTAGACACCATCTGCCTTCACCAAGGGCAACCACCCTATGGCTGCCATCATGTCGGACTTTGTTCGTGTGCAACAGCAAGAACCGCCTCACATTCTGGGACTGCTCCTCGGCGCCTCTGGAGGACCCTAAACCCCAAACCCCAAACCCCAAACGCCAAACCCCAAACCCCAAACCCTCGACAAAGAAACGCCTTCGATTCAGCCAGCTATGCGGGAGCAGAAAAAACAAATGACCCCAAAACCTGACCCCTAATTAAACCCTAAAACCCCTAACCCCTAAGCTCTCGAAGACTGAGGACTGCCAGCTTCTTTGACGGAGCGCTGAGGAACAAGAAGCAGTTGGAGACGCAGCGCATCAAACTGGCGCCTGGCTTGGCAAGTGCGGGTTTCCGAAATTTCCAGGTACCTCATTGGGGTCCTTATTATCAGGGAGTTTTACTAATTATTTTAAGGGGCTGCGCCCATGGGCGGGCAGCGCACGCAGAAGCCCGGGGCGAGCAGTTTCTAAGCATG